CCGATTACGGAAGCTTATGTAACTGATGTAAGACTTTTTGGTACACTTCGTGCTGCTTGCTAGTTTGGTTCATAAATTACAGGAACTGAATATAAACACTGAGTGGCGGAGAATCTAACCGCTCATCCTGTGCTTTAATTTCTCATTTTTTAAAAATCAATGGAATGTAACATGTATTCTCTGTGCTTATGCTTTCCTTTCTGGTTTTCTTTCTCTCCTTTTTGGTTAAATAGTGGTTATAACTTTATGTAGTACAGTACTTTCTTCGTAGCGAAGAGATTATGGGAATGGCTCTAAACAGCAGTGCAGTTTTAGTGCTAACTCAGAGGAAAATGGCAGTTACCAATATTGTGAACTCGTTTCCCCCCGCTTTCCCCCCAGGTTCTGTACAGAGTAATGAGGTGTGTGACTGCCGCAAACCAAGTGTTCTTTTCGGAGGCTGTCTTGACGGCTGCCAATGAGTGTGTCGGTGTCTTGCTTGGCAGTCTGGATCCCAGTATGAACGTACACTGTGACATGGTCATTACCTACGGGCTGGATCAGCTGGAGAATTGTCAGGCTTGTGGTACTGATTATATCATCTCGGTGTTGAACTTATTGATGCTGGTACATACAACCCTCATCATATCTGGGTTTACTGGATGAATAACATTTTCACTCTTTCATCTAAACAAATAACAAGAGAGGGCTTTGGAAAACCTAGTTTCATTTTTTGGATTGTAGACTCAGTGGGGTGGTTTCCCTATAAAATGGGAGAAGATTTGTATGGGGGTGAGTCGTTAGCTCTTTCATAGAAGTTGCAGGTAGCTGTGTTGTTCCAAGGAAAAATCAAAAAACAAAATCCTTGTAATTCTGTTTTAAGGCCAAAGGACACAAACCTGTATGCAACGTTCGAGCTCTAGAACCCATCAGGCTAGATGTTTTTAAAGGGCAGGTTGGGGGTGGGATGGAGAAATTGGTTTTTTTGTGGAGGAAACTTGAATAATGCTTTCAGAATATAATGAGCTTCATAGATGATGATTGGATCTCTTTTTGATGTAGGCTTGTTTTACTGCTAAAATGTAGATGACGCTTGTTCCAAATTCCTCTACTAATACTAAGAACCATTGTAATGCTGATATCTGTTGACAGATTATACTGTGCTGGGATGAACAGTAGGCTGATTTCTTTCTGAATAGTCAGCAAGATTAGCAGGAATCCTGCATTGCCACTGCTTTAAATTTGCTAGTTTTAGTTGTGGCAGTTATCTGATAGTATGTGTTAAAAACTAAGTTTTTAAAAATTGAGATTTTTATAAGGGACTGTAGATATGATGAGTGCTTATTTTTGTCTAGATCGTTGAACAAATAAATACAAAACTCCCGTCATCGTTTATAGAGAAGCTGTTTATACCAGAGTCTAAACTGCTTATGCTCCGCTGCCATAAGGAAAAAGAGGTAAAGCTGTAATTGTTTCTGTATGCACCTTGAAAATACTTTGTTAACACGGAAATTTCAACATTTTAAAACAGATGCACTCCTGTGCCTGTAAATATATATCCCTGAGGATAAGCCAGAAGTTTACAGAAGAAGAATTCTTTGTAGTAGGGTTAACCTTTTGGAAATAGAAGAATCACCACTGCAGTTGTGCTTTTTTGTGGCAGGATACACAGACAACTGACTCCACAACTTGTCCTGCAGGATGTTGTCACCTGCACACTAGTAACATGGCCCCCAAAGTACAGCCTATTACCACTTACAGTTTTTCGTTCTCTAAATAGAGAACAACTTCCTAATACAGTGAGGCATAAATAAAACCATTTGTCTCCTGTCATATGCTATGAATGCTTCTATGATTCTGGTTTAGAGGATTAGTTAATTCTTCCTTTCTGCATTGAGCAATGGAAGCTGGGGCTCTTGTGTTGCCACTAGAGATGTGAAGGCCCGGAAAAATTCGGAAAAAACCTGTTTTTTCCCCCCATTTTTTTCCTGAAGCCTTTTTGTTTTTTTCTGGAAAATTGTAAAAATTGAAAAAAGAAAAGAAAAGAAATTTTTTTGATTTTGGAACGTTTTATTTTAACATGATGAATAAATTATTTTAAGACCAGGTGTTCAAATATTTTCCAAATCATTTCTAAAATATATATATATATATATGGTATCAGATTGATGTAATTTCTGTGCACTGAGGACAAGCAAGTCCTAGGTTACAAACTGAACTCTCCAATGCAAGAACAAGATGCATTTCTTCCTTTAGGAGGTGCGATTGTCAGAAGTAAATAAAAAAGTTTCAGTTTTGTTTTTGCATGTGGGTGGGTATTCCTTAATAATTGTTTGGATACACTATATTTTTAATATGCTAGTTGTGATAATTTCATGCCAAGTAAAAATGCCCATAGTCATATTTTATGTTCCTAAAGTAACAGAATGACTTTCAAACTAGAAAAGACAAAAGAAATGCTAATGTAGCATTTTTTTCCAATTTTTCCGAAAATTTCCGTTTCCCCCCGAAAACGGGGAAAAAACGGGTTTTTTTCCGAGCTTCAAAATTTCCAGAAATTTTACATCTCTAGTTGCCACCCATCTCATGGGTGCTCCTACTAACTACTTTGTCGGGATTCTTTCATGTACTTGCCAAGTCTTGCTAAGCATGAATATATAGATGGTTATAGAGATAGATGAATAGAGTGGGTGTATTCCTTTAGGGAGCTTGACTAAATCCTTAGGTAACATGTCCCATGTATGTTGTGACAGTGCTGAATGGCAGTCTGAGGTATTCTTAGAGAGATGTGAGAGAGAAAGGAAACTTCAGAACATTGTTTAAAAGAATGAAATACACTTTTTGCCCAGTGACAATTAAGTATACTGTAGAGTTTTAAGATTACCCCCATGGTAATTCATAATTTTGCAGGTTATCTTTTATTTTGACAAAACAGCTTTTCTTTGAAAAGATATGTACTAGAATTGTACACACTGATATTTATTTAAATAATGGTTATTTTAAATGGGATATATTAACTGTAGTAGATGTGTGGCATGCAGTTGTAGTTTTTCCCCCAACTAGCTGCAGACACCTTCACTGCAAAGCAGTCTATATTTGAGTGACATGTTGGACATTTCTGTTCCCCAGGTTGTTGCAGCAGCACATGCTGTCTATCAAGCAGTATTGAGCCTAAAGAACATTCCTGTTCTGGAAACAGCCTACAAGCTGATCCTGGGAGAAATGGCGTGTGCCTTGAACAGTCTCCTTTGCAGCTTGCAACTTCCAGAAGCTTGTTCCGAAATTCAGCATGACGCTTTCAAGAACCATGTATTTGATGTGGCAAATGCAAAGTTCGTTGTTATATTTGACCTTAGTGCTCTAACCACAATTGGAAATGCAAAAAACTCATTGATTGGTGTAAGTACAATGGGCTTGTCTTTGTAAAATGAAAGTATTTTATTGGCTGTTGGTCAACTATGCAATAGCAAACAAGGATGGGTGACTGCATTTCTGCTTGACTAGAGAATTTCTTTTATTATTACATTCACAACTGAACAATAGACTCCGATTCTGTGAGCAAGAGAAAGTTCCCTGATTTCACTTTCAGACCTCTTTTGTGGAGAGGAAGTTTATGTGCCTGTTGTTCGTGGCAACACTGTGTACATGGGCATCTCCCACTGTGTGCAGGTTTCCTTTTGGGGGGGGGTGATTGGGAATGACGTGTCTTTTTGTGGCTAGAACTTTTTATTGTAGCTAATAGCATATATAGGAGAAGGTCACTCTCTTCAGGGTTTGTAAATTTCTAAAACGTATGCCGTTAGTATTAGATTTCACAAGAAATCCTCTATCTGCCCTTTTCCTAGCAACCAAGTGATGGGTGGAGCCAATAGCAGCCTAATTGCTGTGACTATTTTGTTCTTTATGATTGCCTTGGCAGATGTGGGCTTTGTCTCCAACGGTGTTTGCATTGCTGAGCAAAAACCTGATGATTGTGCACAGCGACATTGCAGTTCACTTCCCTGCCGTCCAGTACGCTGTAGTCTACACACTCTATTCACATTGCACTAGGTATGAAGGAATTCATTCCATTATGTAGGCAAAAAAAATTCTAATGTATATCTGTCAAGGGATGATTTTATCATCATTTGGTTAAACTGCTGGTGCTTACCACAGGAGGGCCCTGTTAGTAGGCACGTAAAAATTTAGTGGACTTATGTTCTGCACTTGACAGGCACTGCTGTCTAGCACTACCACTACCCTGTTTGTTTTCCCCACAAAACTCTTTTTCTGATGAACGCAACCTTGTATCTCAGGATATTTTTAATATCCGAATGCCCTCTTGGTTTTCCTTGGAAGAGCTGCGAGGAAGCATCTGCTTTCCGTTGGCTCTAATGGTTTTGCTAACCAACATTCAGAGAATGGGTAGAATAAAATAGGAAGTACAGACTGTTTGAGGCAGTCCTTTTGGTGGAAGTGAGAAAACAGGTTGGTTGGAAACGAGCACTAGACTGACAGTTGGGACCGTCTGAGTTGTGCAAGAGAGGCTGGCTGAATGAGAGCCTAGATGAAGCTCAAGGGCATGAAACCCAGAGATAGCTTGTCCAAAGGAAGAAGTCAGAGAGGGCAGTACACGGAAACTCTGAAACCCAGAAAAAGTGGAAGTAGATGAGACAAAAATCTGCGGACACTTGCAGTTGCTTTATACTGACTCAGACCCCCTTGGTCTGTCAAGGGCAGTGCTGTCTGCTCTGACTAGCAGCAGCTCTCCAGGGTCTCAGGCAGAGGTCTTGAGCATCACCCAGTCCTTTTAACCGGAGATGCCAGGAATTGAACTGGAGATCATGCAAAGCAGATGTTTCACTGCTGAGCTGCTCCCCGTCCTAAGAATAAGGGCCCAATAAAGGAGAAGTCATGTGGGAGTTGGGGGGGGGGGAGAGAGCTCTCTCAAACGTTGTATGAAGCAGGAAGAAAGGACATTTGTGGGCAGACAACAGGTAGGATGTTGTGGATGCTTGTGGGAAGCAAAGTTGGCTAAAGACTAAACCGGAGGTATAAGAAGCAGAATCACAGAGGAAAAAAGAAAAATGGGGGGACTTGGGGAGAGGATGGCTGGTGGCGGCATGGAGTTGAAAAGAAGAGAGGGCAAGAAAAAAGATGAGCTGGGATAAAAGCATATTAATAAGAGGACTGGTGATCGCAAAAGCTGGACTCTTCTCCTAGTTTCCCATCCCCTGCCCTGTGCCTTTCTCTTTCCAAGGGTGATCTGGTGCCAAGTTATTAAATACATGAAGGTTTTCACAATAGGGGGGAAATAGTGGTGGGGAAAAGCTTTACTTCTTCCTGTGAGCTTCAACTGAAGACAGAGGAGCAGGGCCTGAAGAAAGTGCTCTCTACAGACGAGGGGGTATAGGAAGCCAGTGCAAGGTGGGCTAGAATATGCCTCCCCGCCCCCCCCGGGCCTTTGTTTTTGCACAATGCACAATGGAAATGAAAAGAATCAATCTGCCAATTACAGCTTCTCCTGCAAGGAATCTGAAATTCAGGTTTTGCTGTTTTATACATGACAGCATAAAGCGGCTGGCCTGGCCCCACATAAAGCTGATGGAAATTAAATTTTTGTGTTGCTCTTTAGGCACGAGCACTTCATATCTAGCAGCCTGAGTTCCTCTTCTCCTTCCTTGTTTGATGGGGCTGTCATTAGCACTGTAACTACAGCGACAAAGAAACATTTTACTATTATATTGAACCTCCTGGGACTTTTGCTTAAGAAGGACAACCTCACACACGATATCAGGTAAATTTATGCTTTTCTGTTTATCAAGGGGTGGTTGGTGGTGTCTTCTGACATGACGATTGGTACCGATTTAACCAGCAGTATAGATCTGTAAATCTTGGGGACTTGGACAGATTTGTGGGATAAGTTATATAGCAATTCATTATTATAAGACATAGATTGCATATGTGTAGCCATTTCAGAGCAGTTCACAAACAGTCAGCAGTTGAATGTAGTACACATTAAACTGTACATTGGCCCCGGTCACACGGGCCGGAGGCGTGGCTGTTTGCCCCGGAGCGAACTACCGCGCGGCAGCCGGATCAAACGTCCCGCCCGATGTCCTGTCGACGTCCTGTGGTTGGGGGGAGGTGCCAATCATACCTCACTCCTGCGGCGCCACGGGGGTTGTGTTGTTTTTTTAAACCCAAGTGTTCCCATGCGCTGTTGGGTGCTTGTGCGCACCCGTGGAGACTTGACCAAAAAAAAAGTTTTCATGATGGGACATGGGCGGGCGCTGGATGCCACGAGCTGCCACCGAAAACATGATCTGACGCCCGCCCTTGCCCCGCGGTTTCCGGAAACTAGTACCTCGGAGGTACTAGGTTTTTACAGCGTATCTTCGGAGTGAAGCCTCGGGTGAGCCACGGGAACTCTACGCTTCCCAGATGTGGCGGTGAGATCGCGTCCGGAAAATCCACCTATCTTCCGTCTCTCTAGCGTGCCTAATACTCTGTGTGACCGGGGCCATTGATTCTCAGTGCATGTATTCAGATACAAGTTGTGTTGGGTTCATTGGCACCTATTCCACAGTTAGTGGTCATAGGGTTGTACTCTTAACTGTGTTGCTTGCCAATTATTGTTGCTAATTTCATCTAGTGATGTTTGCTTTACTGTACTAAGTGAACTGACTCATGAGTACCAGTGAAACTGTAAGTCAGAGTTAGGCCATTTTGCTTTGCATGTACCGGGGGCTGGCTGGTCTCCACCCAAGTTACTGAAACGAGCCCCTAGGCAAGAGGTCATCAACGTGGTGCCTGTGGGCACTGTGGTGCCCGCTGACACCTTTTCTGGCGCCTGCCAAGTAAAGGCTTTTGCCCAGCAAGGCTTCTGAAGAACTGATTTGATTGGCTGTGCAGATTTTTAAAAATGTTGCATTGGCAGCAGCTGCTACCACAGCACAAGGATCTACACCGTGTTACTGAAGTTAAGCTGTGGTGATCCTTTTGTGGCTGGCTTCTCCTCTTGTGGCAGCCATTTTGTTGGTGAGCCCACCAGTGTTCCCTCTAAGCTGAGTGAGTGTGAGCTAGCTCACAGTTTTTAGCCTCCAGCTCACAGATTTTTGTATTCGCTCAAGAAGGAGGGCTCCAGAACAAACCAATTTCTGCAGTGGCCAAATTGCTGACTCAGACTTTAATGCCAGTAGTTCACAAAGTAGAATTTTTGCTCACAAGACTCCACAGCTTAGGGGGAACATTGGTGCCCACCATGCCATGTCAGAATTCCAAAATGAGCCCACCATCTCAAAAAAGTTGGGGACCCCTGCCCTAGGCACCATCAGTACTGCTAGGGCTCAGCTTGCCACCGGTGTGGCTGGCCAGCTGCCACCCTAATCTCCCCACTCCCTTTGTTTGCTGGCCACACTGGCATCTTCATGAAGAGAGGACATGGCTTGTCTGGCCCTTATGCCAAGAAGGTTGCCTACCCGATGTAAGTCGTATCACTGAAATAACTTCATAAAAGGGTGATAAAACTGTAACTTGGTTGTGGTTTAGAATAACTGTTACGTTGCTATGTTTCTAGGAAACTGCTAATCACGTGGGCTTTGGAGGTGGCTGTCCTAATGAAAAAATCTGAGACATATGCCCCATTGTTCTCTCTCCCATCTTTTCACAAGTTCTGCAAAGGACTTCTAGCAAACAGTAAGAGGCTTATTCTTTTATTTCATATAAACCAAATTCTTCCCAGTCTAGATGTTCCTACTTTGCTCATTCAGCCCAACTTGAAATGTCATCATTCAAGGCAAATAAATGCCTTTGCCCTATTAGAATTGATTGTTGATGCATAATGTGATAACTTAGCACTGCTGTAAAAGCCATCATAATCCTACAGTGCTGTGCGCTTCTGTGCTGCCTGTTTCACATGAAGGAAAGTAAATAAACAAGAGTGCAGTCTTGATTTTGATCTTCAGTGTCCCTTTAATTTCAGAAGTTAGAAAGATTTTTAAAAGTGGCTGCTCTGTTCTAGTGGAAAATAACACTGATCTTCCTTTTGTCCAATACACAGCCCTTCTAGAAGATGTAAATATTTGTCTTCAGGCATGTAGCAGCCTCCATGCTTTGTCACCGTCTCTGCCTGATGACCTGTTGCAGAGGTACTTTGGTCATTCCTTCTGTTTCCACATTAAAAAATCATGCCCAAGTTTGTACATGCTTCTTACTTGTTTTTCCTTTCCTTTTTGGGGGGCACATAGATGTGTTGACGTATGTCGTGTCCAGCTCTTTCACAGCAGTGCTCGTATAAGACAAGCATTTGGGAAACTGTTAAAATCTATTCCTTTGGATGTAGTATTAAGGTAAGTAGCTTGAGTATGTTATTATGAATTTCGAAAGGGGATACTTGGGATGTTGGGGAGTTGTATCTAGTTCTGTTACTGTATTGTAGCCAAACACTTTCAGACATCACTCCAACTTAACATCAGACTTCATAATTAAGTGGCCACCCACAGGCCATGTAGAGGTTTCTATGTCTTAATGTGCTTTCCAGTAGAAAGGAAAGCAGTAGAGATGAGAATTCCCTGTGTGTGTAGGAGAGAGGGAGAATGCGTGAACAAGATGGGTTGGAGAGGTAGGGTAGAGTGGCTGTTGTACATGGAGTGGTTATGTTCAGAATGTCACTTGAGGTCTGGAACTAATTGTATAGTTATTTTTGGCTTTGTAGTAACAACCATCACACGGAAATACAAGAAATCTCTTTGGCGATTCGAAGTCACATGAGCAAAGCTCCAAGCAACACGTTCCACCCGCAGGACTTTTCTGATATCATTAGCTTCATCTTGTATGGAAGCTCTCACAGAACAGGGTAAGGGCTTTCTTTGTGTGTGATTATGAATGGGGGAAGAAGGGGAGGTTCAGTTGTAGGGGAAAAAAATAGTGTAGAGGAATTCTTTTGGGAAAGATGAATATTTTATACTGAGACTTGTGAATAGTTTAATGTAGTAAGCAATTTACAAATCAGTGAAGTGCACGATACGTCATCTGTGATGCAAATAAAATGCAAGGTGCTTTGATTAAGAGTGATAGCTTGCATAGCACTGAAACCTCTGCAGGTTTTAATTTTCTTCCTCGCTAAATTCTTGCAAAGACCCTTAAACGCCTTGCTAATGATGGAGACTGCCCTGAATGTTGTGAAGCTGTATGGATTTAACCTTTAGAGATCACACCAGTCATCTTTCCTCTACAAGACAGCTTTATATCTGGGACTATTACCATATACCAGAGGTTTCAAGAAATATCACACAGATTTTTAAAGGTTTTCTGCCAGTCTGAGTGGTGATCACACAGATTTTTAAAGGAGGTTTTCTGCCAGTCTGAGTCACCAACTTTCAGTGTCATGATTCAAGTCCGGTAGCACTTTAGAGACCAACAAGATTTTTGAGATATAAACGCTTGAGAGTCAAAGCTCCCTTCGTCTCAAAGGGACTTGGGTCTAGCTCTTCAACTGCAGACCACCACGGCTGCCCTCTGGAACTATTTTCAGCCCACCAATGGTGATCCTTCTTAAATTGTCAAAGGGGGGACCATGGCTTTATGGTTGCACATTGTTTCTACATGTCAGTGTTTAGGTAATTTCTGTCTCTTTGGGCCGTGGTCAGAGGTGCCATTTGGTGCGGAGGGGAAGCGAGCCTGGTTTCCCCCACCTTTTGTTTTCCATGTGCATAAACGAGGAATCTTTTGTTTCCCGTGCACATTAACGAGGAATCGCACCTCCGCACAGATGGTTCCCCATGGAGTATGCGGTTATGTTCATACTGCTAAGTGAGGGGGGGCACTGAGTCAGGATGGAATGAGCAGACCATCCTAACAGCATGAAAGCGTGCTTGAGTGATCAGACGGGGAAAGTCTGTCTGTAGCCTGTCAGCAAGCATTAGGACCGGACTTTCCCCGGTGTCTTTTAACTCCGCTTCTATGGCGGGGCAGCATGGGGTGCTGATGGCTACAGGACCTTTCCCAGATGTTGCTGTCTGCTCATGCCCTGTAGATCCGTCAGGCATTCGCAGCTGAGCTGGATTTAAAGGCACATCTGAGCGTGGCCTTGGTTGCAGCCAGAAATGCACCCTTCATTTTTATAAGTGGTTTTCTATGCAGTGTAAGGGTCTGCTATACAAGAGAGATTATTGGAAAACCTGTCTTCCGAACCCAGACGTATAGCATGGAAATAGTTGAGCAGATTGTGGATTCTGTCTAACATGCCATTCACTGTAATTCTTACAAGAAGAGTTGGATTTATACCCTGCCCTTCACTTGGAGTCTCAGAATGGTTTACGGTCTCCTTTTCCTTCCTCTCCCCACAACAGACACTTTGTGAGGTAGGTGGGGCTGAGAGAGCTCTGAGAGAACTGCTCTTGTGAGAACAGCTCTGAGGGAACTGTGACTGACCCAATGTCAACCAGCTAGGTGCAAGTGGAGGAGTGGGGAATCAAACCCAGTTCTTCCAGATTAGAGTCCGCCGTTCTACACCACACTGGCTCTTATGAGCTGAAGTTTTCATTCCATTTACTTTTCCTGTCTTGTCCTGTCATTGCTGTAACAGAGTTTAGTAATTGCCTTTGCCATGCCATAAAGGCCTTCTTACCATTATTCAGCATTTTATTTGATGTTTGTGCCAAGTACCATCAAAATGTTCCTTGACTACCAGTTGCCCACTCAAACTTTCTTCTTTGGTCATAGATATTACTAACTGTTGATACCTGATTGTCTTGATACCCAATTTTGTTTCAGGAAAGAGAGCTGGTTAGAAAGATTATTTTACAGTTGCCAAAGGTTGGATAAACGTGAGCAATCAAGTATTCCACGCAATTTACTGAAAACAGAAGCTGTTCTTTGGCAATGGGCTATCTGGGAAGCAGCACAATTTACCGTTCTTTCAAAACTGAGAACACCCCTCGGCAGGGCTCAGGACACGTTCCAGACAATTGAAGGTAACCGTTTCAAAGCTTATGTGTGCAAGCATTTGTTTGTGTGTATATATGTGTTTAGAAAGATATGTAGCTGGGGGGGGAAGCTGTAATGCTGTTTTCTGTCACCTTACAGAAAACGATGTGTTAAAAGGCAGAAATACACTTAAGGAGCTGTTGATCTTTTAAAAAAATATATACTATTATTCTTGTTATTACAAATATGAGGGTTACAAACTCATATCACTGAAACACAGATAGTCAGCTACTTAAACCTGAAACCAAATTTTCCGTAAACCCAGTGGATGAATTGTATCCATTGAGTTTATCATACTCCCAGGATAAAACAATATCATTGCAACTTTAATGGCTTTTAAATGGGTCTCAGAATCGCAATTTTAATTGCCTCTTCTGATTTAACTCTGTTCCAATAATTTACCAAAGCGGTCTTTCTACCAAAACAGCCTGTGTGCAGTTTTCCCCCCATTCAGTTGTTTACAGGCTGCTATTTTATCCATGATCATAATGAGCCATAATGAAGTTCTAACTGTAGTTCTTCAGGGTGCCTGGTTGAGTGTGCACTGTGGGTTGAGGAGAAAGGTGTATCCCTTATGAGGGTCTTGGGGTGGAAAAGTGGAAACAAATGGTTTAAGCCAGTGGCAGTTCCTCCATGATTCACAGTGAGCTCCATTCACTATGACCATTATCAGAAGAGACACGCTTACTTGCATCCTTGGTGTGAGGCCTGCACCTCAGGGAGGCTCACGGCTTATCCATTTCTCCAAGGTGGAAACCACTTGTCACCTGCAAGCCAACTACCACCTTGCCTACTTTACTGAAACATGGGGCAGGTGCCATATCCAGGAACAGTTCTCAGAAGAGCCACCAATGGCATGACAAAAAAAAACACATGTGGCTTTAGAGCCACTGAGTATCACTGACTTATACTAAACATTTATTTAACACAATGATGCTGATCATTGGTGGGTTCTTGGCTTTTGGCTGAAGCTGTTGGTCAGATCCACTCCGTCTCTTTGAACTGTCATCCATGTTTGTTGAAAGGCATCATTAGAAGTCTTGCGGCCCATACTTTAAACCCTGACCAAGATGTCAGCCAGTGGACCACAGCCGACAACGATGAAGGCCACAGCAGCAACCAGCTGAGGCTTGTCTTGCTTCTGCAGTACTTGGAGAACTTGGAGAAATTGATGTACAATGCTTACGAAGGATGCGCTAATGCGCTGACCTCTCCGCCCAAGGTAGGTGTTTGCCATAACTATTGCAGCTAATGGTTTGCCCATTGGTATGGGTCACGTTTGTGTAGCTTTCGGTCACTTTAAAATCTCATCCTTCATTTTACATTGGGCGCCTTGAAGCAATAAATTAATATTTACATATAGAAGAAGAAGAAGAGATTGGATTTATACCCCGCCCTTCACTTGGAGTCTCAGAGCGGCTTACAAACTCCTTTCCCTTCCCCTCCCCACAACAGACACCCTGTGAGGTGGGTGGGAGAAATTGATGTACAATGCTTACGAAGGATGCGCTAATGCGCTGACCTCACCGCCCAAGGTAGGTGTTTGCCATAACTATTGTAGTTATGGTTCGCCCATTGGTATGGGTCACATTTGTGTAGCTTTCAGTCACTTTAAAATCTCATCCCTCATTTTACATTGGGCGCCTTGAAACAATAAATTAATATTTACATATGCAATTAAGGAAAGCCGATATTTAATCTAAACTGGACTTTAGCAGTTAAATTGAGCTCCAGTGGCAGCTAATTGTTCATTTTCTATTTAGTTGGAAACTCTGTGTTGTATTTAGACTGTTGCCCCACTGCCAGTCAAATTCTAAGTATGACCTGTTGAAACATAAATTACAAGGTTAGAAGGTTTTAATTTAAATGTTCTGAATGTTTGGAATAAACAGGGCAATACAGAAAATAGTCTGAAGATTCATTCTGATTGGAGTTTGGCTGGCATTCCATCTGTCTGTCATCATTAATTCCTTTTGCACACTTTTTGATAAATTACAAGGTTAGAAGGTTTTAATTTAAATGTTCTGAATGTTTGGAATAAACAGGGCAATACAGAAAATAGTCTGAATATTCATTCTAATTGGAGTTTGGCTGCCATTCCATCTGTCTGTCATCGTTAATTCCTTTTGCACACTTTTTGTTGCATCATATATTTATATTGTCAAGTGTTTTCAACTTTATTACTTTGTATTTACACACGTCATTTGTAAATGGTTTATATTAGTTATATTTTTCTCATATTGTAGGTTCAGGTGGTGTTTTCAACTTGTAGCTTACAGTATCCCCTGTTCTTATATACCATTTAGTACTTCGTTTTTGAATTCTTTTTTAGTTGCCTTGGAAGGTTTAATTGACATTGTTGCATTATGTTGTTAACACACTGGGGATGTTGTGGTGTGTGAACTTTGTGTTTCTTCAGAGTTTTCTCTTGAATGGGGAAAAAGTAAAATCAGACAAGATATATCAGAATTATTAGTCAGAACTGTATATACGTAGTAGAAATTGTTCTGTGTTTTAGCCATGTTTTGCTGGCTTATATCAAGAAGTGAACTTTTAACTCCGAAGACATGTTTTCTGCTCTCTCCCATTATGAAGGTTATCAGAACATTTTTCTACACTAACCGTCAGACCTGCCAAGATTGGTTAACACGAATTCGACTTTCTATCATGCGGGTTGGATTGTTGGCGGGGCAGCCAGCTGTGACTGTCAGGCATGGTTTCGATTTACTGACAGAAATGAAGACCAATAATATTTCGCAGGTATTGCACTTCCAGAATGTATTATTGGTTAAACTAAGGGTGAAATGAACTCATAGCAAACATGTTGGCTGCTTCTGTCCCCCAGTATGAGGTAATGCGGGGCAATGAACCATTGAAGTAATGTCACACATCTGGATAACCCAAATTGTCGTAGCCAGGTGGTTCCAAAGAACAAGAAGTTCTGTCCTGAATTGAAGCCAATCCCCATTCCCCACAACAACAGGATCAGCATGGTGTTAGAGAGTTGGACTGGGGTCTGAAAACCCAGACTGGAATCCCTCCCTGGCCATGGAAACTTGCTGGGTGACCTTGAGCCAGTCACACACTCCTCCTTGGTTTAAACTACCACAGGGGTGTCAAACTTACAGCCCGCAAGCCAGACCCGGCCTTGTCCAGGACTCTTAGCAGGCCCGTGAGCAACTGGTGCAAGGGAGGGAGGAGTCTGCTGGGAGGGTGAGCAGGTGCATGCTGCAGTTAAATTGCCCCGCCAGTCGGTCTCTTGGTAATAAAAAGACGCTCTACGTTTGCCTCTGTAGTCTCTATGGAGACTATGCCGCTGCCTTTAAAATGAGCACACGTGGCCTGCCTCTGCTGTTGACGTGCTGGAGGAAGAGGAAGTGGGAGGTAGGGAGGTCCTCACCCGGCTCAACCCTGCAGAATCTGCCCAGCGCACGGTCTTGTGTGCACACCTCCCTCCCAGTCCCTTCTCACCAACAAGCTGGCAGCTCCCACTTGCCCGGGCACACTTCAGTGCTCCCGGCGCCCACAGCCACTGACAAGGACCTCTTTTGCGGGTGCCTCTCTCCCCTCCCTTTCTTCCTCTGCCTTGGCTGGCCGGGGGCCGGGCGCAGATTCCTCTCCGGTGTTCCTGGTCCCCGCAGCCTCAACTCACAAGCATGCCCTCTGTTATGCGACACTTGGTTGGTCCTAATAATAGCTGTTCTGTGTTCTGTGGCTGTTCTGTGGCTGTAATCCAACTTCACCAGAAAAGGAAGGGGAAATAAAAAAAATTTCCAGGAGGAAGGGCCATAAATGGGTGGGTGGGTGGGTTTATGACTGCAGTGCTGTTGGGTGCCTTGCCTCTTGTCCTTTTCTTTCTCTGGTGGGCAGAATCCAGGGAGTGCGGAGTGCCTTTCCTTTGCACCTGCCAGCAGTGTAGTCCCCTGAGGAAGTGTTTAAAAAGGCTCCAGATTTTGATGCAGTAATTCGGAGGAAGAGGTGTCAATGATCAAAGAATGTTAAATGAAGGAAATACTGTAAGGGTGTTAATGTTTTAAGCATGTTGGTATTTTGAGTAAAAAATAATACCATGAATTGGATTTGCCTGTGTCCTTTATAAAGGTTATATCTCTAGTATCTGGCATTGCATTTTATGGCACACATGGCCGGGCCAAACAGAGTGACATTTATGTCAGATCTGACCATCGATAACAAATGAGTTTGACACTCCTGACCTACAGGGTGGCGGTTAGTGTAAAATGGAGGAGGGGAGAATGAATTATAAGCCATTGGGGAGATAATCAGGGTATAAATATCTGAAAGCTGAACATGTACATCACTGTGAGCTTCCTTGTTGTCTCCTGCCTCCTATCCCCCCCCCAAAAAAATATATTAAATACTGTTTTGGTGTGGTAGTTCAATATTGTCAGTAAAAAATATATGTGTGTGTGTGAGAGAGAGAGAGACAGAAATCTTGGTAGCTAAGGATCATCTTGTTTCTTTCCTGGCTATAAGTTGATGTCTCAGTTTTGCCTTTGCACCCTCTAGGGAAGCGAATTGGAAGTGACAATCATGATGGTGGTAGAAGCGCTCTGTGAACTCCATTGCCCTGAAGCCATCCAAGGAATTGCTGTCTGGTCGTCTTCCATCGTTGGCAGGAGCCTCGCCTGGATCAATTCTGTAGCTCTGCAAGCAGAAGGACGGTAGGTTAGGATTTCCTTCAGCTCTGCTGGTCACGGTTGAGGGAGGTGAACCTCTGCCTTGCCCCACTTTGCTCTTTTCAAAACCAGGGAACGAGCTCAGAAAGGCAGAAGGAGCTGATGATGAGAGAGCCTCCTGGTATCCTTTTCTCCCCCCCCCTCCTTTCCTCTTTGCTTTTCCCATCATGGAAGGGCAGTGTGTATATGTGTGTGTGTGGGGGGGGGAAGGGCCAGGATGAGATTTCTTCCCTGACTGTCTCCATCTCACCCCATTGCATCTCGGACTTTGGGTGGGTGGGGGGGGGAGACAAACGTAGGGAGTGTTAGTCTATTTCTTGACTCACTCTCCCCTGGTCTCTGAGGGAGAAGCCTGGGAAAGAAGAGGGCAGAACAGTGGCGATCAGATGGGGCTGCTCAGTGGGCTAGATTGAGCCACTGAGCCTTTAGTTGACCTTGGTATGATGGTCGATTTGCTAGGGAATCATGAGTGTTTACTTTTGATGGGCTAGGGTTAGTATAAGCAGGAGCGCTCCTTCAGAGGTATGGCTAACCAGTGATACGTAACTTCTTTTTAAGATTTGAAAAAGCTGCTGTTGAATACCAGGAACATCTTTGTGCCATGACTGGAGTGGATTGCTGCGTTACAGGTTTTGATAAATCTGTTCTGAAGTTGGCCAATTCAAACAGCGGTAATAATGCTAGCCCCAAACACTCTCTGAATGGTAAGTATTACAGTGGGCAGGTTTGCATTAACAAAATATGGGATAGCTCTTGGCTCTGTTAATTGGAGCCAGCTGGTGGCCCTAGCACAGACTTCCTACGCCAGCGTGGCAGCATAGGCGGTGTGGCACCCCTTCTCCTTGGGGCAGGCATCCCTTTCGTTTGCCACGAGGAGCCCTAATCTGGGAGAACCGGGTTTGATTCCCCACTCCTCCACTTGCACCTGACTTGGGTCAGTCACAAGCTCTGGCACAGCTGTCCTTGAAAAAAAGCAGTTTGTGTCAGAGTTCTCCCAGCCCCACCCACCTCACAGGGTGTCTGTTGTGGGGAGGGGAAGGGAAAGGAGTTTGTAAGCCGCTCTGAGACTCCAAGTGAAGGGCGGGGTATAAATCCAATCTCCTCCTCCTCCTCCTCCCTTCTTCTTCCTCCTTCTTCCTCCTTCTTCCTTCTTCTTCCTTCTTCTTCTTCCTTCTCCCTTTTGAGAACTGAGTAGTCTGTTGTGCTCTAAGCTTGGGACCACCAGTGCTGACTTGCTGAAAGTATTGGTTGCCCTCTGGCTGGTGTCTCTCCTTTTGGGAGATTAGAGGTCACCCTCGAAGGTTCTGCATCATCACCAGGAAGAGGGAGGCCCCTTTCATTCCCTAAGGGAGTGGCTCCTGTAAGGAAAGAAATGGTGTCCCTTTCTCCCAGGCTGGTTTCTTGTCGTGCAGGAGCTCTTCTTTGTTTCATTTCACCTAATTAACCCCGGGAGAAGGGTGGGTTTTTCCCTTGCTTACCTTGGGTGAGGGCAGAATGACACTGTGGCTGAGGGGTGTGGTTTGGTCCCTAGGCAACTTGATCGAGGAGAATGAGCTCCCCAGGCTCAAGAAGTCAGCTATCCTTGACTGCATATGGCTGTGCAATGTCTAAACAATTGAAAAGCAGATCAAAAGCCTTGCTACATGCATGTACCTAATACATGCTACATACATGTATCTAATACATGCTACATACATGTACCTAAAGGGGGTGTGCTGTATCAGAGCCTCTGCCCCAAATGATCCTTGGAGAGGGGCACTCATATTTATATGTCTACTTTCACAGGGGATTTGCGGAAAACAGTACTGGCTAAGCCAAGTGACTCTTCTCCTGAAGTTATCAACTATCTGGGCAACAAAGCCTGCGAGTGCTACATTTCCATTGCTGACTGGTGCGCGGTGCAAGAATGGCAGAATGCCGTCCATGACCTGAAGAAAAACACAAGCGGTGCCTCGGTCAATTTAAAAGCAGATTTCAACTACATCAAGTAAGCATCATCCACTTAAGCAAGTGTTGGACAGGATTCTTTTAACTTGTCCATTCTGCCTGGAAGGAGAGAACAGAAAAGTGGTGGCCTTCTTTATTTACGGGAGTACTCCCTGTAGTCCTTCTGAAGCTCTAGAAGGGTTCGTAGGTCTCTAGTGGACTGTTGGTAGAATGAGGCTTTGGTCTTCTGAACAGCTGTGAAGCCCTGCCCCATAGAAGGCTGCAGCCATACCAGCTGGGGGAAAACTATTAACTTGCATGTAAATTTTTCTGCTGCGGGTTCATGCAGCAGGCTTTGTGCCTCCTTCCTAACTTCTGTCTTGTTCAAGAGCAGAAGGGGGCTTGTAGTGCCCACTCAGGGATGAGAGTGTTTTTGTGTTTTCCCTGGATTTTCTCTCACTGCCTTGATTTTTGTAGCTTCTGTGGCTGCCCCAAGGCTCACCTCTGAAGTTCAGTCTTCCATGTACAGAAAGCAAGACCAGATGAGTCTGTGCAAAGAACATCATAGCACTGGCTCATAGACTGCCCTTGTGGCTTACATTTCAGCCTCTGTTTTCCCTAACAGGAAATGGGAGAAACATTAGCTTTTGGGGAACTATTTTTGTGCTTTAGATACTGTCAAAACCTCCCTTGTCCAAGGAGGATTTTGGTAAGGGCAGCACAACGCAAAATTAAACAAAGCCCTGGAGTATGTGTCTACACACCCCGGTCCGGTAGCTGCCACCAGCCCTTTGAATTTATCCCAACTGTCAGAAGCCAAAGCTTCTAACCTTTTCTGGGATTTAACCAGAAAGTCAGCCGTGCAAGGCAGAATGAGTTTCCAGAAAAAGAATTAACCTGGTAGGTAAGTGCTATGGTCAAGGTACCCTGGAGTTAGATTTTATTTATTTATTTATTTATTTGGGTATTTCTACCCCGCCCTACCCCGCAAGCGGGCTCAGGGCGGCTTACAAGGGGCATGAGCCCATATAAAAACCAATAAAACCATAACATTTAACCAACAATACAATTTAACAGTAAACAATAAACAATAAAGTGCTTCTATTTAACAAGATGGTCTTAGATTGTTTAATAATAACTTCCAGCAACCCCCAATTTGGTGTGTCGCTGTCCACTAGAAAGTGCAAACTCGTCCGCTGTTCTTGTCGCCACATAGATCTTGTACCTCCAGTTACTCGGGCACTCATGACCCTGATGGTATTACCAACCGTTGGTAGTGGGTGGTGGTTGCGGCGGCCCCTACATAAAAGCCCGGTGGAAGAGCTTCGTCTTACAGGCCCTGCGGAACTGCATAAGGTCCCGCAGGGCCCTGATCTCATCCGGGAGCTCATTCCACCAGGTAGGGGCCGCCACTGAAAAGGATCTAGCCCTCGTTGCAGCGAACCTCACCTCTCGGGGGCCCGGAACCACTAACCGGTTCTGGGTCTCCAACCGAAGTGCTCTGAATAACAAAACACCACAAAATATAATTAAATTTATTAAAATTGTGCAAGAATATATCAAGAGTCGAATAATAAATAAAATAAAGAGAGAACTTGGCAGTGAGGAATCAAAATAACAAACTAAATTCAAGAACTAGCTACACAGTAAAACATTGGTTCAAAAGTTACCAGATGTTACCATTCCAGAAGCTGAGGTTGTTTCAGCAGTCAGAGCCCAAATCAGGCCAGCAGAATCTCTGGCCATAGCAAGCAGTTAGCAAGATGCCCTCCAGCATGGAGCTTGGCTTAGAAGCTCACTAACTAGAAGCTTAGTAACAAGTAAAAAGCTAACTTCTTTATGGCTGCAATCCAACCTGGTCTTGGCCCTTCAGACCAATCAGATTGATTATGTCAGTGGATGGTGTGACCTAAGGGAGTTCAAGCGGAAGTGATAATGGAGAAGATAGCTGGAGTCTATCTGCCCATGCCCAGCAGGTGCAATTGAAAGGAATGCAACTAATCGGTGGCTCTGAGAATCAAGGGAGTTGAAGTAGGCACAGATTCACTCCCCACAGCTGGACTGTTACCTAAGAGCAGAGGTCATTTCGGGGGGGATCGCGGGGGGATTGCAGTTCCCCCGGGTGAGGTACGGGGGGGCGGGGCACATGACGAAGCCCCGCCCCCGCTTTCAGCTGCCCCGCTTCCGGCCCTCATTCAGCCAGGAGGAGGCAGGAGAAGAAAGAGAGTAAGTTGCTCCCTCCCTGCCTCTCCCCACCCCTGCCTGCCTGGGGCCAGGGAGGGCCTTCGCGGGGCTTCCTTGCACTCCCGCCGGCCTTGCAGGTCCACTGCCGGGCCCCTCATGGGGCTCGGCAATGGAGCTGCGAGGCCGCCGCCGGCGGCCGGGACCGTTGGGGGCGGGGTGTGTGGCCTTATGACACACTTCTGGTGATGTCAGGGGGTGTGGCCTTATGACACCCTTCCGGTGATGTCAGGGGGTGTGGCATATGCTAATGAGTTATGCTAATGAGTTCCCCTAGCTCTTTTTCTACGAAACAACCCCTGCCTAAGAGGCCCAAGGTCAGGGTGCCCAACTTCCCAAGAACAGTGTTTTTTTAATTTAGATTTTACAGCTTCATCTCAGGCCTAGCATTTACAAGTTAGGCCTGAGCCAATGTGGTAAAAAAGAAACAAGAAATTCTATTTCCTTGACAGATACTACCTTCTGCTTCTGGCACTCTTGTAGTTCTGGATTGTGTTGAATCTTCTTCCAGAAACCACTAGTTTTTACTTCCTGGCCCTGCCTGGGCTGCTAGAATGTTTTAAAATAAAAATTTAACAACCTCTGTCAACATATTTATTTCAGTAAAAAGAGAGTATTTTGGCCTGTGCCTCTGTTTGCAAATACTCTGGAAACTCAGTTGAAATGGAGAATTCATGAGATGTTTAGTGATTCTGAAATTTTCAAGGTCTACAAGTGTGTTTGTGTGTTTTGCAGCTTTGAGTAAAGAATTCTTGGCAAATGTGTTGCTATATTTCCTTGGATTTTTCCAGTTAAAATTTTTATGGTAATACAAGAAACTAACTTTTTTGAATTGAAACTATTTCAGATCTCTAAGCAGTTTTGGTGCTGGAGAGCTTACGGAATGTACAGAACAGCTGGAATTACTTCCAGGGGAAGATATCAACCTGCTTATTGGAGGATCCAAGGAAAAAATAGGTATTATCTGAAATTCTGCTAAGTGTCTGAAGACTCCCAAGATCGGTGGACTTTGGCATTCTGATTTACCATCCTTATATACTGGCATTACCTTGTGTATAGTGAGGGGGGCAGCAATCAGTATAATGAATGTTAGCAATCACTGATGTGTTCATATATCTATATACACTTAATTTCTGTAGATATGAAGAAGCTTCTTCCTAACATGCTGTCTCCTGATCCAAGAGAACTCCAGAAAGCTCTTGAAGTTCAGTTATTGAGAAGCTCAGTGTGTCTTGCAACAGCGATAAGCCACTTGGACCAGGAACAGAAGTGGCAGCCCATTACTGAGTAAGTGCTTAATATTGGTGTCTGGAATACAGCTGTCTATAGCATTATCCTATCCAGGTGGTCGCAGCTGTGGGCCAGCTGCTGGGTGTATAGGTGTGTGGAGTCCCCTTTCTTCCTCCTACCAAGCAGATAATCTGCATTGTGTGTTCTGAGATTCCAGATTGGGATGCGTGAAACAGTACTCTTGTCTTCCATTCTTTCCTCTTGATACCCAATGATATAGTGCATTCACGAGAACATTGTATGTGATATCAGTCCCTGAACTCAGGCAAATTCTCCTCCTCCCCCAAGTCCACTAGCCACATACAGCGGGGGAGATTAAATGTGAACTGGTTTTTCTGTGTGAGAGCTCCCTACCTCCTCTCTGAAACTTTGACATAAATTTGGAAATATGCAGTGAACTTGAAGGAATCTAGCAGTTTCCCATATTCCTTCACTGTATTTCAAGCCCCAAAACCATCTGTGTAGAAATGGTGCGTTTTAAAAAGATATGTTAAGGTTCATAGCGTAATCGATTGGAACCTGTAGATTTGTGTTTGTGGTAAAACACAGTAGCCTGAACAACTCTTGTCTTGCTTAACCCTTTTCTTTCAGAAATCTTGTCAAGTACCTGAAACAAACGTCACGAATTGCCATTGGGCCTTTAAAGCTTGCCACCTTGACAGTGTCCCAGTCTTTGCCAGTACTGAGTACTTTGCAGCTGTACTGTTCGTCTGCCTTGGAAAATACAGTATCAAATCGGCTTTCATCAGAGGTATCTTTATGCATTAGCTTACCTGTATCCTTGTGACCCACAATTATATGGGCAACTTTGCAGACGGACAGATTTTGTCAGCAGAGTGTCTCTGAAACATTCTTGGATATCACCATGAAGGGAGCAGTAAGGGTGAACGGTGGCATAATGGTTGTACCTCTCAAGGGTCGGCAGTGCCCTACAACTATGCCACATTGAGAGGGATGATACTGGCAGCATGAAAGCCCTGGGCAGTCTTGTCTGTTGAGAGAGTGAACCTAAATGAACCCATAAAGCTGGGTTTATGCAGAGTCAGACCTTTGGTCCATCTAGCTTCGCGAAGCCTCCTCTGGCAGCAGCTCCCAGGATCTCTCCTCAACAACTGCTTTCTGAGATCCTGTAACTAGAGATGCCAGTGTCTCTTCTGCCAGTGAACTTATTAAACCAGCTCTTACTGCCTTAGAATCTTTGAGTGAACCATTATGACTGTCATGCAATTTTGTGGTGGCATGAATGGCAAACAAAATGGCTTAGGAGGGAGTAATTGACTACTGGCATTTAAATCAACAGCAACAACAACAAAACATTGTACCAGTGTAAATCAAAGCAGATCAAAAAGCAGCCAAGGTTGCCCTTAATAAACTGTTGCTGCTTATCTCTTGCTTCTTGACTGCAGCTGTGATGCAAAGGCCCATACCCCTAGTTCTGTGAGCCTGGGGGCAGGGATTATTTTGTTTTCTCAGGCAGTAGCCCCCTTTCAGCCTTTTTAAAATCCAAGGGGAGCCCCAAAGCAGTTTGTGGTACACCGAAAGCAAAAAAGAAGCCAACCTTCTAGCCCAAGCCACTTCAGCAGTTATTTCAATCTAGGCCTGTAAAATTATTCTTAATTTGGAATCCATTCTTGTTTCATCTTTAGCAAAGACATGCTGTGTGTTTCAAGACTAATTATGAGATGCTTGAATTTATATAATGTAAATCGGTTACATAGCTGTAAAGCTGAATGGTGATGGATATAGTGCTTGGAATCTGTTCAGGGTATTTATTCTTGAAGCTTGAAACAGCTTAGAGAGTGCTTAAACAGTTTGGAGAGGCCTGTTAAGCACTCAACTTCTGTCCTTTTTATATAGGATTGTCTCATTCCTCTCTTCAGTGAAGCATTGCGTTCATGCAAGCAGCACGATGTAAGACCTTGGATGCACGCCCTCAGATATACAATGTACCAGAATCAGTTGCTGGTGAAACTAAAAGGTATATACATAAAACCAGAAGTACTTGTCTCCTTAATTTACCTCTGTTAATTAGCAGTTATGCCTGGGATTGCATCTGTTTCCCCCCAAAATGAAGTCAATACCCATTCACCTCTCCTTAATCTGTTTTTCCTCCTCAAAGCAGAAGTCAGCCACAACTCACTAAATGGAAGGGCATGTCTCATAAGAATGAGATACTTTTTGGTATTTATTCAACTGTGCTAACATGTATAGAGTCAAACCACTCTAAGCCAATTGATTTTCAATGAGTTTAGACTGAAATAACTGTGTTGACCTGCCCTGTAAATCACCAAAATGTTTCCGGTAATAACTTTTAAGTGCAAAGTAAATGTAGACTCAGTCCAAGGCCAGTATAGCTTTTGTTTGGTCTAATATGGTCGGCTGTTCTTCAAGGAAGGTATGCTGTTTGCCCTTAGTTGTGGTTTCTGTATTTTTCAGAGCAAGCTGTTCCACTACGAAGCCATTTAATGGAGCTGGGTCTGACTGCTGCAAAATTTGCTCGAAAGCGTGGCAATGTGGCGCTGGCAACCCGGTTGCTTGCTCAGTGCAGTGAAGTTCAGCTTGGAAAAACCACTACAGCCCAAGACTTAGTTCAGCACTTTAAAAAACTCTCTGCGCCCATTCAGATGGATGAAAAATGGGGCCCTGAGCTTGAAATCGAAAAAACAAAACTGTTGTATACAGCTGGTAAGTGTCAGAAATTCGAGAAGCTTCACGCAAAGCCCCCCCCCCCAGCAGCATGAAATTGTTAGTGTCACTGAACTGGGTTTTGCATAATCAAAAGGTTAAGTTTATCTGGTGGTAGGAAGTCAGGCCTTTTTTTTAAAAAAAGAATTACATATGTATGATTGTTTACTTTTGGAGGCTCAGATCAGGATGAAATAGCTAGACATACTTTGTAGTGAAGTGTACTGAGTGTGTATTTTTTAAAAAGCTTTGCTTTATAGACACTCCCCCCCCCAAGACTGTTTTTAAAGCTCTTGTCCATTTAAAAAATGGCCATGGCAGGATTTTTTTTGGGGGGGGGGGGGATAGCCCCTTGAGCAGCACAAGCCAAGACTTCTTCCCCATGTGCTGCTGAGAGAGGGTTGTGCTGGCTATATGATTGTTGGCTACATAATCCAACAGTGAAGAAACTTCTTCTTTTTAAAAATGGCGTCAAAGTAGCAAACAAACAAAATGATATAAAAAGGAAAATAAGGTTTTGTGTGGCCTTATGGGAAAATGTTGGCAGCTCCAAAATATGCTCCCCCCCGTCAGCAAAAATGTTTCTCCATGAAAATTACTTATCCCTGTATAAATATTTTTTTTGTCAAATAATACTTGTAGTGGGGGGGGGGAACATACAGAACATAAGTTTCAAATCATATTACAGAAACTAGTATTTAGAACTCTACTGTTGACAGGTCAGTCAACCCATGCCATGGAGATGCTAAGCTCCTGTGCCATCTGCTTCTGCAAGTCTGCCAAGGCGGAATACGCTGTTGCAAAGTCCATCCTTACACTTGCCAAGTGGATCCAAGCTGAATGGAAAGAGATTTCGGGGCAGCTGAAGCAGGTCTACAGAGCACGGCAGCAGCAGAACCTTGCTGGCCTTTCTACCTTATCCAAAAACATCTATGCGTTGATTGATCTGCCATCTGTTAATATAATCGAAGAGGACTATCCCAGGATTGAAAGTGAATCCACAGGTAGAAAATATCCTCCGTGAACTTCCTGAAGGAGGGTGGTTCTATGTGGATGAGTGATTTCATAGGAGAAGATTAATATGGTACAACATATTATGAAAAGTGGAAACATTCAGCTGTCTCATAATGTGGGGCCAGTGCATTGTCATGGCGTGTATCTTATTTTTTTAAAAAAGAAATAACCAGTCTGTGTTTGATTCTCTCTAGTGAACATCGGTGTTGGAGAACCAGACTTCATTTTGGGGCAGCTCTACCGTCTTTCTTCAGCACAAGCACCTGAAGTTGCTAAATCCTGGGCAGCACTTGCCAGTTGGGCTTACAGATGGGGCCGAAAGGTAGTTGATAATGCCAGGTAAATTTTAGCCCTAAAAACAAGTTGTGTATTTTGATTTAAATTTGCCTCTGCTGATGAAGCAAGTGCTTGCTAATGGATGGAAGACAGTGAGTAAGCCGGTGTAATATGGGACCTGTTGGAAGGGTGAGGAATGACAATGGATCTCCCAGTACTGGAAGTGTAGACACATAATGCAACAGACAGAGGTTCGTATCTTCTTCATTATGAACCATTTAATTTGCAGTACTGTGGTTATTAGTGGCCATTTATGTGGTGTGTCCCTTGTAAGAAACAGTTTCTCCAGGAAGCTGTTAGGATTTTCGAAAAGAATAATAGGAGTATATTGAAAATATAAAGAAGCAGCACCGTGTGGCCACTCGAGTGATAATGGTGTCTTGAAGCATCCTGCAGTGCTCTGTGCATTTCTGCACATCGGAGAGCCATTATACTAGTAATTGGGAGCCACATGTGACATGCCAGCGGTGCTTCATTTTCTAATATGGCACCTGCCCCATGTTTCAGGAAAGTGTGCAAATCCCTTACCTGTGGGGCTTGTGGGGTTGGCAGGTAGTTCACACCTTGAAATAGCCGCCACCAGAGGAATGGGAAAAGCTGTGAGCCTCCCTGAGGTGCCATCTTCATGCCAGGGATGGAAGTAAATGTGACTCTTCAAGTTAATGGCAATAGTGAATATACAGGACGGTGTTGTCTTTTTGGGTGTTGTGAAGTGCTGTGGTTTTGTAAGATTTCAGCGAAGCACTTGATCTTTTTCCTGTGTTAATATTCTAGGTGTTTCAGATCAGTTTTTAAGGATTCTGGTAGTTTTTAATATAGTTATTGGCAGATAAGTCATCTTTACAAACTTATTTCTCAGCACCATTTTTGCCCCATGCATTATAGCAAGTGATGTATGTATTGTGCTCCAGAATATTACTCACTGAACAAGTACTGAAAGTGTTGTTGGCTAAACATGAATCTGGTGTCATAGTAACAATTTATTAACATGAATACTGAAAGATCCATCAAGTGAATATTAATAGCTGTGTGCTCCATGTTTCAATCTCCCTATCATGTTTAGTTTGTATTTGTTTTTAAAAACCCTGCAGTTTTCCCCCAGTGAACAACATCCTATCCCACAACATGTTGCATTTCTTGTTCAGTCTGGTCTGTTTGTTTCATTCTTTCCTAATTATTATTAACCTAGCAGTTTGAAAGCAAGAAATTGCAAGTAGATAAATAGGTACTACATCAGTGGGAAGGTAACAGCATTCCGTGTGCCTTAGTGTTTAGTCATGCCGGCCACATGACCACGGAAATTTCTTCGGACAGCGCTGGCTCTTCGGCTTTGAAACGGAGATGAGCACCGCAACCCTAGAGTCGGATTCGACTGGCTTTCGAGGAAGGGAACCTTTACCTTTACCTTTAATCATTTTCTAATTGGGTATTCCGTTTGGCTCTGCTAATGTAGACTAAGGCAGTGTTAGCCATTTGTCGCTTAGTTAAATTAAGCAACATGCAACAGGGGTGTAGAGCATCTCCTCATGCAGAAGGTCCCAGGTTCGATGCCCAGCAACTCTAGTTAAAAGTAATAGGGCAATAGGTGAAGAGCTGCTGCTGGTCAGAGCTGGCAGTGTTGATCTTGATAGATCTTGATAGACCAGTGGTCTGACTTTTCAGTCAGGTTCATGCTGTCAGATACAATGAGGAGGGGAGGAGCTGGAAAAAGAGAAACCAGGAAGAACCTCTGCCTTCCAGGGAATCTGCTCTTGTACTTTGAAAGCAACCGCAGTTGTTAGTGGTGGCTGTGCAGTATGGACCTGTGTTTTCAGTTGCTGGTTACCTAAAGCAGCAAACAATTGACACTTCAGACTTAAAAGAGTGTTCAGTATGGCCCATACCTCCTACTTTTGAAGATGATGAAATGTGTGGTGTTACAGCCAGGGAGGTGTCCGCCTTCTACCAAGAGAGAAATCTGAAGTTCAAAACCTGCTTCCAGAAAACATTGCAGAAGAAGACAGAGAGAAAATCTACAGCATTCTCGGGCAGGCAGTGTGCCGGCCAGCTGGGATTCAGGTTAGTTGCGGGGGAGATAATCTGTGCAACACTTCGTTTCATTTGTAGTTTCTGAGGAGAGTGGGGTTGTGAGAACAGAAAAATTAGAAATGATCTTCTGTACATAACTGGATCTGAGTGTCTGTGAATAAAAGTACTACCTAAGGCCAGCATAACTTAGTGGTCAGGAGATGATTCTAGGAGGCCATTAATTAATAACTCACACTTGGAAAACAAACTAAATCCACTGTCATTTTGAGGGAAATGAACTTTCTCTGTTATGTTATAACAAAATATAGGGCAAAGTACAACTTTTTTACTTCATTGAAAATACTAGAATTTGTGATGGTGAGAAAAAGAACCTACATAACTTGCTGTATTTATACAATGCAGTCCTATGCAAACTTACGGTAGTCTGATCTCATTGGTTTTTAGTGGGACTGGAGTAAATCTGCATAATCTTTGTGCAGCATAAATCTTTGTGCAGCTTAGTATTTTATTTCTGACAGTGTCCAGTGTCGAGAGCAGCAGCATTTAAGTATGACTGTCTTATAAATGCACCATCTTATAAATGCACAAAAGGATATTGTGGTCCTTAAAGCCTCAGGACACATTGATTCAAGTACTCTTAAGTGTCATGGGGTGAGGTATGGGGCAGAGAGAAAGAAATTGGCTGTTGTCTGAGCTGTTAAAACCTTAGAGGTGCATGGCAGGCTTTAAAAGGTTAAGAGGTGGGTATGAAAGAATTGGTGGTCTCAGAAAGAGGAGGTGCAGGACCAGAGAAAGCATCATGTCTGGAAGAAGAGGATTTGGAAAAGAGTGAGTGGTCTAAAGCAATGCTCCCTCTAAGCTGTGGAGTCTTGTGAGCAAAAATTCTACTTTGTGAGCTACTGGCATTAAAGTTGTGAACAAGCAATTTGGCTGCTGCATAAGTTAGTTTGATCTGGAGCCATCCTTCCGGAGCTTAGACAAAAACGTGTGAGCCAGAGACTAAAAAACTGTGAGCTAGCTCACACTAACTCAGCTTAGAGGGAACACTGGTCTGAATGAATGAAGAGCAGGTGTGAGGGGGAGGCTTTTAAAAACCCTGAGTGCAAGGGTGGGAGGGAAAGAATGCAAAGTGAAGAAGAGAAAAGTTCACAGTGAATTAAAGTTACTAGTTAAATTTGGGCCTGTGCAGGCTCTATAGCAGGGGTGTCGAACTCATTTGTAATGAGGGCCGGATCTGACATAAATGAGACCTTGTTGGGCCGGGCCATGTGTGTCATAAAATGTAATGCCAGGTAGCGGAGATATAAACTTTATAAAGGACACAAACACAAAGGGAGTTTTTTTTACTTAAAATAAAAACATGCTTAAAACAGTAGCACTCTTGCAATATTTTGCTTATTTAACAGTGTCTGATAACTGACACCTCTTGCTCTGAATTATTGCATCAAAATGTCTGTGCTGTTGCAATCTTGAGTATGCTGTTCAGGTGTGTATCTGTAAGCTGCAAACCTATGATGACGCAGCAGCAGCAGAACTGGAAGAAGCAGAAGATAGCCAGTTCCACTCTGGGCCTGATAGAAGCCCTGTGAGGGCCTGATGTGGCCCCCGGGCTGCATGTTTGACACCCATACTCTATAGTTTTGAGTGGCTGTTGATGCTTTTTGTGATCAGTTTTGCATTTGCTGTTTAATATTCTTTCATGATATGTGTTTAGGATGAAGATATGACCCTTCAGATCACAGAGAATGAAGATAATGAAGAAGATGACATGGTGGATGTGATCTGGCGCCAGTTGCTGTCGAGTTGCCCCTGGCTTTCGGACCTTGATGAGAATTCAACCGAAGGGCTGATCAAAGTGTGGAGGAAAGTGGTGGACAGGATCTTCAGTCTTTATAAACTCTCATGCAGTGCCTATTTTACTTTCCTGAAACTGAATGCTGGTCAGGTATGCTTAGTTTTGACTTAGCTTTGCAAGCTTCTGCTCTCTGAATAAATATTATCAATTTTGTGAGTAGGGATGGGCATGAACCCCCCCAAAAGTGGTTTGGGGCGGCCCTTGAATCAAACGGACCCCAAAGGGCCCCACCTGAACCTAGCCGTTCCAGCAAGTTCGGTTTCCCTTGTCTTCTGGGCTCTGGCAAACTGCTACCAGGAGAAAGGGGGGTAGGGATCGCTCTGGAAGGAGAAAGGTGGAGGGGAGATACTCGGTAGCCATTTAACCTGTTGGTTTCACTTCCCCCTGCTTCAAGGGGGGAGCAGAACCAAGGGGTTTAATGGCTGGTAGCCATTTAAACCTAACAGTTGACTGGCTCAGCTGTCAGGTTTAAATGCATGGCCCTGAACAGCCAAACCAAACCTGGTCACAAGTCCAGTAAAAGATCGGGGAAGGGGCCTTCTCTGAACATCAGTTCGCGAACTCTGAACTGCCCCAAATTTGGGCTAAATTTTGGTTCATGGAGCTGCGGTGGCTCAGCGGTTAAGATGCTGAACTGCAGGCTGGAAGGTCAGTAGTTCAGCAGTTCGAGACCTGAGTGTGCCGCATGATGGGGTGAGCTCCCGTCTCTGGTTCCAGCTCCTGCCAACCTGGCAGTTTGAAAGCAAGAAATTGCAAGTAGGTAAATAGGTACTGCTTTGCTGGGACGGTAACAGCATTCCGTGCGCCTCGACGTGTAGTCATGCCGGCCACATGACCACGGAAACATCTTCGGACAGCGCTGACTCTTCGACCTGGAAGCGGAGATGAGCACCGCAACCCTAGAGTCAGATTCGACTGGCTTTCGAGCAAGGGAAACCTTTACCTTTACCCTTTGGTTCATGAACTGGTTCGCGCCCATCCCTGTTTGTGAGTAATGATGACTGTAGTATGACGTTCTTTAAAAAATGTGAGTAAAACAATTATTCCACAATAAAGAGCACACAATGACAATTGGAATTCCATAGATAGGCATAATTAGATTACTGAACTTTATGTGGTATCATATAGGATTTGAATGGAATGTTCAAAATACAAACCAGGATAGATTTGTATTTCAGAGTTCTTTTGTGATTTGTAGTGTAAATTTTTCAGTGAATCAAAAGAAGGGCTTTGTGAGTGAAGTGTGTCTGATTGGGTGAGTTGTTTCTTTAATGTGTAGGTTCTGCTGGACGAAGACGACCCCAGGCTGCATCTAAGAAACACTGCAGAGCAAAGCACGGATGATGTGATTGTTATGGCAACCTTGAGGCTGTTACGGCTGCTTGTGAAACATGCCGGGGAGCTTAGGCAGTATCTGGAACATGGGCTTGAAACCACCCCTACAGCCCCATGGCGAGGTATGGTAGCCTTCGGTGCCTAATAACTTAAAAAATAAAAATGGGCAAGGTTTGAACCAACAGATGGCCCCTGTGTGACTTCAGAAGAAGCAAAGCTGTCATCCTGTCCTAAGAGGGAAGAAATAGTTCTTTGTTTCACAAGAATATGGAAAATGCTTGTAAAACTGGAACTGGTCCCCCCAGTTATGGGGACTGTTTCTGGAAATGAAGTTAGATACACTGTACACCTTTTTAGGGGCATGTCACTTAGCTCATTTGAAGGCAGCACCACATAGTTTGCAGGTGTTCCAAACAGATTCTTTGGCAGGATCACATGACAATTCAGTCCTCTCTTTTTCTGCAACTCTGTGGGTTTTTTAAGCTCCTTGCCACCATCAGCATCACAACCTTTATTGGCGTAGCAGTAACAACAAAGGAGAACTAACAGTGCCGTTTGCCAAATAGCCAAAATAAAGGGCAATGTAAATACAAATAACTATAGCGTCGAACAACAAGTCACTAAGGTTAAAACCAATGACGGTGAATAAGCTTAACAAACAGAGGAGGAAAGAGGAACGTTATAAAACATGGTTAGACACAATATAGCCTCTCCCCCCCCCCTTTTCCCCATCTCTATCTTCTTGGTGGTCTCTGTGAATCACTCCCATGGGATTATGCGCCTGTGCTGATCCGAATCGGTGGTATGCAAAGCTCACAAAGGGATTTTAGCGCCTCCCTCCCAGGCATGCGCAGGAACCCTACTGCGCGTGCCCAAGGAGGAGGGGCGCGGACATCCCGCCAGTTCTCTTCTGACTGCCGCGCTGTTAACAGCTCGTTTTCTGTCGGTCGGTGAAGGAGCATTGTTTCATCTCATGAGGGATTATTGAAATCATACTTTTTTGCGCTGACAACGTTTATTTTATTTTGTTCTTTAGAATTATATACATGAAAAGAGGACTTTTTGTTGCGGGTAGCCTCAGACGGCTTCCCGCCTCCCCCCCCCTGATCCACTTTAAGTCTCAGTGAGAAAGTCAGACTATAAAGAATAAATAAAATATAAATATTTCAAATAAAATAAAATAAATAAGGTATATTTAGGTGGCATTCTATAACAAATCTGCAATCTATGCTTACTGTTTCCTGTCAATCCTCTGGGAGATCCTGAGAAACATTTACTGCCTCCTCACTTCCCAGATTGCTGGGGAAAAGATCAATAATCTCAGATATGCAGACGATACCACTCTAATGGCAGAAAGTGAAGAGGACCTCAAGAGCCTCTTGCTCAGGGTAAAAGAGGAGAGTGCAAAAGTAGGCTTGAAGCTCAACATAAAAAAAACTAAGATTATGGCATCCGGCCCCATCACTCCTTGGCAAATAGAAGGGGAAATCGTGGAAGTAGTAGTCTTCATGTTCCTGGGATCCCAGATCACCACAGACTGTGACTGCAGCCATGAAATCAAAAGACGCCTGCTCCTTGGGAGGAAAGCGATGGCGAACCTAAACAGCATGATAAAAAGTAGAGACATCACCCTGCCAACAAAAGTCCGCATGGTCAAAGCAGTGGTATTCCCAGTAGTCATGTATGGCTGCGAGAGTTGGACTATAAGGAAGGCCGAGCGCCGAAGAATAGATTCTTTTGAACTATGGTGCTGGAGAAGACTCTTGAGAGTCCCTTGGACTGCAGGAAGACCAAATCAGTCAATCCTAAAAGAAATCAACCCTGACTGTTCCCTGGAAGGCCAGATAATGAAACTGAAGCTCAAATACTTTGGCCACCAAATGAGAAGGAAGCACTCACTGGAGAAGACCCTGATGCTGGGAAAGATTGAAGGTCAAAGAAGATGGGGACGGCAAGGGATGAGATGGTTAGACAGTGTCATAGATGCAACGAACATGAAGTTGAGCAAACTTCAGAGGACGGCAGAAATCAGGAGGGCCTGGCGAGATCTTGTCCATGGGGTCGCGAAGAGTCGGACTCGACTGTGCGACTGAACAACAAGAACTCTTTTATGGCCAAAAGGGGGTTGTTTCAGATTGTGTGTTGGCTGTGGCAGCAAACTTGCCCCTCTTGACGGCCACACACTCTGCATTATCTGCCTCGGGAAGACTCATCGCCCAGACGCTGCCATTGTGTGAAGTTCTCGAACCAGACTCACAAGAACAGAGCTGTGAGGCCTCGAGTAGCGCTTTGGGAATCGGCATTGACCCCCGTGCCTGTGGGAAACGTGTCGGCCAAGACTCCCTCGATCTCCGAACCAACAACGACCATGTCGACATCGGGAGGTACCTTGGCACCGAATCCCCCCACACCGTGCAAAGTCGGCATCAGACGGGGGACAGTCTTCTAAGTGCTTGGCGTCGAACGAGGCCTCATCAGCCTCTACACCGGCCAGAAAAAAGAGAAGCACAAGAAACCTAAGTCTTATCTCACCGGCACTGTGCGTAAGTCTCAGAATCTGAGCAGTGAGAAAGTGCAAATGGGCTCTGCATTACCCTCTCTTCAGCGGGCGCAACCCGCCGTCGTTGATACTCCCGTACCGAAGCTGCCTACGATTGAGTTACTGGACTCACCCATCCGGCACCTGAACCCCCCGGTATCGGAGGCTTCTGTCGACTCCGGACCAATTTTGGCCTCACCGTTTGAAGTCGAGGGAATGGTCCTGCGTTGGTCTCGTAGAGATCGTTCCCAGTCGGTGATTTCCTGGTAAAGTGATCGGTCGGCACCGGGCCCTCGACACCGTCGATCCCGATTGCCCAGATGCGAAGAGTATCGATATTGATTTGAGGAGTGCCCAGACTACCGTCATTCCAGGCCCATGCTCTCGTACTCACCCAGACGGGAATTGAGACCGCACTCCCCGACCTACTTTAACCCACCTGTATCATGGGACCGTAGGGGGCACATGCCTTTTTGGTTCACATCGTATCTGATGTCAGCATCAATGTCATGGCTGACGCCTAGGCCACAGTCGGACTGGGATCGTGGATCACGTTGTTCACGCTCTCCCCACTGTAAACCTAAGCCTTCCACGTCGCAATCCAAAGTCCCAGGGGAACCTTGTTGCCCACCCTCTCCTCTCCGTTCCGCCCCTGCTTTACCACCAAAAGTTGCTCCGATACTGGAGACCCCTGCGGCACTGGTATCGCTTTCCAGATCCTTCGTCTCCAATACCAGCACTGACGATTCGCAACGCCCCGAATTGCCTGATGATCCTTCACCAAGACATACGGCGTCGGACAATCTGCCGATCTCTCCTTCAGAGGATCTTTCTTCATATGGAGCTTTGGTCAAGAGGATGGCACATTCCCTGGGTCTGTTGATTGTCCAACCCCAACCCTCGGTGTTGGACACGGTCTTCGATGTTGTGCAGATCAATACCTCCACGTCAATCGCTCTCCCGATGTCGTCCGTCATCTTACAGGCGGCTAAGGCCGTGTGGGACAAGCCTTTCTCTGCTCCAGTGTCGTCTAGATGTCTGGATCATATGTATCATGTCCAAGAGATGGAGGCTGAATTCCTCCATATCCACCCCAAGCCCAACTCCCTGGTCGTGTCGTCCGCCTCAAAGAGTAAATGTACCCTTGCTACCCCTTCCGATAAGGAGAGCAAGAAGTTAGATTCCATTGGTCATCGTTTTTACTTGGCGGGAACCCTCGGCATTAAGATATCTAACTATGTTGCGTGCATGGGCCATTACCAGTATTCACTCTGGGAGCACTTTACCAACCTTTTGTCCTCAGTGCCTGAGGACAAACGTCAGGAGGCCAGAAAGCTGCAAAAGGAGGGTTTGCTGCTCTCTAAACAAATCATTAACTCATCCAAACATACTTTAAACACGTTTTCCAAAACAATGTTGTCTGCAGTTGCCCTCCGTAGGCATTCCTGGCTCAGGACCACTGCACTCCCCGCTGACACCAGGGCATACATAGAGGACTTACCTTTTGATGGCCAAGGTCTCTTTCATGCGTCCACTGATTTGACACTCCAAGACATGGATAAGAGCATTAAGGCCTTGAGGTCACTGGGGGTCTCTGCCCCCTCTAAACCCTTTCATCCTCGCTCTTGGTCTCGTTACGGCTCCAGATGTCAATATGCTAAGCCGTCGCTGGATGAGGGCTACAGGCCACGTCGGTCCCCGTCTGCAAACAGACAGCAGTATCAGGCCAGACAAAGATATGACTCTGGACAGCAACTTGTCAGACCAAAACAACCCAAACCCGGCAAGCAGGGCCTTTGACTTCCACCTGCCTATGTCTTCCGACCCTACCCGCCTCCATTCCTATTTGCAGGCCTGGGCCACTATTATGTCAGACCAATGGGTCCTTTCCATCTTAGCCAATGGCTATTCCATCGAATTCATGGAACTCCCACCTCTTCCTGTAGTTGTCACCACTTCCCCGTCGTCATTCCTCCTCGAAGAAGTCACCACACTTCTGTCAAAGGGTGCTATAGAACCCGTGCCTCTAGACCACAGGGTTTCAGTTTTTATTCCCGGTACTTTGTGTTTCCCAAAAGGGACGATGGGCAGAGGCTGATCTTAGACTTTCGCGGCCTCAACACAGTACAGTACCGAAAATTCAAAATGACATCCCTACCGGTCATTCTGCCTCTCCTGTCCCAGGGATGCTGGATGGCCACCCTCGACCTCGAGGATGCCTATTTCCATTAAACTATCCACCCCGCCCATCGCAAATACCTCCGATTCACGATAGGAGGCAGCCACTACCAATACAGGACTCTACCATTTGGTCTCAACATGGCCCCGCGGGTCTTCACCAAGACGATGGTGGTCGTTGTGGCACATCTCTGCCTCTGCGGCCTGATGGTGTTCCCGTATCTGGACGACTGGCTTCTGGTCACACCTTCCAGGGACCTTCTCATTCGTCATATATCCCAGGCCCTCAGTCTCCGTTGTCTTGGCCTCTGAGTCAACCACAAAAAGTCACGCCTAGCCCCTTCTCAAAGAGTGCAGTTCATAGGGGCGATACTCAACTCCAAGGAAGGCGCAGCTTTCCTGCCCCAGGACAGGGCACTAACCCTGACCATTCTGGCAGAACAGGTTTGACTACGAGACACGTCCTCTGCCTTCCAGATTCAACGCCTTCTGGGCCTAAGGGCGGCTACAACTGCAGTCCTTTGCTTTGCAAAGCTGCGAATGCGACCACTCCAGTTTTGGTTCATTCGGCACTTCAAGCCCCTACGAATGTCCCAATCAGTTCGTCTTTCCCCCGCCACAAGAGGCACGCGACTCCCTTCTATGGAGGTCACAGACGGACAACCTGACGGAGGGGGATCGCTTTCCGTCCTCTCACTCCTACTCTCACCCTCACAACTGACGCCTCGCTGTAGGGCTGGGGAGCTCACCTCACCGGCTTCTCTGTAGATCACAGGTGGGATGCTGTGACCTCAAGGAAACACATAAACTTTCTGGAACTTTTGGCAATCAAACTGGCCTGTCAGCGTTTCCAGCCCCTTTTCACAGGACAATGCATAACTGTCTTAACCTCTGACAATATGACGGCCCTCAGTTATGTCAACAGGCAGGGGGGGAAGGGTCTCCCGCAGTCCCTGCCTCCTGGCTCTAGACCTTTGGGCTAGCTGCCATGTTTTGTATGCTTCCTTCTCTTACCCTGGCGCTATGGCACATGCTTCATAGCTTGCTCGCTGCTCTACATGCTTGCCATAAACAGCTATAGGGAGACCATGAAAACCAGTGCTGCCAGACTGAGTTATCTGTCTGACCTTGTGGCGGAGGGAGGGCTTGCGTTCCACCGCTGGTGTGAATATTTCAGCTCTCATGGGGTGCTGAGGCTCTCCCGCTTATTATGTAACTTTCCGCCGGGAGAATTTCCCCGCGCGTGCTCTGATTTCATTTGCTGAGCCATTTGCCTCATCCTGCTATATGTAGGGATGTTTCCGCCCTATTGTCATTCCTAACAATAACCCTGTGGACATGGTAACAGACCTGTAGTCTAATAAAGCATAAAGCTTCCCTGGAAACGTGCATGGAGATTTACTTGCTGTTGAACCTCTGCACATGCCTCTGCACATCTTTCCCATTGCCTCACACATTGCTGTCAAGGCCAGCGTGCATGCGGATCTGCTAAGCAGGGGTCTCTCTCAGCGTCACGACTGGGGGCTGAACTGGACCTACCTACGTCCCGTGTTTTGAAGTTGGGGGATGTCTCACATCGATGTCTTCGCCCCCAGGTCCAACTTGAAGTGCAACCTGTTTTGCTGCAGGGTGGCTCAGGATCCCAAGGCTTTGGGAGATGGACTCCTGTACCCATGGGACAACAACTTCCTATATATGTTCCTGCCTCTGCTGCTGAGGACAATCCAAAAACTCATGAGGGTCCATACGAGGTACATCCTGATCTCCCCCTGGTGGCCGAGGCAACCTTGGTTCGCCAATCTCCTCTCACTAGCCAAGGCGCGCCATCCCCTCCCACAGGTGCCAGATCTGCTCCTGGCGGAGGGAGGAGCTCTGCTATTCCACGAGGTATACAAGCTCAAGCTAACAGCTTATCTTGTGGACACTTAACATTCTCTGACAGAATCACCACTGTGCAACTCAATACCAGGAAAGAGTCTACGCGACGTTCCTACAGTGGGAAGTGGGCTCGCTTCTTGGCCTCCATACAGCCCTCTGACGTCCCCCCAGCTTCTGTCAGGATTGACCAGGTCTTAGACTTTTTGCTCTCGCTGGCAGAAGTCAGGCTCTCGCACTCCTCAATCAGGGTGTATTTGTCAGCAATCTCTGCCTACCATCCGGGCTTCGATGGCTTTTCCGTTTTTTCTCACCCGGTCTCAAAGAGATTTATGAAGGGTCTCCTCCACTTGTATCCACCAATCCGTTCACCGGTACCCTTGTGGGACTTGCTGCTGGTGCTGAGCCATCTCTTGGGGCTGCCCTTTGAGCCCATGGCGACTTGCAAGCTAAAGCATGCAGCATGGAAAACTGCCTTTCTCGTCGCCATCACCTCGGCCAGGAGGGTGGGCGAACTCGTGGCCCTGCGTCAAGACCTACCTTTCCTTGTCTTCCTACCGGACGGTGTGAAACTGGTGCTCAACATATCCTTTCTGCCTAAGGTGGCCTCCAAATTTCACCTAGCCTCAGAGATCTTATTGCCTAATTTCTTCCCTAACCTGGAAGATGGACAATAGCGACTCCTCCACACTCTAAATGTTAGGGGAGTGCTGCTTTTTTACCTAAATAGGACACGTTCAAGTAGGAGGGACAATCATTTATTTGTCTCCTACTCCAGTTACTCCGCAGGGCTAAAGATCTCAGCACAACATCTCTCCAAATGGATTGTCGAGACTGTTAAGCTGTGCTACCTGCTGGCTAAGCGCCCATTACCTTTGCGAAGTACACTCCACAAGATCCGTGGCTACATCCACAGTCTTCTTGAAGGGTGCTTCCCTGTCGGCGATCTGTGGGGCTGCGACATGGTCTACACCGAACACCTTCATCAAGCACTACGCTGTTGATGTTCGTGAATGCCACAGAGTGGACCTTGGTCGTCTAGTCCTTTTGTTGGCAGAGCATTGAATTTGCGACAGCTCCCACCTACAGGTGAGCTACTGCTTTTCAATCTCTCATGGGTGTGATGCACAGAGACCACGAAGAAGATAAACAGGTTGCTTACCTGTAACTGGTGGTCTTCGAGTGGTCATCTGTGCAGTCACACCACCCGCCCGTCCTTCCCCACTGTTGTCGCTTCAGTACTTTTCTCTGGTTATTGACATGACAGCGGTCAGAAGGAACTGGGGGGATGTCTGCGCCCCTCCTCCTTGGGCATGCGCAGTGGGGTTCCCTGGGAGAGAGGCGCAAAAATCCCTTTGTGAGCTTTGCATACCACCGATTCGGATCAGCGCAGGCTCATAATCTCATGGGTGTGACTGCACAGATGACCATTCGAAGATCACCAGTTACAGGTAAGCAACTTGTTTTTCTCCCCCTTTCTCCCTTTCTGTACATTTGCCAAGAACTCTGCCACTTTTCCCACCAGTTAATTATCAAACTTAATAAATCATACCCTTTCTCCTTTCAAGACTTCTAGAAGAATATAGTTCCTGTGCTGTGTCTAAAGACCTAGAATTTTTTTTTTTGAGAGTTGGTTTTGGATCAAAACCCTTGTGTGTTGTGTCACCATTTTAGCCGTAAGTTTATAGCAGACACCTTAACTGGGATTCTCTTTGCCTTTGAATTGGTCATGTAATATAGACCAGACAGTTTGATATTATCCACTTCAATCTAGTTGCTTCTTTGGTAATAACCCTTTAATTCAGCTTGCTAAGATAGAACTCTGGTCACATTGATTAAATTAGTCATAGAATCATTAGATAATAAAAGCGGTATATCCCTTTGGACTGTTTGTGCATTGCCAGGGATCTTGTTGGGCTTGGTTTTTGTTTTGTTTTATAGGAACTCCCTCTTAATAAACCACCTTGACTGAGCAGGATAGACACTCTGTAAATGGTAACAAACACACAAATGAAACCTCTTATTCCTTGAGGTATAGGGAAGATGAGATTTCTGCCAGTTGTTTAAGAGGAAACATTACCATATAAGTTTCCAAATACAATGGCAATTGTGTTTTTTGGTGGTTATAGCCAATGCTCCCTCTAAGCTGTGGAGTCTTGGGGCCAAAAATTCTACCTTATGAGCGACTGCTATTAAAGTTGTGAGCGAGCCATTTTGCTACTGCATAAATTAGTTTGCTCTGGAGCCACCCTTCTTGAGCTATGACAAAAATGTGTGAGCTGGAGGCTCAAAAACCATGAGCTAGCTCACACTAACTCAGCTTAGAGGGTACACTGGTTACAGCATATATAAAGTCATCTTTGTAATCCTTCCTTTTTATCTTCATTCAGGTATTATCCCTCAGCTCTTCTCACGTCTAAATCACCCTGAAGTCTACGTTCGGCAGAGTATTTGTAACCTTCTTTGTCGAGTAGCACAAGATTCTCCTCATCTTATATTGTACCCTGCAATTGTGGGCACTATTTCGCTTAGCAGTGAATCTCAAGCTTCAGGTATGGACTAGTAGAAATTTTGCAGGCTAAACTGCAATAGGACAGTTTGTATTTGTCAGAATACTGTCTTAATTTTTAACAAACCTTTCTGCTGCAGAACACATGGTCCTCCTTCAGTGGGGGAGGTCATCCAAGCTGGTTATGTCATGCTTCCTCTTGCTCCAGGCAGGGCTGTGCAAATTTGTGTAGACTGTACTGGCTCAGAGCGAGGCTGATCCTCCAGTTTCTGTAGCTCTGCCGCTCCAGCAGGACGCTTGAGCCTAGTGCCGCTTTATTTGGAGACTCGCACCTTATTGGTATGGAAGACGGAAAAGCTTTGAAGAAGTGCCCCATCTCCAGTCTTAAAAAGAGACCATTAAAGAGAAGCCTCTCTTGCCTGAAGCTTCAGGCATGGGAAACTGGCCAACGGGAGCTATATCTACAGTGGCACAAGCCACTGTTAGTGTTGGCAGACCTGAAACTGGGGGGGGGGGGGGGGGGCCCCCCAGGGGGGGGGGGGCCCCACACAGGGAAGTCCTGGCAGAGCTCTACCAGGTCCGAGCAGCCATGAGAAGATCGCAGTGGGTGGTCCAGACTGGTAAGCTTCCAGGTCAACAGGGAGCAAGAGGACTGGAGCTGAAGGTGAGAACCCCCCCCTGAAAGGGATCAGGGCCTCCAACATGAACAAAGGGCAGATCCAGGTAGGGGGAGCCGCGCGCATCAGAGCCCCCCCCCCCCAAAAAAAAAGCCTTTCGCAGTGCGTTCAGCAGTTCGGACAATTTCAGTATGGCAGCTGCTCAGGCTTTCCCCGTGTTTTTTCAGCCCTCCCCCTGCAGATTGGAGGATGCAGGCCTTTAGACTGTCCTGGACCTCCTCCAACCCGATGCTTATGCAACCAGGAATTATGTTGGCCTTTCTGTGGCTTGGAGTACCTGGCCAAGTGGTGGCTGTGGCTGATCTCTCCCATAAGGATGCTAGCAACCTGGGACATTTATTTATATTTATTTATTTATATTTGCATTTATATCCCGCCCTATCCCGAAGGCTCAGGGCGGCTAACAGGGGCACAAAGTGCCAGGTTAAAACAATAACATATAGTTTAAAACATTTAAAACAATAACATATAATTTAGTTTAAAACAATAAATTACAGTCAGATATAACAATTTACAGCAAATTTCAGCAAGATGGGAAGATCTTAACCTCGCCTAGCTACTGACATCAAGAGTTAGTTGGAAGAGATGTTCCCCTTCTCCCTCACCACCCAGTTCACCGTAGTTGGGGGAGAGCTCACCTCCTAAGATAAAATTACCTTTGGTACCAAAGAAAAGAGGGCGCACCATCGCCACTCATTCAGAGGTCTCAGATGAAGAGGGCGGATCTTCTGCTCTCTCTCTGGGGCCCTGTAAACAAGCAGGAAGAAGCAATTGCAAAGTGGGTCATCAGGTGCTATCTAAAGCTCGTGTTTGGAGGTTGGAGGAGTTTCTTTCAACCATAGGATTTGTGGCAACAAGCTCTGATAAAGAGGAGGGGGGATGGTCCAGAGAGGACTCTGACTCCCAGGGAAATTCTTCTAGGCTGGAACGAGATCCACTTAAGAGATCCATCATAAAGATCAAAAGGGCTGCAGAATTTGCAGCAGATGCATCCCAAGATGCCATGTACTTCTGTGCCAGAGCACAGGCCACCAATATAGTGGTTAGAAGAAGTCTATGGCTAAAGCATTAGAAAGTGTGAGTCCTCTGTCTAATTCAGATTTATCCACAAAAGGACAGAAAATCTAGAGCCAAACCCTTCCATTCCTTTTTTTACCTACAAACTGGCCACATTGAACCCAGGAGCAAAAGGATTTTAGGAGTTCCTGCAACTTCAGCTACAGGTCCAGATTCCAGCAGAGACAGTTCCCTCCCAACAAAGAGGACAGGAACCAACAGAACAAAAACCAGCCTCCTGAGTCCTCACTGTAGGGTTGGGGGTCAACTCCAGCAGTTTCCCCATATCTGGGAGGTGTCTATGACTGACCAGTGGGTACTCTCTATCATCTGGTAGGGACACAGGCAGTGCTCCCTCTAAGCTGTGGAATCTTGTGAGCAAAAATTCTACTTTGTGAGCTACTGGCATTAAAGTTGTGAGTGAGCGATTTGGCTACTGCATAAATTAGCTTGCTCTGGAGCCATCTTTCCTGAGCTAAGACAAAAATGTGTGAACTGGAGGCTAAAAAACTGAGCTAGCTCACACTAACTCAGCTTAGAGGGAACACTGGACACATGATAGATTTTCCCATTCTATTTATAGTCCCCAAAAGATCCGAGGACTGGAGAGCAATTCTAAATCTAGAGAGTTGAACCTCTGGGTAAAGAAGTGCAAGTTCTGGATGGAATCACTTTGCTCCATTCTGCAGAGTATTCAGCAGGCCCATTATGTGACATCCTTAGATCTTTGAGATGCTTTCCTGCATGTTCCAATTCACCCATCTTCCAGACAGTTCCTCCTTTTTGCTTTTCAGGGCCAGCATTTCCAAAGAAGGCCTTACCCTGTGGGCTGTCATCATCTCCAAGGGTGTTTACCAAGGTCCTGGTAGTTCTCTTAGCCTACCTATGATAACACAGAATCTACCTTTATCCTTACCTGGACAATATCCTCCTCAGAGCCAAGGAGGCAGATGCGTTGAGCCAGGACACCTAGTTTACAATGCAGTCTCTTCAGGCATACAGCTTCCTGATCAATGTGGGGGAAAAGGTCACCTCACATCCTCCAGGGACGTAGTCCATTTAGGGCCTCTAATTCAGTTGAGGATGGAAAAAGTTTTTCTGTGTGGTTCTCAGAGCTAGTAAAGATGTCAGCATCTTCATCGTGGAGATTGCCTAACAGATGGGATCTCCTTGTACAAGGATCAGTTCTCCACCCAGACCCTCTTAAGTTCCAGCTGACAGCTTGGAGATTGAGCAGGTGGATTTAGAGGGATCAGGCCTTCCAAGGGAAGTAGTTGACGCCATGGTGCAGTCCAGAAAACCTACTACAGACATATCTATAATCGTACTGTTGGATCCCCAAGCATCGAGAATAAATCCACGTTTTCAGGAAAAGCAAAATTTATTTCAAAGCGTTGAAGATATACTCAAACACGTTCTTTGTTAGAACTGGGGATACACAGTTAGGTCAAGCATAATAAAGGAAATTCAAACAGATACAGATCCAATGAATAGCATTCCCGCTGGCGGGCTAATGAAACGGTTGCGCGCCCAGTCCATGGGAACCAGGCAGAACATCAGACAAAACACAGGTGCAGTTCTCATGAGAAAAGTAATAGGCAAGCATTACAGCATCTTCTCCCCCACACAACCTCCAGCAGTTATCTTGTGCATTCCAACGCAGGAGCAGGAAGATAGAAACTAAGCCGGGTGCAACAGGGAAAGGATATGTACACAGAGGTCACAGAAAACAGAATGGCAGCTTGCTGACACGTACCTGGCTGACATTCAAAAAGTGGGCCAGTTCCAAAAAGAAATATCCACTGAAACCTACTCACAAAGACCTCGTTCTCTTTCTACATGAAGGTTGGGAACAGGGTTTGAGACTGGATACCTTAAAAAGACAGGTTGCAGCACTGGTCATTGTGTTGGGCTACAAAAGACTGCATAATTTATCTTCTCATTGGCACATTATTACAGCAGCAAGCAAAGTAATTTATTCCAGTGTGTTTCCAAAATACTTGTTGCTGCCCTGCTGGAATATGAACAGAATGATAACTAGTATAGACAGCTGGTTTAGCATAGTAGCCAAGAGAGTTTGCTCTGGGTCAGAATCAGATAACTATTGCTTCAGCTCAGCCACAGCAATCAACAAAGCACAAAATGAAGGAAAATACAATAATACCAAATTACAATGTCAATACTAACTATCACAAAAAGTGGTTGTCCTGGAATACAGGCAGAGCAAGGGAACAGAGCTAGATCACAGTCAAGAGTCCAGTCCAGGGGTCAAATGCCTATTTAGCAGCATTTGAGTTCATGAGTTGTTAGTCATGGGTTAGAGTCAAGGAGGCAGTCCAAGGTCGTTGATCAGCAAGGTTCAGGCAGGTCCAAAAAGCAGAGTCAAGGGTCAGTCCAAAGGTTGCAGGAGGCAGGCAGAGTCCAGAGTTGTGGTCCCAAAGTTATACCCCGCGTGCGGGGAGGGCAGGGTATAAATGAAATAAAATAAATAAATAAGTTGCTTCTACAGTCTGCAGTTCTCCAGGTCTGATTTATATAGGCATTCCTTAACAAGCCTGATTTATAGCCATCTGCTTGGAGGTGCTCCACTTACTCAGAACTGCTATCATTAAGCAGCTGGTGCCGAGCCAAGAGGCGAGCACTCTGTGTGTCCTTAAGTTGTGCCGGTGCTTTTCCCTTTGCTGTTCAATTAAGTGGGGGAGCCTAGTGGGCTACTTTTCTGCAGCTGTGCTTCATTGGCTACTTCAGAGCCCTGGGTTGGTCAGCGTCAGCTGCCAGCAGTGAATCTTGAGGCTCCTGTCTCTCTAACTCACTAACTTTAGCTGGTTCAGAGCTGGCTGCATGTGGGTCCTCGACTCCTGAGTAGTCTTCAGCCACACTGGACTCAGGCTGGTCAGGCTGGCCCACGACATTGATCATAAAACAATAATACAAATTAACATAATCCTTTCAATAAGTCTAAATCCATAGAATCCATAGTCATATATAATGATATAATAAGTCGTATGAAAAGGATCTTATTAAATAAGTTTATTTATAAATATAATTTGTTTCAATCATCTTAACTGTATCTTGGTAACTGATGCTACAGACTTTGCCATTTGCATTGTGATCCATCTGTAGTTATCTGCCAGTAACATAACTAATTTGCTTTGCTCTGACCTCCCTGGCAAATGATGTAAAATATTTCCAGAGTACTTCCCTGGAACAGTTACAAATCTTGGGCATCAAAACGTAACATGAGCCAGATCTTCAATGGATTTGTGGTTGCAGGAGCGCACTTCGTCATCAAATGAGATCTTATTGTAGTGGCCCTTCACTACTGACAGTTGTAAAATATCCATCTGAGCCCTCGTAAATGCTTTTCTCAATTCTATGACCGTTAAGTCATTAAGGAAATCGAGCAAGCTATAGGACAAGGTATAAGTTGTTTAGTGGCTGAACTTATGGTATTAAGTAACCCATGATCTACTTCTGAATTTATGTCCAATAATCTTTGTTTAATTAAGCGTCTAGCAATTACATGATCAAAATCCTTTAAATATTCTTCAGATAATACTAGTTTAGCCAGTAAAGACAGTGTCTGTGATCTCCCTGATATATTTTTCATCTCTTCATATGCCATCATTACTAGCAGCGGTGCTTGGGTGAAAAAGTTCTTCAGCCAGAAATATATAACAAGTTTATGAACTATTATTGATATTGGTGGCAAAGCCAATTCTGATCTCTGTGTAACTGATGATGTGGAGTTAGCAAATTTAGAAGAAGAGATTGGATTTATACCCCACCCTTCACTACCCAAAGGAGTCTCAGAGCGGCTTACAAACTCCTTTCCCTTTCCCTCCCCCCAACAGACACCCTGTGAGATAGGTGGGGCTGAGAGAGCTCTTTCAAGAACTGCCCTTTCAAGGACAGCTCTTGTCAGAACTATGGCTTGCCCAAGGTCCTCCAGCAGCTGCAAGTGGAGGAGTGGGGAATCAAACCTGGTTCACCCAGATTAGAGTCCACACGCTTAACCACTACACCAAACTGACTTTATTTTGTATAACTTCTAATGGCTATAGATTTCCAAATCCCCAGATTAAAGCACTTTACATTTGATGGAGTAATTTAGATTTTAAAATTTCTAGAGTGTGGGGTACTAATGAACCACCTTTTGTTCTATAAAATCTGTATAATCCACATTTATTTATGTTTTTTAAATTAAGTTTCTGTCCAGTTAAGTCAGTATGTGTTGTCCAAGATCCTGACTGATAAAAGATAATCCCTAGATATTTAAAGGAAGTCATCTGTTCTAATAAGTTGCCATCCATTGTCCACCTATGTCACCGTATCTACTTGCTGAAGTTCGTAATCTTTGTTTTTGCATAGTTGACCTGGAGTAGATTCCTCTTACAATATATGCTAAATTGATTTAACAGTCTTCTGAGAACAATTTGTGTCTGAGCAATGAGTAATGTATCATCTGCATATAGGAGAACAGAAACAGCCTTAGTTCCAAGCCTTACTGGAAAAAAATGTGCTCCTGTAAGAGAGTCCACCATATCTACCCAGGTTGTAGCTTGGTCATATAACCAGCTTGGATGACTTCCCTCACTGAAGGAGAATGAAACATTGGAACTTGCCTGAAGGTTTTTTCTCTTCAGTGGGGAGACATCATCCACATCCCACCACCAAAAAATAAATCTAGTTGGACGCAAAAAAACTGTTATGCAGCTAGGCTGTACTAAGACTGGAGGGTCAGCCTCGCTCTGAGCCACAGTCTATACAAATTTGCATAGCCCTGCCTGGAGCAAGAGGAGGTATGACCTAACCAGCTTGGATGGCTTCACCCCACTGAAGAGAAGAAACCTTTAGGTAAATTCCAGTGTTTTGTTCCCTGCAAGCAGATTGCCATGTGGTGTCCATACTAGGGATGGGCATGAACTGGGAAAATTTGTTTTGGTTCATGATGTGCCTTGTTTGCAGACCATGAACCATCATGAACCATCATGACTTTTTAGTGTCATGAACTGTTTCAGTTTGTGAGGCAGTAGAATGATACATACACACACCCAGTGGGCTAGAGACACCATACTCTGAGGGGATCTCCAGCTGATTCTCCTCTACCTGTTCACCAAGTTTGGTGAGTGTTGGATTTATGGGGCCCAAGTTATGACCTCCCCCCAAAGAAGGTGTCCCCAGGAAAGTGTTTTCTGGGGAAATGACTGCCTGTCTGGAGAAATGACTGTCAGGAACTTCACAATGCATGGACTGGCTAAAATTTGTCATGAACTTTCGTTCGCAAGCTGGTTTGTGCCCATCCCTAGTCCATACAATATGTGTTTTTCATATACAGTGCATGTTGAATAAGCACAGAAGAATTGCAAGGACAGTTGTGCTTTGATGAACCTCTTAAAAATACATTATTATATACTTGCTTCTGTGCTTAAAGTTTATCTGAACTATGATTAAGCAGTTCACTTTTATCACTTCAAAATAAAATTAAGTATTATTGTAACTGAATTACATAAATCAAAGATTCTGTGATGCTCTGGCCCTATCCGGACTTATTCTCCATGGAGAACAGTTTCACAAAGAATCTGTGACTCCAAGACCCAGTTCAGGATACATTGCCAACTTGTGTGGCTTTCAGGTGCTCATGTCCTATCTAGAACTGTAGCTTGTGTGATCACCATTGTCCCATTCTTACCGTGAACAGAATAATGATGTAAGGAATTTTACAGGTTTTGTAGGGATGGGCAAATCTTTGTTATTTTGGTTAAGGCTCTAGTTTACTGACTTAGGCAGACCTTTGAATTTTGACCAAACAGAAACGAGCTTTCTCCCCTGCCCTTTTTTTTTTCAAACTTAGGGAGCAAATTTCCTTCTGCAATTCCTACCTTTTTGGGAAACATCCAAGGCGAGGAATTACTGGGTGGCGAGTGTGATGGGGAGGGAAGTCCCCCAGCTTCTCAAGAGAGCATAAAAGACGAGACGAAAATGGGCTTAAATGAAGACCAGGCAATGATGCAAGACTGCTACAGTAAAATTGTTGAGAAGTTGTCGACTGCCAATCCCACAATGGTGTTGCAGGTAAAATCTCGAGTTATGGCTCAGCCTGTCCAAGCCCTTTGGCTTGCACTCCAGAGCTTTTGATTTGCCAACCTGTCTAGGTGACCCATTTTACTTACACTGAGACACTTTGAAATTGCTACTGGTTATTTGAAATAAATTACAAAGAATTCTTTTGTTGTTGTTTGCTGTGGATTCAGGTCCAGATGCTGGTAGCAGAGTTACGCAGAGTCACTGTCCTTTGGGACGAACTTTGGCTGGGAGTCCTGCTGCAACAGCACATGTTTGTCCTCCGGCGAATTCAGCAGCTGGAAGACGAGGTGAAGAGAGTCCAGAACAACAACACCCTGCGGAAGTAAGTTTGTGTTTGGTTTTCTTGAAAAGCTGGTAGGTGAGGGTCCTCCCACCCTCTGCTGTCCTTGGGTGTACTCCACCACAGACCTTAGAATGGGAGGGAGGGGGTTCCATCACAGCAAAACTGCCTGGCAAGTTGGGACTCAACCCCCAGGCTTCTGGTTGGTCTCTCTCTCCCTGTCTCTTCCAGATAGATGCAGCCCCACTTTGTCAGGTGGGACCTGGGTTGAGTCTGGGCTGTGCCCAGCTCCAGACAGGGTAGTAAGAACTACTAGAATCTCTTCTTGCCATTTTGGTGTAGTAGTTAAGAGTGTCAGACTCTAATCTGGGAGAACTGGGTTTGATTCCCCAATCCTCCACATGCAGCCAGCTGGGTAACCTTGGGTCAGTCACAGTTCTCTCAGAGCTGTTCTCTCAAGAACAGTTCTCTCTGAACTCTCTCAGCCCCACCTCATGGGTCGTCTGTTGTGGGGAGAGGAAGGGAAGGAGATTGTAAGCTGCTCTGAGACTCGGAGTGAAGGGCAGGGTATAAATCCAACTCCTTCTCCTCCCCCTTCTTCCCTTGAACTATTGAATTAGCTGTACATGGCTACTGAATGGGTAATAGCTTCTTTAGGATAGGAACTTGGACTTTATAATTCTCTTGTGCCCTGTACTTCTTAGCTGTATTGAGTTAAAGTTCTTGTTATAAGCTTTGAAACAATGCAAGGCAATCGAAATGTTACATCTGGTTATGAAAACACTGGCATCAATAATGTCAGTGTCTTCAGAATGCAAGTGATGTTTTCTCCCCCCATCTGTTTTACAGAGAGGAAAAAATTGCCATCATGCGTGAAAAGCACACGGCCCTAATGAAGCCCATTGTATTTGCTCTGGAGCATGTGCGGAGCATCACCGCAGCTCCTGCAGAGACTCCTCACGAGAAGTGGTTTCAGGACAGCTATGGAGATGCCATTGAAAGTGCTCTGGAGAAACTGAAGAACCCATCGAATCCTGCTAAGCCTGGGAGTAGCTGGATCCCTTTTAAAGAGGTAGATCATTAAAGAAAGGACGGTGTAAATCGTCAAAATATTGCAGAGAATAGTTCAAAGTAACTTTGGCTCCTGTCTGGGAATAAAATCATAATTCTGCTGCTGGAACTGTAGGATGACTTAGACAGCAGCTTTTTAAACCATCTTCTGTTTGTTTGTTTTTAAAAATAGGTCATGCTCAATCTTCAGCAGAGAGCCCAGAAGCGGGCCAGTTACATTCTGCGTCTGGAGGAGATAAGCCCGTGGCTTGCTGCCATGACCAGCACTGAAATTGCTCTCCCTGGAGAGGTGTCTGCCAGAGACACAGTCACCATTCATAGTGTGGGGAGCACAATCACAATTCTGCCCACAAAAACAAAGCCGAAGAAGCTCCTTTTCCTGGGCTCGGATGGGAAAAACTACCCATACCTTTTCAAAGGTACGTGCTTTGGGAAGCGGCCATGACTCAGTTCTAGAGCTCTGGCATGCAGAAGGTACCAGGGTCAACCCCTAGCATCTCCAGTTAAAAGGATCAAGGAATAGGAGATTTGAGAGCTAGTTTGGTGTCGTGGTTAAGTGCGTGAACTCTAATCTGGGAGAACTGGGTTTGATTCCCCACTCCTCCACATGCAGCTGCTGGTGTGATCTTGGGTCAGTCACAAGATCTCTCAGAGCTGTTCTCTCGCAAGCAGTTCTTGAAGAGCTCTCTCAGCCCCACCTACCTCACAGGGTGTCTGTTGTGAGGAGGGGAAGGGAAAGGCGATCGTAAGCCGCTCTGAGACTCCTTCGGGTAGTGAAGGGTGGGGGTATAAATCCAGTCTCTTCCTCTTCAAAGACTTCTGCCTGAGATCTTGGAGAGCCGCTGGCAGCCTGAATAGACAGTCCTGCCCTTGATGGATCAATGGCCTGATTCCGTATAAGGCAGCTTCATATGTACATATATATATATTGTAAAAAGCCTCCAAAACATTTTTGTCTTCGCTCAGGAAAGATGGCTCCAGAGCAAACTAATTTATGCAGTAGCAAAATCGCTCGCTCTCAACTGTAATGGCAGTAGCTCCTGGCTTGTTATTCTCCCAGAGTTATTCTATAGAGCCTTTGAGACAGTTTGAGCCCAAGCAAAAAGGGAGAGCTTTCTGGCTATTTTAATATGGTTTTAATATATTTGATATTTATTGTGTTGTCTTTGGCTGTTCCCCACCTTTCGGTCCTGATTTGTCATGAGAAAGGCAGTTTTATAAACATTTTTAATAAGTAAGTCTTGTGGATTGAAACCGAATGTTCTCTCCAGTGGAGGACATCTTTGTCTAGGTTAGCTTATTCATTTGTAGAGGCAGGGAACATAAGAGAACATAAGAGAAGCCAATGCTGGATCAGGCCAATCCAGTCCAACACTCTGTCACACAGTGGCCAAAAATAGCAGGTGCCATCAGGAGATCCAGCAGTGGGGCCAGGACATTAGAAGCCCTCCCACTGTTGCGCCCCCCCCCCCGGCACCAAGAATACAGAGCATCACTTGCCCCAGACTGAGAGTTCCTATCTGTACCTTGTGGCTAATAGCCACTGATGGACCTCTGCTCCATATGTTTACCTAATTCCCTCTTGAAGCTGTCCATGCTTGTAGCCACCGCCACCTCCTGTGGCAGTGAATTCCAAATGACTTCTGTTCTGCTCAGTGGAGGAACCTCTCCTAGGTTCTAGCATATCTCAACCTAGACTGCTGTCCATATTCATGCTATACACTGGCTCAGTTTAGGAGACACTTCTTTTACTTGTTAAGCTTTAGAAGGAACTTCCTAACCAGGAAGAGCAGTTGAGCAGTGGGAACCATTACCTTGAGGGGCAGCCTCTCCTCCCCTGGAGGTTTTCAAGCAGAGGCTGAATAGCCATCTGTCAGAAATGGTCTAATATTACATTTCCTGCCTTGAGCATGTAAAACCCTTGCTCACTCAGATTCTGTCCTGCTTCCTGTTTTCCATCTCAGTCAGGATTCGGAGAGGAGTTCTGCATTTGCAGCAGATCAATGGCTTCTCTCCTGCTGGATCGCAGCTGCAGCAGGAAAGAGAGAAGACATCTGTGGAAGGGCATCTGATTCCACAGAAAGCAAGGAAGGTACTCTTGGTTTGTGGTGGATGGGAAAGAAGAAGAGAAGAGGTTGGATTTATACCCCGCCCTTCACTTGGAGTCTCAGAGCGGCTTACAAACTCCTTTCCCTCCCCCTCCCCACAACAGACACCCTGTGAGGTGGGTGGGGCTGAGAGAACTCTGACACAAACTGCTCTTTTTCAAGGACAGCTGTGCCAGAGCTTGTGACTGACCCAAGGTCACATCAGCAGGTGCAAGTGGAGGAGTGGGGAATCAAACCCGGGTCTCCCAGATTAGAGTCCGCACACCTAACCACTACACCAAACAAGGTTGCCGTAACTCAGGTTCCCTCCAAAACGTATTGGAAACCCACAAAAGGGGCAAGAAAGTGTATTCCATGTGACAATACTAGAAGCGTCCCAGTGAATTTCAAGCAAGAACTTTTCATCAAGGGGAAAGAAACACATGAGAATGAATGTAACAAAAAAGATAAAACAATGTAGTATAAACTCCTAAAGTGCTTCTTTGCCTTAAAATCAGAAGAAGTGAAAACTAATTTCTTGGAAAAATGTAAAGAGACGTGCCCAGGACTTTAGGCATGTCTGAAGTTGCTCTTGGGATATTGATTAATATTTAATTTTGGAATAAGATATGGAAGTCTCCCTTCCATTCCTACTCCTTACCTTTGCTCTTTGGTGTAGTGGTTAAGTGTGCGGACTCTAATCTGGGAGAACCGGGTTTAATTCCCCGCTCCTCCACTTGCAGCTGCTGGATGACCTTGGGCAAGCCGTAGTTCTGATAAGAGCTGTTCTTGAAAGGGCAGTTCTTGAAGGAGTTCTCTCAGCCCCACCTACCTCACAGGGTGTCTGTTGTGGGGAGGGAAAGGGAAAGGAGTTTGTAAGCTGCTCTGTGACTCTAAGTGAAGGGCGGGGTATAACTCCAGTCTCCTCCTCCTCCTCCTCCTCCACCACCACCACCACAACCAATATAACCTGGAATTTTTTGGGTAAGGTAGGATGCAGTACAGAAAAGTGTGTTCCATTTCAGGACTTAGAAAGAAATTCTAATATGAGAGCAGAAAATTAATACTGTGTGTGTGGGGATCTCCTAGCTGTGCTAGATTTTCATTTGCTGACACCCCCCCCCCCCAAAAAAAAAAGAAAGCCTGGAGCTGCAATCTGAAGACCCTTCTGTCATTTCATTTTTTTCCTGCATGTGTGAACCAAGCCTTGGTGGTAGACATCTCTTTTCTATCTCCTTTTCTTTCAAATGAATCAGCACTGGGTCTCTAACTCTGTTCTGGCTAAGGCTTAGGGCTGGTTAGCTTAGAAAAAGTGAGGAAGGGGAGACATGATTGATTTCTATTAAATTATGCCAGTCATGGAGGTGTGGACAGGCAGAAACTTTTCTCCCTCTCTGATAATACAAGAACCCTGGAGTCATCCACTGAAGCTGAATGGTGAGAGATTCAGGAGAGACGAAAGGAAGTACTTTTTCACACAGGGCATAGTTAAATTGTGGAACTCACTGCCACAGGATGTGGTGATGGCCGCCAACTTGGAAGGCTTTAAAAGGGGCATGGATAATTTAATGGAGGACGGGGCTTTCAGTGGCTGCTATTCATGATGGATATTGGATCCCTCCAGTACCAGAGGCAGGGTGCCTCTTTATATCAGCTGCTGGGGAGCACGGGCAGGAGGGTGCTGTTGTGGTCATCCTGCTTGTGGTCTTCTCAGAGGCAGCTAGTTGGCCAGAGTGTGAACAGAATGCTTGGCTTGACGGTCCTTTGGTCTGAGTCAGCATGGCTTATGTTCTTAAGGCACATTCCATTTGATGTTGTTCATTTCGGGCTTGTTACTTCTTGTGGGAAAGGAGTCCAGCATCCCAAGTAGAGAGGCTGCTTTGGCTTACAGATAGTTGCCTGACTTCTTTATCAGCTCGCTCTGTACGTGGCTGGCTGGAGCTATTTTAGTCAGAAAGGAAGGAAGCTTATAAAGGTGTAAAGGTTTCTCTTGCTCAAAAGCTAGTTGAATCCGACTCTAGGGGGCGGTGCTCACCTGTTTCCAAGCCGAAGAGCCAGCGCTGTCCAAAGATTTCCATGGTCATGTGGCCGTCATGACTAAACGCCAAGGCACATGGAATGCTGTTACCTTCCCACTGAAGCGGTACCTATTTATCTACTTGTAATTTCTTGCTTTTGAACTGCTAGGTTGGCAGGAGCTGGGGCCAGAGACGTGAGTGGCACTAGGGTCTCGAACTACAGACCTTCTGGTCTGCAGCTCAGCATCTTAACCTCTGAGCCACCGCAGCCCCAAGGAAGCTTATAGATGAACTCAAATATCCCTCTGCTTCCCCATTCAGGTCTGGAAGATTTGCATCTCGACGAACGAATCATGCAGTTTTTATCAATTGTTAATACAATGTTTGCTACAATAAATCGTCAGGAGACACCCCGGTTCCATGCCAGGCACTACTCAGTTACACCGCTGGGAACAAGATCAGGCCTGATCCAGTGGGTTGATGGAGCCACCCCATTGTTTGGTCTGTATAAGAGGTGGCAGCAGAGAGAAGCGGCTTTGCAAGCACAGAAGGTAATGGCATCAACAGGCACCTCTGTGGGGTTTTTTTTTAAGAAGCCACTTTCGAGTAATTAAAAGCATTAAGAAGGTTAAACAGCAGGTCGTAAAGTGGAGACTTGATTTATCGGGCCAAGGATACCAGTGACGCTTACTCTTATTGTGCAAGCAGATGGTGACAGTTAAGAATGCCCTAAAACACTTGAAAGGGGTAATTTGTGTTACAAATCCAGACACAAACATTGGAAATCCTGTGTGGGTGTCACCCGTGTGCTCACATGCCCTGGCTCAGCACCGCTTTATGCAGTACTGTTCCCTCATTGGCGGCGAGGGGCTGCCTTTAACATGCTTGACAGAGAAAACAGGCATTCAGATGTTCCAAATAACAGCCTTCCTTTTGCTGTGCACTTCCTCTTTGTCCCTCTGAGAGCCACAGTGGGTTGAAGAAGGTAGAGGTTCTAAGTGGCCTTTGTGCCATTTAGGAGGGGCTCTGTGTGTGTTACTTGTCCCCCCCCCCCTTGCCAAAGTTGAGGCTCCAGAGAACAGATATATTTGGAGCAGAAAAGAGGTCATGCCGGCTGAAACTTTGAGACACAAGGAGCCCTGCCGTTGGTGTTCTCAGTGAGTAGCACTGGAGGAAAAGCAAAAGCTGCCGCTGTAGTCCTTAGTGCAGTATAAGACTTTGCAAAATTGGGGAGGGGGGAGAGAGATCCAGGAATAGCCCCAAATTGCCATTTTTAAAAAAGGAGTCTACCATTTTAGATGGAGCAATTTTTTCTCCAGGTCAAAACTGATCATGCTCCAAAGGGATCTTGAATTATTTGAAAGAAGCACTTTTCCCACAATAAGTGTGGATAATTCTGTTTAAATTATTCTGGATGGGATATAGAAATCGGAAAAATGGATAATACAGAAGCTCAACATAGGCTTGTTTATATGCTGCAAATTACTGTCCAGCCAAGATGTAGCTATATGGGATAATAATTTCACTCAGGAATGTATTCACATAGGTCTCTATCACTGAACTATGTAAATAGTAACAAAATGTATTTTTAGGCCCAAGATTCCTACCAGACACCTCAAAATCCTGGAATTGTTCCGAGACCCAGTGAACTGTACTACAGTAAAATAGGGCCAGCTTTGAAGGCAGTTGGACTTAGCCTGGATGTGTCTCGCCGAGACTGGCCTCTGAATGTAATGAAGTCTGTCTTGGAAGAGTTAATGGAAACCACTCCGCCAAATCTTCTAGCTAAAGAACTTTGGTCATCTTGTACTACTGCTGATGAGTGGTGGAGAGTTACACAGGTAGGTAAAGGCCTCCTGTAAACTAGATTATATTTTTAAACTGGTGTATGGTGGGGATCAGATTTATAACTTGACAAAACTTTTTTTCCTCCCAAGTCTTATGCAAGGTCCACTGCAGTTATGTCTATGGTTGGCTACATAATTGGTCTTGGAGACAGACATCTGGACAATGTTCTTATTGATATGACTACGGGAGAAGTCGTTCACATAGATTATAATGTTTGCTTTGAAAAAGGTAAAAGGAAAAGAAAAAAATGATACATTTATATGCATCTAAAATTAATAAGGTTGGATACCTTGTTAGAACCTGAATTTTTCCTCTTGCAGGGAAAAGCCTTCGAGTGCCAGAGAAAGTTCCATTTCGGATGACACAAAACATTGAAACAGCCTTTGGCGTGACAGGCGTGGAAGGGGTTTTTAGGCTTTCCTGTGAACAAGTAAGCTGCAAGATATATTCTGCCGTGTGTGCCCCTTCCACATGTCATACTGATTTGGGAAGTGCCCACTCTTTTTTTGCTGTAGGCACATATGGGGAGGGCAAGAGTTACACGCAGTGATGAATTTCTGCTTCTGATTACTAGAAATCCTATTGAGGCTGTAGTTTGCTTTGGAGCCTTCTTGATTGTGGCACCAAAATTGTGGAATTCTCTCCCCAGGGAGAGTTATCTGTCCTCCTTGATCGTTATGTTCCACCACTGAGTGAACACTTTTCTGTTTTGTCCCTTGTTGCCTGACTTGAACCTCTTTCTTGTTTGTTTTTAATTTAATCTGTGTGTATGTGTGTGTGTGTGTGTGTGTGTGTGTGTAAAATGTTCAATTTTTAATGTCTTCTTAATTGTTTGCTATCTTGAAGGGCATAGCTGTGCAGAAAAGCAGGATGCAAATGTTTTGAATAAATAGTACTGCCAAGCCTTAAAAGCTAAGGTACTGATGCTCAGACTTGGGGCTTGCTACAGTAGTTGCGAAACTCGAATGATATGGTTGATACTTTAAAAAAATAATATATATATATATATAGGTTCTGCACATTATGCGGCGTGGCCGAGAGACCCTGTTGACGCTGCTGGAAGCTTTTGTTTATGACCCACTTGTGGACTGGACTGCGGGAGGGGAAGCTGGATTTGCTGGAGCCGTGTACGGCGGAGGCGGGCAGCAAGCAGAGAACAAGCAGAGCAAGAGGGAGATGGAGAGAGACATCACTCGCAGCCTCTTCTCCTCTAGGGTCGCTGAAATCAAGGTCCGTGTGATACTCTCAGCATTTATTTATTTATTTTATTTTTATATATACTTTCAATTTGTACCCCGCACACCCCCGAAGGGCTCTGAGCGGCTTACATGGTGCATGGTGCAGAGACCTATGAAGAAACCCTAACTATGGCCACAGTATGTCTGGGGTGGGGGGAGCCCTACCAGGTACCCTCCCGGCTCCGATCGTTCGTTTATCCGGAGAGTGGGCGACTTCTTCCAGTTCTCTCCGGTGCGGCTTTCCGCGGCCTCCGCTGTTCTTTTGGCTCTCTGGCGACTCCTCTCGGGGGCTGTTGGTTATGGGTCCTGGTGCGCAGCCGCAGTGGGCGTCGCAAATTATGTTGGGACAGTGCAAATCTGTCTTTAAAAATCACTCGTGAAAGTGTTGCACAAATGTTGTGGTCTCGTGTCCTCTTAGCGCTTTGCTTTTGGTAGTGAGTGTTCCTGAAAACAGTCTTGGTGAAATGTTCTCCGCTCCACCTCTAGAAATTCGGTCCACCACCATAGATACCGAGGTAATCAGTGACACAGGTCAAAACCCATTGCTCAAGCTAGCGTGTGGTTCTCGCTGCCTGTCAGAAGAACGCTTAGTGCGTATCGAAGCATCTGCGCAGTAAACCTGAGATGGAAACGATGCTTGGTTGTAGGCTGGAAGTAGTTCTGTCCTGCCTCAGAACCAAAGTTTATCTTTGTGTCCTCTCCAGCCCCTAATGCTGGGAACAGCCCGAGGCAGACACAAAAGCTTCTTGAGCTTTCCTAGTCAGCACCAAATGCTCATACCTCCCCTCTGTCTAACAGTTTTACTTCCTTCTAGCCATGTAGACACAGGGGGCACCTCCTTTCCTGTTAGCTGTGGACAATAAAATAAATTCTGTATTACCCAAAAGGAGGACCTTCCTGAATGTAAGATGATCCCCCTTTTAAAAAGTTTACACCCAAGAGTTTTTTGTTACTGAACTTTCCCACTGACTTCAAAAACCTAGTCTTCCTTCTGAGTAAACAGGGTAAAAATACAATATTTAAGCAGAGGCCACAACAGTATTTAAAGCTTCAATAATATCAGCCAGACAAGAATGCCAATAAAATAATCAGCAATAAAGTTATTTCAGTACTCAGTCTGGTTGTTCTGCTAACATAATACTTGTCTTATAGGTCAACTGGTTTAAGAACAGAGATGAAATGCTGGCTGTCCTTCCAAAGCTGGATGCCAGTTTAGGAGAATATTTGAACCTGCAACAGCAATTAACGGAGGTTGAAAAACTGCAAGGCAAACTCTCAGAAGAGATTGACTACCTGGAGGGGGCAGAAGGGGTGGATCATCCATCTCACACTCTGCAGCACAGGTACAAAGGAGCCTTTGTCGTCTTTATAAGGCTTTCAGTTCACAGGACACTGTACTAAAGTTTAAAAACTGCACCACACCCCCCCCTTATGTAGGGATTTCCAGAAACAATTTGCGACTGCAAATCAAATAAGAAATGTGTGGTGCACCATAGAGAGGCTGTGGCTAGGAGGAGGAACTGACAGAAATCACTATCAGACATGCACACATGCCAGACAAAAAGAAACAAAACAAAGTAATGGAAGCTGTAAAAGGTAAAAAGGATTCCTTTAAGCAGTGGAAAGCTAGTCACAGTGAGGCTGATAAAATGGAACACAGGCTATGGCAAATATAATGCAAGTCTGTGGTCAGGCAGGCAAAAAGAGAATATGAGGAGCATATAGCAAAAAACGTTAAGACCAACAATAAAACTTTATTCAAATACATTAGAAGCAGAAACCAGCCAGGGAGGCAGTGGGGCCCTTGGATGACCAAGGGGCTAAAAGAAGTACTGAAGGATGATAGGGAAATGGCTGAGAAGCTAAATGCATTTTTTGCGTCTGTCTTCACTGTGGAAGATGCGAAGTGCTTGCCCACTCCAGAACCGCTGGTTTCGGGAGGGGTGTTGAAAGACCTGAGTCAGATTGAGGTGACAGGAGAGGAGGTCCTAAAACTGATAGACAACTTAAAAACTGATAAATCACCAGGCCCAGATGGCATACATCCAAGAGCTCTGAAAGAACTCAAATGTGAACTTGTGGATCTCCTGACAAAAATATGTAATCTTTCCTTAAAATCTGCCTCCATTCCTGAGGACTGGAAGGTAGCTAATGTCACTCCCATCTTTAAAAAGGGTTCCAGAGGAGATCCGGGAAATTACAGGCCAGTCAGTCTGACGTCGATACCGGGTAAATTGGTGGAAACCATTATTAAGGAAAGAATTAGTAGGCACATAGATGAACAAAACCTATTGAGGCAGACTCAACATGGGTTCTGTAAGGGAAGATCTTGTCTCACTAACCTATTAGTGTTCTTTGAGGGGGTGAACAAACATGTGGACAAGGGGGATCCAATAGATATTATTTACCTTGACTTCCAGAAAGCTTTTGATAAAGTTCCTCATCAAAGGCTCATAAGTAAGCTCAAAAATCATGGGATAAAAGGACAAGTCCTTTTATGGATCAAAAACTGGCTAATTAATAGAAAACAGAGAGTGAGTATAAATGGGCAGTTCTCCCAGTGGAGGGGGGTAAGCAGTGGGGTACCACAGGGATCAGTACTTGGTCCACTGCTTTTTAACTTGTTCATTAATGATTTGGAGTTGGGAGTAAGCAGTGAAGTGGCTAAATTTGCGGATGATACAAAGTTGTTCAGGGTGGTGAAAACCAGTGAGGATTGTGAGGCACTCCAAAGGGATCTGTCAAAGATGGGCAAGTGGGCGTCAACATGGCAAATGGGGTTCAATGTGGCCAAGTGCAAGGTGATGCACATTGGAGCCAAAAATCCTAAATATAAATACACATTGATGGGGTCTGAACTGGCAGAGACTGAGCAAGAGAGAGATCTTGGAGTTGTAGTGGATAACTCACTGAAAATGTCGAGACAGTGTGTGACTGCAATAAAGAAGGCCAATGCTATGCTGGGGATTATTAGGAAGGGTATTGTAAACAGATCAGCCAATATCATAATGCCGCTATATAAATCAATGGTGCGACCTCATCTGGAATACTGTGTGCAATTCTGGTCACCACACCTTAAAAAGGATATTATAGCTTTGGAAAAAGTGCAGAAAAGAGCAACTCGAATGATAAAAGGGTTGGAACACTTTCCCTATGAGGAAAGGTTAAAGCGCTTAGGGCTCTTTAGCTTGGAGAAAAGACGACTGAGGGGTGACATGATCGAGGTTTATAAGATTATGCATGGGAAAGAGCAGGTAGAGAAAGAGGTACTTTTCTCCCTTTCTCACAATACAAGAACCCGTGGGCACTCCATGAGGGGGGGGGGTCAACAGTGGGAGGGCTTCTAGTGTCCTGGCCCCACTGCTGGACCTCCTGATGGCACCTGGTATTTTTGGCCACTGTGTGACAGAGTGTTGGACAGGATGGGCCATTGGCCTGATCCAACATTGGCGTCTCTTAAGATGCTTTTTGAAGAGAGCTTGTATGGTGATTTCTGCTGATTTCCTCCCCCAAAGTGCATCCCATGCTGTTGCAGGGGGGTCTCCTGACGATTGGGAGTGGCTTCTGGGGAGGACACGGGGTGGGTGGGTTTGCACTGACAAGAGGAAGGCAGTCAAGATCCTTTCTGAGAACTCAGTCCATTTGTGGTAAGGTTGGATCCAGCCCTCCTGTGAGGCTAATCAGGCTGACAGCAGGGGGACTGGTCCATGGCCAACCAGTGACCTTGCTGGAGATCAGGGCTTCAATCTCATCAGGTTTTATCGAGATAAGTTCAGCTCATTAATCATCTTACCGTGCTGGCTGTGTAGTTTCTTGAGGATAAGTTGGCCTCTGTTTTGAAATTTTGTGTGGGTGGAAATCTCCAAAGGCTCACCAGAACTACTGGTTGGGGTTGCCAGCATCACAGTGCCAACTTGAATGCAGGAAGCTGCCTTATACTGAACCCTTGGTCCATCAAGGTCAGTAGTGTCAGCTCAGACTGGCAGTGGCTCTCCAGAGCCTAAGGCTTCCAGACTGGAGATGCCAGGGATTTAACCTGGAACTTCCTTCATACTTCCTTCCTCTGAGCCTTAGGTTCTCCTCTGATCATCCTTCTTGGTTGTAAAGCTGATTTTCATAGTGTGCCTTGATGCTGAATGCAGTTTATTTTATAGTTACATATGGGTTGAGATTTTTGTTAATTTACATTCAGATCCTGAAAGATGAGGAGTGGGGGGGGGGGGGGGGGGGGGAGTCTTTTCTTTCTCTGGAAGGACACCTTTGAATCCCATTCAGGTGTTGCTATAGAAATTAAAGTTATGCATATGAATGTCTTATAAGATGCTTTCATTTTTTACCACTTGCCTCCAACCCAGGTATTCTGAACATACGCAGCTGCAGTCTCAGCAAAGAGCGGTGCAAGAAGCAATCCAGGTGAAGCTGAATGAATTTGAACAGTGGATGTCTCATTACCAAGCTGCTTTCAACAACCTGGAAGCAACACAACTTGCAAGTCTGCTCCAGGAAATCAGTACCCAAATGGACCTTGGTATGAAACAAATCTGGTGGTCCCCACCCCCAGGGCTGGCTGGCTTCAGATCTTAAAAAGCTGCACAGTTTCAGTGATTGGACGATGCTGTTTTTATGCTCCTGCTGGGCTTTTAATTGCTTTGGTTTTTAGTGGCTTGTTGACTTTTTAATTATGCTGTTTTTATTATTTTTATCATGTTTTACCTTGTAAGCTGTCCCGAGCAAGTTCTGTAGAGAGGCAGTATGTACATTTCCTTCATCAAATGTGATATCTGCTCTGACCATGGGAGTTGCAGCACTTGGGTTTGGGTGCTCTGGTGTTACGCAGATCCATCTCTTTTCCCCCCCGAGGAACTAAGTAATTTAAATGTATGCCCCATTATAAGCTGCACTCCACTGCCAAAGCTTGTTTGTCACATGAGCACCTGAACCTGCTTTAATGACTGGTAGTTAGCTAACAATTGGGTTAGAATGGATATTGATTCTGTTTGACAGCAGAGCATTGACCGTTCAATGCACGTAGTCTTCACTAGCTACAGGGAGAGTTCTGGATAACTTACAGGGGGAAAAATAATGTGTGTGGGTTAGAGTATGCTGACTTTTCCCCCTTGGTGACTTCTTTTAAAGGTCCACCGAGCTATGTGCCAGCAACTGCCTTCCTCCAGAATGCTGGCCAGGCGCACTTGATCAGTCAGTGTGAGCAGTTAGAAGGAGAGGTTGGTGCTTTACTTCAGCAGAGGCGATCTGTTCTGCGTGGATGTCTCGAACAGCTGCACAACTATGCGACTGTAGCTCTCCAGTACCCCAAAACAGTGTTTCAGAAGCACCGTGTTGAGCAGTGGAAGACCTGGATGGAAGAACTCATTATTAACATGACCATTGAACGCTGTCAGGATCTTTATAGGAAGTAAGTTGCCAGCTGAGCCTATAGAGGATGGAAAAGATTAAATTGCTGTAAATCTTTAGAAGTTCTGGCTCTTTTAAACATTTATGGTAATTGTTATTATTATTCCCCAGGTATGAGATTCAGTATGCTCCTCAGCCCCCACCGGCTGTCTGTCAGTTTATAACTACGACCGAAATGACTTTACAGAGGTACGCAGCTGATATAAACACCAGGCTCATCAGACAGGTGGAGCGCTTGAAGCAGGAAGCGGTCACAGTCCCTGTTTGTGAAGAACAGTTGAAAGAAATCGAGCGCTGTATTAAGGTCTTCCTCCATGAAAACGGTGAAGAAGGATCTCTGAGCTTAGCGAGCGTGATCATTTCTGCTCTGTGCACTCTTACCAGGTGAAGTGCTCGTGTCATATGAGTGGGTGTTCCGTGTTGGTCCCTCCCATCAGAAATGCATTTCCACAAACCCTTCGGTTGGTGTTTCTTTCTCTGTTGAGGTTATGGTTGGGGTGGCTCCTCCCCTTTTAGTGATAGACAAAACAGGCTCTTTTTGTAGCAGGTACTCATTTGCATATTAAGCGACACATCCCTAATGTAGCCAATCCTCCAAGAGCTTACAGTAACTCCTGTAAGAAGAGCTCTGTAAGCTCTTGGAGGATTGGCTACATTAGGGGTGTGTGGCCTAATATGCAAAGGAGTTCCTGTTACAAAAAGAGCCCTGGCAAAACGAAGATATCAAGGGGGGGGGGGGCTTCCTCTAAGCTCCCGATCTGGGCAGAGCCCATGATGAAGATTGGTAGCGTGAACATCTTTCGCTAAAACCAGCCTTTCGGGCAACTTTTTAATTTCTCCTTCCCCAGACTACATGATACATCTTCTAATGAGTCGGGTCCCGGATACTGGAGGAGTGAATGCATTTTTTGAGATTTTTCTGTTGATTTTTCAGTGTATAATTTTTTTCTCCTGATTCTAAAATGCTGTACTTAGTGATTTCATTTTATCTTTCTTTGTGTCCCGAGGCTTAATGGTAGTTTACAGGTAAGCTGCATCAAGTGGAGCACAAGCCCCTAATAATGACCTGACTTCTCTCTTTAGGCGTAATCTAATGATGGAAGGTGCTGCATCGAGTGCGGGAGAACAGCTGGTAGACCTGACTTCCAGGGACGGGGCCTGGTTCCTGGAGGAGCTGTGCAGCATGAGTGGGAACGTGACGTGCCTTGTGCAGTTGCTGAAGCAGTGCCATCTGGTCCCCCAGGATTTAGATATCCCTAACCCTATAGAAGCATCAGAAGCTATTCACCTCGCAAATGGAGTTTACATCTCACTTCAGGTGAAAAGTGGCAGCACTGCAGTGTTGTGCAGTGTTGTATTCAAATAGAGGTTTGAAAAGGTCAGGGTTAAGACACACAGACCCGTTTATGTTGAGCTACAACACAGAACCAGTAGAAGGTTCTTCCTGTTCTCATGAGTTTGCAGAAACTGACATGGAAGGTGGATGCTAAAAGGTTTCTAAGTTTTTCCTTATTCTCATGACACTGTTTGTGTTAGCAATGTTTATTCCAAACTAGAAACCAGTGTAAGGACTGTGTTAACATTCTGTTCCTAGAAGGAGATTTGTTTGTGATTAACATGTGAAAATAAACTTTTTTTGTGATAGGTTCTTTTTGAAGATAGACATGTACATATACACTGAGAGGCATTTTAAAGGACAGTAATGTACACTTCCACTGTAGTTGCTCAGCTCTTATAGACATAACTGTATTCTCTTCTGAAACTTCTGGCTGAACTTTATGTGATCAGGGCTAGAGTAGACCAGTAGTGTAGCCAGGTTGCTACCAGAACCCGTAACTCCAGTAGTGAAGACCTCCCCACCGTAGATTTGTACTGTTAGCCAGAAAGGGAAAACAGCCAATATAATATTAGCTGTAGATTTTCTGGGCTGTATGGCCATGGTCTTGGCATTGTAGTACCTGACGTTTCACCAGCAGCTGTGACTGGCATCCTCAGAGGTATAACACAGAAAGATGGAGTCTGTGTCAGTGTGAGAAGAAAAATAGTAGGCAGGTAATTTATATCTACACAGGAAGGGTGGGGTAGAGCTGAGTCATTATCTTGGAGGAGGTTCTTTTGCATATGGGTGGGCTGCTGAAATTCTAATCTTATCTGTAGTGCTGTTGTCAGATGTAGAGCATTTTGTGTTTTTCAACAAGTATAATAGTCAAGAAATGTGTGAAGCAGGCTTACCATTTGCCCACTTTGAGTGGACAACCTCCTGGTAGATGGGCCCTGTCACCTGTTGTCACCTGTTGGGTCAGCAGGAAGAATGGGTGGTGGTGGAAATGATGTCACGTGATAATGCCCCTGCCTCTAAAGCTCCCAGAGGTGTCAGTCCTAGATGTAACAGTCCTAGATGTAACAGTCTTAATATCTGCTTCCTACTTTTAGACATGTAAGTGACATTTGCAACAACCCAGTAAATTCCTAGAACCACAGGACTTCTAAGCACAAAAAGTTCCCACCTGCAAGGCATAATGCTAAATAACCATTCACTGTTCTTTGTTAAAGGAGCATTTCAGCAGTAAGAAAAGGCAGATTCCATGCTGGGGCTCATGAGGAAAAATAAAACAGCAAGTGTCCTTATGCCCTTGTATGAATCTGTACATTGAAATAATCTTATACTCTTCCATTTACTTGCCAACTTTAAAATATATTGTAAAGCTGGAGATAGTATAGAAAAGGGTGATGGTGAAATAACGGGGCTTTTTCAAATAAGGCAGGGGCATTACAGTAGTTGTTTCCCAGAGAGCACTGCGATCAGGATCCCAAAACCGCCTGGACCTCCCTGGCCCTAAGGAAGTCAGGTTGATGGTAACCAGGACGAGGGCTTTTTCATTTGTAGCTCCGTCCTACTGGAACGAGCTCCCTGCCGAGATCAGGGCCCTGCGGGACTTGTCACAGTTCCGCAGGGCCGTGAAAACAGAACTTTTTAGGCAGGCGTTCCGATAGGAGTGACGTCTTACCAGCAGCGCCCTGTGTGAACTCCGATCCAATACGACCTAATGCAGTGGCATCACTGATTGTGTCCCTAAATTGCACTTTAGTTTTATCGCCATCTAATGAATGTTTTATATTGACTGGTGGTGTTTTAACTGATGTCTCGTATTTTTATTGTGAATGTATACTGCTTGTCAGTTTTTGGAAGCCGTCCTGAGCCTGCCTGGCGGGGAGGGCGGGGTAAAAGTGAAATAAATAATAAATGAATAAATAAAAGTTTATCAAAGGGTGTGGAGAAGAGAAATGACAGAGTTTTGGCTCATTCCCATAATGACCAGAACTTGACATGGAGCCAGTGAAGTTGATGAGCAGGCAGGAGAAACTGTACTTAGAATCATAGAGTCACAGAGTTGGAAGGGGCTATACAGGCCATCAACCCCCTGCTCAGTGCAGGATCAGCCTAGAGTATCCCTGACAAGTGTTTGTCCAGCCTCGCCACCTCCCTAAGCTGGTGTCCAGCCTCACCATCTCCCGAAGCAGTTGATTCCACTGTTGCACAACTCTGACAGTAAAAATGTTTTTCCTAATATCCAGCCGGTACCTTCCTGCCCTTAACTTAAACCCATTATTGCGAGTGCTGCCAACAGGAACAGCTCCCTGCCCTCTTCTAAGTGACAGCCCTTCAAACAGACAGCAATCGTGCCCCCCCCCCCACCTCCTCTTCTCCTGACTAAACATTCCCAAATTCTTCAGCTTATCCTCATAGGGCTTGTTCCCCAGGGCCCCGACCATCTTCATCACTCTTCTCTGTACCCACTCCATTCTGTTCACATCCGTTTTGAAGTGAGGCCTCCAGAACTGCACTCAATGCTCCAGGTGTGGCCTGACCAATGCACTTTACAGCAGGACTATGACATCTTGCAATTTGGATGTTATGCCTCTGTTGATACACCCCACATCAAGCTGGCTGCTCATATTTAACTTATGGTCCACCTGTACTCCCAAGAATTTGTTCACACACAGCGCTATCCAGAAGTGTATCCCCCAACCAGTATGAGTGTTCCTCATTTTTGTTACCCAGATGTAGAACTCGGCACTTATCCTTGTTAAATTGCATCTTGTTCATATCTGCCCACTTTTCCAGTGTGTTCAGATCTTGTTGAATTCTGTCTCTGTCTTCTGGCGTGTTTGCTGCTCCTCCAAATTTGGTGTCATCTGCAGATTTAATGAGTAGCTCCTCCACACCCTCATCTAGATCATTGAAAAGTACCAGGCCCAGAACCAAGCCCTGTGGCACCCCATTGGACACATCCCTCCATTCAGGTGAAATGTCATTGACAACTACTCTTTGAGTGAGGTTCTCCAACCAGTTCCCTATCCACCTAACTGTCCTACATTCCAGTGTACAGTCTTTTGGTTTACCCATCAGAACATCATGGGGAACCCTGTCAAATGCTTTACTGAAATCCAGGTAAACAACATCAACACCATTCCCTTGTTTTGAGCAGTGTGTAATTAACTTATCAAATGCACTGCCCCACGGTGAAGCAACAGCCACTTGTTTAGATGGACTTACAGTGGGATTAAAGAGAGTCATGGAGGGATTGATCCACCAGTGACTGTCGATCATAAAGACTGTGTGGAATTTCCATATTCAGAGGCAAGGTGGGCAGCATTTTGCTGCCTTCATGTCCTGCTTTGAGGCTTCCTCATAGTATCTGGTTGGTCACTCTGTGAAACAGGATATGGACTAGAACAGGGGGCGTGTTTTTTGTTCTTGCTCCCTGCCATCCTGCTGCCCTTCAGAAAAAATGTAATTATTAAAGTAGAGTAGCTGCTATCTCATTTTGATGTCTATATTTTGTGTTCTTCTGACAGGAATTAAATTCCAATTTCCGGCAGATCATTTTCCCAGAAGCTCTTAGGTGCTTAATGAAGGGAGAATATACTTTAGAAAGCATGCTGAACGAACTAGACAGCCTTATTGAGCAAATAACTGACGTTCCTTTGCAAACGCTGGTGGAGTCTCTTCAGGCTTACTTAAGAAATGCAGCCATGGGGCTTGAAGAAGAAACACATAGTCATTACATTGATGTTGCAAGGTAAGTCAATGCTTGCGTGTGTGTATTTGCTGTGCTTTGGATTCTCCCCTTCCCCCGTGGTTTCTTCATTAGTTGATGCTCACTTGAGACAACGAATGATACACTCCTGTTGAGTAACCAACAAAGATTTCATTTCTCTGATGGTGTCTGTTTTTGGATTTTAGAAAGTCAAACCATTATAAGTACAGTTTTTTCCTTTCTTCCTTTGTTTAGGATGCTTCATGCCCAGTATGGTGAACTGATTCAGCCAAGAAATGGCTCAGTGGATGAAACACCCAAAATGTCAGCTGGTCAAATGCTGTTGGTAGCCTTTGATGGAATGTTTGCCCAAGTGGAAACGGCATTTGGTTTGTTGGTTGAAAAGGTACAGGCTTAAACTGTGAATATTGTCTGTAAGGAGTGAGACACAGAGAAGGGGGCCCCCACGCTCATTAACCTATCGTTTGACCCCACACAGCTCAATAAGATGGAGATACCCGTGGCATGGCGCAAGATCGACATCATCAGGGAAGCCCGCAGTACCCAAGCGAACTTTTTTGATGATGACAACAATCGACAAGTTTTGGAAGAGATCTTCTTTTTGAAACGATTGCAGACAATTAAAGAATTTTTCAGGCTTTGTGGTACTTTTTCTAAAACACTTTCAGGTAAATATGTAGAACTTTTAAAAAACTATTATGCAATCAAAGGGTCATCCCTTTGAGCACGTCAGGAGGAAATCTGCATAGATAGCTGAAATTGTGTGCTTAGAGAGATGGGGAAGAGAATGACCTCAAAGTTGTCTGTGCTGGCCAATTAATTTTCATTGTCATGTACTCTGAGTAGGCGAAACAGTTATCAGGGAGGGGCATCATAGAGTCAATTATTAGGTGCATAAAAAGTTGGAATATAAGAACAGAAGGCTAAATCTTGTACATACATCCATATAATTGTATTATTTGTTTCAGTAGTAAGGTATAGACATGCTTGATAAACTAGCCGCTTTGCCCACATGGTTTTAAAATGGGGCACATCACTGACTATAGCTGTTGCAGCATGGCAACTTCTTCTCAAGATGCATGGGTGCTTGCTGGAGTGGTAACATCCCATCATCACAGTTAATGGATAAAGCTGCAGAAGGCAGAAACTGACAGGAAATGGAACTGCCACGTGAATTTCCTTTGCTGAGCTTGCAGATAGCAGCTTGTGCAAAGAGCAAAATGGAGCCATGCTCATATTCTGTGCCCCCATATTATTATTATTATTATTATTATTATTATTATTAATAATAAAATTAAGGACTGTAACTTTGTAGTTTAGAAAAGAATTAATCAAAAACAAAGTTATAGGTCTTGATGTTTTAATTTTTTCCCCTTGGAAGAAGTTGCATCAGGAATTAGCTTTGTAGTCAGTTTTTCATGCACCAGTTGAGAATCTGCCTTTGTTGCTGCCAGGTTCAGTCTTCCATCCTTTGCTCTGCAGACATGAGCACAGATGAAGAGCTGGAGGAGTAGAATGTCTTGGAGTGCCTCATCCCAGACTCCTGTACAGGGTCTAGAGGGTGGGACTAGGATCTGGAAGACCTGGGTTCAAATCCCGACTCTGCCATGGAAGCTCACTGGGTGACGTGTAGTCAGTTACATACACTCAGCCTAACCTAACTTGGGGGGGGGGGGGGGGCTTGTGTCGATAAAATGGAGAGGACAACAGTGTAAGCTGTTGTGGGTCCCCATTTGGGGGGAAAGTTGGGATATAAATAAATAAATAAAGACACTTTGGCCATTGTGGAACTAGTTGAATTTGCATAAGATGCATGTAAGAAGCATATGCTTGTGCTAAGCTATTAAAATAGGGTTAATATTTACACTGGAGCTGCGGCTTCTCAAGTGGTTAAGACGCTGAACTGCAGGCTGTGGAAGGTCGGTAGTTCAGCAGTTCGAGACCCGGGGGCCGCATGACGGAGTGAGCTCCCATCTCTAGTTCCAGCTCCTGCCAACCCAGCAGTTCGAAAGCAAGAAATTGCAAGTAGATAAATAGTTACCACTTCAGTGGGAAGGTAACAGCGTTCCGTGCGCCTTGGTGTTTAGTTATGCCGGCCACATGACCACGGAAACGTCTTCGGACAGCGCTGGCTCTTTGGCTTGGAAACGGAGACGAGCACCGCTACCCTAGAGTCGGATTCGACTGGCTTTCAAGCAAGGGAACCTTTACCTTTACCTTAATATTTACACTGCAGGGTACCAGGAAGGAGTTGATACTTTTTCCTCCCACAAGATGCTATTGAGGTCATACTGTCGTATTGCACATATGTGTAGATTTGACAAACACTGGTGGGTAATGGTTTGGAAAGAAGTTTCATTTCACATCCTTGTGCTACTTTCGATTAATTTTCCTTTCAAAGGTATAAGTTCTATCGAAGAACAGAACACCGTGAATGGACCAGTGCAGATGGTCAACGTGAAAGCCTTGTACCGGAATTCCTGCTTTAGCGAGGACCAAATGGCCAAACCAATCAAAGCCTTCACAGCTGACTTTGTGCGACAGCTTTTAATCGGTCTCCCAAACCAAGCCCTGGGGCTCACTCTGTGCAGTTTCATCAGCGCTTTGGGCGTGGACATTATCGCTCAAGTTGAGGCCAAGGATTTTGGGGCTGAGAGCAAAGTGTCAGTGGATGATCTGTGTAAGAAAGCGGTGGAGCACAATATCCAGGCTGGCCGGTTTTCACAGCTGGTCATGAACAGAGCAACGGTGCTGGCCAGCTCCTATGACACTGCCTGGAAGAAGCACGACCTGGTCCGGAGACTTGAAACCAGTATTTCTTCTTGCAAGACCAGCCTTCAGAGGGTGCAGTTGCATATTGCCATGTTCCAGGTAATAGTTCTTTGAAGTCCCTGGCTTCTGTGCAAAGCATTACATGCTGCATGCACGCGCATCACCAAACATTTGTAGCCTGTGACTGCTGTTTTCAGTAACATTACATTCTGGATCTGCTCCTTAGGGAAGCCAGTATTATTAGTGTTAGTTTCTAAAGTGCCACGGGACTTTTGTTTTGCGACAGTAGGCTAATATGGTTGCCTTGCTGGAATCTCCTGGCAGATGCCATCCCCTGGGTTTGCACCTTGAGGGTGCTCTGGGCTTCATTGATTCCAGGTGGAAGTCTCCTACTGATCACTAGCATGCTTCGGATGCAGCTGTATCGCCATGTTGGTGGCACATAGGAAACATTAGTAGAATCATAGAACGTTAGAGTTGGAAGGGACCTTGCAGGTCCATCGAGTCCAACCCCCTGCACTCTGCAGGAGCATAGGCGAAAGATAGCCCTACAACATGCCCGAAAGATGGTCATCCAGCCACTGCTTGAAAACGTCCAGCAAAGGAGCATCCTCCACCTCCTGAGGCAGTCTGTTCCACTGCTCAACCACTCTTATAGTTAGGAAGTTTCTCCTGATATTTAGCCAGTAACCGACTCCCTTGTAATTTCCACCCATTAGATCTAGTCTTGCAATCCAGAGCAAGAGAGAATAGATCCACTCCATCTTCTACATGACAGCCCTTCAGATACTTGAAGTCAGCAATCATGTCCCCTCTAGGGCTTCTCTTTCCCAGGCTAAACATACCCAACTCTTTCAGCCTTTCCTCATAAGACTTTGATTCCAACCCTCTCACCATCCTGGTTGCCCCCTTCTGGACACGCTCCAGCTTGTCAACATCCTTCCTTATTAGTGTGCAGTTCAGTTGTGTGCAGCCCAGTAAGATAAACCTTTACTTTTTTTTTGCTACTTTGAACAGCACAGGGGAAGATGGGGTGCACCAAATTCAATTATTCGAAGAGTTTAAAATGATAGTAGAACTTTTTTTTTTAAATTCCCCCCTCCATCCCATGTCAGCCTGGCCAGACCTTAAGAGCCTCACACCAAGGTTTTTGATCTTTTCCCTCCTTTAAGGGAAGGTCTGTGTGTGCCAGGGCAGGAGTGTTTTCTTTAGCAGCCCTGTCCTTCTGGAAGACGCTAAAGATGGCTTCTTCTCTCACGCCGTTTCCGTAGCACTGTAAAGCTGGAGGAAAGCTTTTTATTTTATTTTATTCTTATTTTATTTTTATTTTATTCATATTTAATCTATTATTTTGCTTGTTTTGTTGAGAACCGCTTTGAGCAACTAAGAAAAGGGCTATAAAAATACAGCAACTAAATAACGAGATGTGTCTCTGCATTCTAGAAGAGATCTTGTAACAGGTAGAACATATGTCTGTTATCAGACCCGCGCTGATCAGGGTTCCTTACATGCCGTAAATGTTCATAATCCCCTCGGAAACTGTTGGATCCTTCAAAACTGATTTTTTAAAAAAAAAATTAGCCATATACAATTTTTAAGGTTATGACCCATTGAATTGCTCATACTGTTAATTTCCGTGGCAACTAAAATGTATTTCCTCCCCCCCCAAAAAAAAGTGGCAGCATGAAGATCTCCTCATCAGTCGCCCCCAAGCCATGACAGTTACGCCTCCACCTCGTTCTGCAATTTTAGCAAATATGAAAAAGAAACTTCACACTCTTGGCCAGATTGAAGCTTCAATTGCAGCCGTTCAGGTACATCTCTTCCTCTCATGTGATGGAATAATGTTGATTTGACTCTTCAGTAAAAGCATCCTAAGAAAAAGTGCAGCTAGAATAAATGGTTCTCCTGACTTAAAAATCTTGGTTCACCTGTTGATGGCCAGAGTAGTGTGAGCAGTTCTATTTAGAAAAGGAATTTAATGATTCCTGAATCATTTTAAACCCCAGGTTAGGATGTGGATGTTACCAAGGTGATTGAGCACTGTGACTAGTATCCAGTCGGCAAAGTTAGTTTGAATTGTCATATCTTCAACGTCATAATTTCCCAGTTACTAGTAGCAGATAACCAGGAAATCAGACCATGCAACAGCAGCCCCCAGAGTATGCTAAGCAAAACTGATAAGACTAGGACATCTTGATTTTTCATCTTGTTTCCTGTCTCAGGAAAAGCTGGCAGCCCTCGAAGCCAGTATCGAGCAGCGTTTAAAATGGGCTGGTGGCGCCAACCCAGCACTAGCACCAGTCCTCCAAGATTTTGATGCCACGATAGCGGAAAGAAGAAACCTCGTCCTTAAGGAAAGTCAAAGAGCCAACCAGGTACTGTGAGGGATGTGACTTGCTGCACTCTGATTTCAGTAACGTTAATACTACATGTTAAGAAAGAAAGTGGTCGATCCAGCGGCTTGTTTCCACTCATACAGTCCTGAAGACTTTTCTTTTTCAGAATTGCCTTGATCTTCCCCCCCTGCTGCAGCCCCCTGAACTATCAGAATCTCCGGAACACTATAGGAGAAGGCGTAGGGATCTGCCGGGGGTGGGTGAGGTTGAATTGGCAGAAATCAGCGCCCACCTCTTCTGAAAACTTAAGAATCTTTCAATCTTTGGGCATACAGGCCACTTGTCTAGCAAAAACTTAGCTAGATTTCAGAATTGTATTTGTCCTATCCGTGGAGGTATTTTGTACTGAAATAATCCCGAATGTGTGGAGATGATTGAATACAGAGTTGGGTACTCTAAGAATTTGTACCTATTTTCAGTTCCTTTTGTGGGTCACAAATTGCTGTCCTTTAACCACATCTGGTTGTCATTGTTCACCTAAAGTTACTTAGGCCCTGGTCTTATCTTGCGGCTCTGATTTCAATTTCCAGACAGTACAAGAATTAACAGGTTCTTGAGAGGAGAAAAAAAATGTCTGAAGAATGTGCTTCAAATATTGTCGTAGCAGACTGGGAAAGTGATAAATTCCCATCTCCTTGGCAATGAAATAAATTTAGGATCGTGTGAGGATGAGCAATATAGTCCATTGTGCCTGGCAGGAAAATTTGGTTCTGCACATAAGTAACATTTCTGAGTCTCCCCCATCGTGTCCTTAAGGTGCTTCAACTCACTGGATTGTAATATGCAGAACTGTTCCAGACTCCTAATTTTAAATGGCCTAAATTTCATACCAAACTCTTACCTGGCAACAATGGGAAGCAGACTGTGAAACAGCTAACCCATTTCCAGGTACCATTTTTTTTAACTCCAAAAGACAAACGGAAGTCCCAGGTAGCTCCTGATAATACATGTTTTGGAATTACCTCTGTCCATACCTGTTTCTCTCCACCCTTTCTTGGGAAAAGGTGGGTGATGCTACCAATAATCCACGTTAGCAATTTGAACACTTCTGAAATTTTGTACATTGAGTCGCAGCAGTACCACTTGGGGTCAGATCTGAAAACTGAAAATGGAAAGAAATGATAGCCATTAAATGAAGCCGCATTCTGCATCCTCTGTGCATTTTATCAGAAAGAAACATAAGGTTTAAGTTGTAAGTGTGTCTGTTGTGGGGAGGGGAAGGGAAAGGAGTTTGTGAGCTGCTCTGAGACACCTTTGGGTAGTGAAGAGCGGGGGGTATAAATCCAATCTCTTCTTCTTCTCCTTCTCCTTCTTCTAAGTGCACGTGTCTTCTCAGATGTCATGTGAGCTTCTTTCTTCTCCCCCTCCCCCCCGGTCTTGCAGGTTACTTTCCTCTGTAGCAACATCATTCATTTCGAAAGCTTGCGTACCAGAACGGCAGAAGCCTTAAACTTAGATGCTGCCTTGTTTGAACTTGTGAAACGTTGCCAACAAATGTGTTCGTTTGCATCGCAGTTTAACAGCTCAGTGTCAGAACTGGAGCTTTGTTTACTTCACAGAGTGGTAAGTGGGGGAGGGGAGGGGGAAACAGAAGTGGGATAAGGACAATTCAGATGTTAGGATCCAAAGGTTTAGCTTGTTAGTCGCTTGCCTGACTCCCTTTTCTGCCTGTTGAGCACTCTAGGGTGCTGCAATTGGAACATGTCCATTCAGGCATTGTGCCAAACCATAATAAAGTTAGGCCATAATAAAGTTTGGCATGAGGCCTGGGTTGAGCTATTGCCAGTTAGTTATAATGCACAGTTTAAAATACGTTGATTTAAATATGCTGGTTTTAAATATGTTGATTTAGGTAGCCACATGTATGTCTTGCCCTTCCTTCTGAAAACCCAGGGTGGTGGCATAAAATGGTTGTCCCTTCACAAGAACCCTGATGTTAGCTTGAGAGGTGGTCACTGGTTCAGAGCTACTGAGCTTCATGGCTGGCTTCACTTTTGCAGATGAGTTCCAACAGCTGACTAGTGTGTCTGAAACATTCTTTTCCTTCAGGGCACCAACCTCGAGCATCCCATCGGTAGCTCTGAATGGCTTCTCTTGGCTCATAAGCAGTTAACACAGGACATGGCTACCCAGAGAACTGTGCAGACTGAGAGAGAGCAGCAGATAGAAACTGCGTGTGAAACAATTCAGAACCTGGTCGATAGTATTAAAACTGTGCTCACTGGCCACAACAGACAACTTGGAGATGTCAAACATCTGCTTAAAGCCATGGCAAAGGTAATGATACTGGAAATATTCATGTGGATAGGAATAGAAGATTGATATCAGAAGTTTATAAAGAACGATGTAGTTGCACTGGCACCTGTCAGTTTTCTCAAGCGTGGTCATCACATGTTAATTTGAGAATGGCTGTTGGTATTGTTAGGGAGTCGTTTTAGCTTCTGTTGGAGGAGCCACTGCAAGGCTCGTCCCTGAACTCCAATGTCGGCGAGGTGGTGGGTCAGTAGCTGATAGTCAACCATATTGAACGCGGCCGACAGATTTAACAACAGCAGCACTGCCGATCCACCCCATCCAGGTGCCTCTGGAGGTCGTCTGTGAGGGCGACCAGTGCTGTTTCCGTCCTGTGGCCCGGCAGAAGACGGACTGGAAGGGATCTAATCCGGAAGCGTCATCTAAAAAGCCCTGTAGCTGCATTGCCACTGCCCTCTCTATTATCTTGCCCAAATAGGGCAAGTTGGAAACCGGCCGATAGTTGGCCAATTCGGCCGGATCCAGTCATGGCTTTTTCAAGAGAGGGCGCACCACTTAACCACTACACCAGACTGGCTCTCTAGAGCCATCTTTCTGCCAGGTTAAATACCGCAGAAGCCATGTTGTTGCTCAAGACCAAGGTATATGGTTAAGAAGTCCATGTGACTTCTCTGATCAAGTTCTTTTTTAATGACTCTCCCTAAATTTATAAGTAGTTTACTGTCTCATTGCTCCCCTCGGCGGATCTTCAGAGAGCTGACTCCATAGAGTTCTTGAGCATGGGTCACTCAAAACCTCTACGATTGGAGCGGGGGAATCTGTGCAGTTCATCAGTATGTGGAGTACCAGATGGCTGCACTGTTGCACTGATTTGAAGGAATGGAATAGTGGAACAATAAGCTGAATATGATGGTTATGGATAAATGTTTACTTTTCCTTATCCGTAATTTACATTCTTCCAATAGTTGTCGAGTTTGATATAGTCTATTTAGATTTCTTCTAATCGAGGAAGTCAAACAAGGTTGGATTTTGGCTCCTTACCTATTTAATTTATTTATGAACGACCTAGCTCCTACTTCGTGAGTGATAGACGGACATTTCCCTAAACTTGGTTCTCATGCCGACTCTTTATTACTATATGTGGATGATGCAGTAGTGTTATCCCATTCCCAGAAGGGTCTCCTACTTGCTTTTGTATCTTACTGTGAGACAAACCTTTTATCTGTTAATTTTAAGAAATCAAAAATTACAGTGTCCTCAAGATCCTGGAGACGTTTTAATTGGTGCATCAAAGGTTAACAATATTGAACAAGTTAAATATTGTAAATATTTGGGTGTGCTCTTTCAGTATAATAACAGTTGGATAGCACAGCGGAAACAAGTAATACACTTGGCCAAATGTAGCTTGTCCACAATCACAAGATTCTTTTATGTAAAGGGTAGCCAATTTGTGCCTGCAGCTATTCGTGTTTCAATACTAAATCAGCATCTCAAATACTTTATGGGATTCCCATTTGGATTACCGCTTTCAATCAACATGTTGAGCAAATCCAGGCAATGTATTTTGGGGATCCCAAACTGTAAACTATGGAGCCATGTGCTTGGAGACAGGGCAGTGCCTCCTAGAGACTCACTAGAGCTTAGCTCTTAACCTTGACATTTTGGTTACGCCTTCACTATAGGACAGAATCTACAAGTTATGTCTGTTTTATGCTGTCTGATTCTTTTTCATCTAATTGGTCACACTTAATTTTGCAGAAAATACAGTCTGTAGGCATCCCTTTTAATTCTCTTCTTACGTTAGAAAAATCCCAAGTTTTTAGATCTTTGAAACAGAGACTTCTGCAAGCAGGTCATGCTCCCCTTTGGAGTTTGGTATCACACCCATGGGGTTCTAGCAGCCTACTTTTCACACCTTACATCCCCTCAATTACATCGAGCTTTTATGCTCGCATGATTCCATGTCCTCTCGTCAGCGGTTCTCTTTGGGAGATTTGCAAATGTCCCCTATCATGAAAGACTCTGCTTCTGTAGAGGTAGAAAGCAGGAAACGGTTGCCCATATATTGCCCAGCGGCCCGAAAGCGATTAACATCATGCGAGTAGGCAAATGGGTACCCACCCTTAGAAGGGTGGGGGGCACCTGCCTCTGTAACAAAAAGAGGTTTGTGGTGGCCACAGCTGCGTTCGGCGAGAAACATCAATGGCGGCGGCGGCGGCGAAGCCGAGATGGCACTCGGCAAGAAGAACATCGGTCGAGCGATCCCTGGCGGCGGAAGATTGCGGTGGAGACTGCCGTCGGCGTCTGATGACGTGGACTGTAAAGCGCGGCGGAGCCAGCTAGGACAGAGCCGAGGCTGAGCAGACGCGAGGACAGGCGCCGGGTAGACGGTCCCACCAAAAGGAAAGAAGCAGCCAACCAGTGGAGAAAAATCGCCGGAGAAAAAGAGAGCCGCCGAAAAGAGGGAGAGCTGCCAAGCAGCCAGAAGAACGCAGCGGACCTATCACAGGGTGCTGGTAGGGAATCCCCACCCCTTCGGTATGTGGCCTTAGATAGGGCTAACAAGTTCGTAAGAACGCCCCTGTAAACCGCTCTGAGACCCGTTAGGGGTTATGGGCGGTATATAAGTCCCATGTAAATAAATAAATAATAAATAAATAAATTTCTGTGTTAAAGTGTGGGATTTTTTAATTAGTCCCCTCTTGCATAATTTCCATGGCTATTCTGATGAGAGGCTTGTTTTCCTTTGTTTAACAGACCAGCATCCCTGTCTTGCCTATTCAGTAGCAAGGTATCTTCTAATTGTTATGAGAATTAGGGAGCATAAGGTTAAATCTTTTGACGGATACTAAGATACACCCACTATAGTTAAGTATGATTGTGATTGATTGTTTTACTTATATTCTCATATTTTACTATTTAGATAATAGGGAAACATCAATAATTTGAAGTATAACATAAAAATGATCCTTGCTACTCTAGATTTTAGGTTGTATCCCTTTCTCTTTACCTTGTAGGTTGTAGTGTAAAATGCAATAAAAATGTTATATAGATATAAAATCTTTTGACAGATGATTCCTTTTTCTTTATGTTAAAACTGCTTTTTCTGTTGTTTATGCTTGTATCCTATGCCAATAAAGGGACTGACTGAATAGTGGAAGCTGTGTGTCGGTACAAAGTCACATTGGGATTCTTCTAATATAAGAAGAGAATCAAAAGGGATGCCTATAAGACTGTATTTTCTACAAAATTAACCATTGGGCTTGGAAAGGGTTTTTGGACTGATCCTGCCTTGAGCAGGGGGTTGGACTAGATGGCCTTTATGACTGCTTCCAGCTCTGTGTTTCTATTCTATGACTTTTCTAGCTGTTTCCATTCTTCCGAGCAAATATGCTTTTCAGTTTTTGATAGCCATTCCAAAAGATTCAAACTGTCATGGGTCTCTAATGCCTAGTTATTTCATTCCAGGATGAAGAAGCAGCTCTGGCTGATGGAGAAGATGTTCCTTATGAGAACAGTGTTAGGCAGTTCTTGGGTGAATATAAACTATGGCAAGACAATATTCAGACAGTTCTGTTCACGTTAGTTCAGGCTATGGGCCAGGTTCGCAGCCAGGAACATATTGAAATGCTGCAGGAAATCACTCCCACCCTGAAAGAGCTGAGAACACAGAGTCAAAGGTAAGTTTGCAGGCATAACTGTATGGTCTTGTTCTCTTGGATGTCTGCTTTCTGTCAGAGTCAGAACTTTTGACACATTCTCGTTTTCAGATGGAGAGAAGTGAGCCGAACCCTGTAAGACAAATTAGGTTCAGCATCCTGTAGGACAAACATTTTGAACCTGTGCAGGCAGGGTGGCTTTGATGATAAGGAGAATTTTGCTGCACATCAGATTAAAATGTGTGGCAAAATGGTCTCTACCTGCCTTTGGACTTAAAGTGTACTAAAATATTCTTAACAGACTTGACATGTTTTTTAAATACAGGTGTTTGTACTGGATTTCCTATTTGCAGTTTATAAAATTGATTTGTTTCCTTGTATTCCTAGTGTCTACAATAATCTAGTGAGTTTTGCATCGCCCTTAGTCACAGATACACCAAACGAATGCTCAAGTCCAACATCTGCTGCTACTTGTCAACCAACATTTGCTGCAGGTGAAATATGGTTTATACTTAATCTGAGATTTCTCTTGGAATATATATTCAGAAGTAGTCCTCATGCTCCTGGTCCAACTCCTTCCATGCCTGTGAAAAATGTGTTGAGTATGTGAGAATTTTAAAAAACCACCATAAGAGTTGGCATGAAGATTATGATTGGATTAAGTGAGGGTGGGAGAAGCAGAACTCAGGCAAGGGGGGTGACGGATAATTTCCCCCGTCTTAGCATTAATTTTCAGAAGCATATTGGAGAGAACTAAAACTATCTCAGTCCAGTTTATATCATGGAATTCAGTTGCTTCACATAAGAGGAAAAAAATGTGCCCCTTACCTTTTTCCTGGGGAAAATCCTGTGCATTGTTTTTATGAAGCACTTTTGACACGTTCTAACTCCATGTAAATGTTTTAATTTTTATTTTGTTCTGAAACAACACTGAATATGCTTCCTTGTCCTCAATTTATAAGTAAACTTCAGTTCCCCTTTAATGGCATTCTCAATATCTTTATGTCTCGGTAGCGGTTCGTAGCAATACGGGGCAGAAAACTCAGCCAGAGGTCATGTCACAGAACACAAGAAAGCTAGTTCAGAAAACTCTTGCGCCGTCAGCAGACACTCCTCCAGGCACAATCGCAGGAACTGCTAAGAGTGTTGTGTCTAGTCCTAAAAAGGCCATCAGGGATCCTAAAACAGGAAAAGGTAAGCCGTAGGATGAAAGCACATGGCGTACTTCCCTTTGTAACGAGCAACGCATCTAATGGATTTCAATGGATTTTCTTTTTTAAGCTGTGCAAGAACGGAATTCGTATGCAGTAAGTGTGTGGAAACGTGTCAAAGCCAAGTTAGAGGGTCGGGATTTGGATCCCAACAGGAGAATGTCTGTTGCTGAACAGGTAATTAATTCCATGAGCAAAACCACTTTCTTCTTGAATTCTGCCAAAGTAACATCTTTGTAACTTTAGGTAATGGTTTACCATTTCAGTGTAGGACAGTGAATGTTTGTGCTCTCCTGTGATGCTGGGTCTTCCATGGGAAAAGGGCTGGGTTTTTCTTCTGTGAAGTATCTCCCCCCTACATATCTTTTCTGTCTGGACCTGTTGCCTCCTTTCTGCTTAGGTCACACCACTTTTCTAGTATAAACATGTCTCAATGACCATAATAAAATTAAAAACATACAGTGTGAGTACTTGTTTCAGACTTTCATAGATTAAAATTTTGATGGACTTCAAAAATCAGTATTGAGCATCTTATTTTTATGTGGAAGTCAGTCCCCAGAGGCTCACTTCTGCCTGGAATCACAGTCTTGGGACTGTAGAATTCAGTGACCCTTACTCCTACAGGTTTTTCTACATTTTTTTTAAACATCACCAGTTCAGTAAGTTGTAGACATACCAAGCTTTATTTAGCTGCTCTTCTGTTGAAGGGATTTTGGTGGATCAGTGAATTCCCCCCATGACTACCTTTGCTCCAGTTAATAAATATGAAACAAATTAATAACATTCATCCCTTTACCCTTCCCTTAAGCAATCCCAGCATGGCAGCCAATAGTTCTGACAACAAGTTATTAAGTAATCTTTTACTTTTTAATACTTTACAGTTTTGTTGCAATAAACTCTCATTGCTGGGCCAGCCAACTACGCACGCATGAAGTCTGCTCCAGATGGGTTGCTCATGCCCAGCATTTGACATGAGGGTCCTATAAATTTAGTTCAGTTTGTGTGCCAGTTCTAATTTCTCATTCAGTTAACACTGATTTCCCTAAGTGATGCTTGACAGATTTGCTGCCAGAGTTTTGAATGCAGTTAGAAAGTCAGTCTGCAGCACTAACTGTTTTTTAACTTGCCATTTCATAGGTTGACTATGTGATTAAGGAAGCAACTAATCTAGATAACTTGGCTCAGCTGTATGAAGGTTGGACAGCCTGGGTATGAACAGGAAGATAGCAGGTCGGTCTGGTTCAGCGAGGTCAGACATCCAGCAGAATCAACTCAGCCTCAGGCATCCATAGCAGCACCACAGTCGGCTGGTGATGCATTTCTGGGGCTTAATGTGAGGAAACCTAGGCAATCTCGGTGCACTGGGAAAGTGAGTCCTGCAGAGTAGCTGCACCTCAGGGATACGCTAAACAAAATGGCCTGGAACCCCCCCAGGGTCAAGGGTGAAAGTTCACCGCCTGAACAACACGGCTGTCTTTCTGCTACAGAAGAACTGCAAATCGTGTCGCGTTGGGGGGAAATAGCTGCAGAAAGAAATTGGGAATGCTACAGACCGCAGAGTGATTTGGAACCCAGTTCCACCTGAACCTGTGAACAATCCAGGAAATACCGAACCCGAAACAGGAAAAAAAGGGGGCCGTGAAGAAATCACAGCACAGGAAGAATTAAGAGATTCAGATTCTTGAGTTACTCTTGTTGCTCGGCAACGGTGCTGGTTGAGTTGACCAGGTAGTACAAAAAAGAAGGGGAAAAAAGCTACATGATATGAACTTCAGAAATGGACTGAAATACAAAGAGCTGATACAAAGAGCTGTACATCAGCTATATAAGTATATTGGAAGAACCTCTAAGAAGAAGAGAGCCTTTGTGTCTTTTTTTTCCTTTTAGTTCTTTCCCACTTCTGGTTTATTCTTGTAGTTTAGGTGTATTTCCAGAACCGATTTTATTTCAATCCTTGTATTTCACTGTTCAGGCGAATTAACCTTTTTTGGGATGGGTGGGTGGAGGGAGGCAAGTCAGTTTTCCAAAAAGCACAGAAAATGCTGATTACTAAGTGATTTATCTTTTTTGAGTGATCAAATGCAAACTGTTGGGGTATTTTATTTTAAGGTCGTTTTTGTGATTTTATCATGTACAGTTTCCCCAAATTCACTGTGCATTTCAAAGTTAATCTACCAGGCATTTGATTTCATGTGAAACGTCCTTCTGCTTGCAGTATACACTCCTTTGTAATTCAGACCTTTCTTTCCAAAGCTCATTCTCCTGTGATTGCTGTAGTTTCTTTTGTAAACATAGCAAATCCAATGTAACCTTTACCTTTTGAAAAAAAGAGAAACCAGGATAGAGTTTCCAAGTAGAGTTTTACATTGTTGCTGAAACAAAATCAATAAAGTGAAGTTCTAGAGGAGGTAGTTTTATGCTGTTTAATTCACTTCAGATTTTGGTTTACACTTGTAAATGTACCTTTTCAGTTCAATCTGGGTTTTTTTAAAGAGAATGCATAAAGCTAAGAAAGGACTGTCTTTTTCTTTTCCCATGCTCTGGTGAAATAGTATCTGTGTGGTTATTTTTTTTCATATGATTCCCATTAGGTAGTGCTTACTTACCCATTCATAGTGAATTACTCAATGTCGTTTCCTAAATCTACCTTGCACTTTTGAACTGTGGGTGTGAAAGAGAAGTTGCTGTTTGAATGGCACTTTAAACCAGTCTTCAGTGTTTCACCTGCCTGCTTTAAAAAAACAAACAGTAATTTACGAGCTTGTACTGGATTTGCCCTAGGATAGTACAGCTTGTTCCTGAAAGAACCTTTTGCCATAATTTTCACTTGTTGGAGGTGGTGTTAGGGTAGATGCCGCTTGATTGTGAAGTCGAAGGTCAAATTTGTGGGGCTGGCAGCAGCCCACCTCCAGCTCATTTGCTGTGAAAGTCACTGGATGTGGACAATATCAGGACTCACATCATTTCCTATTAATCTCTTTTGCAATTAAAAAAAATGCTCAAATAGCTATTAAAGTAATTTCCAGTAATGCAGCCTATTTACCTGAGACAGCCTTTGCTCAGAAGAATGGCAATCGAATACATAATGACCTAGCAAAAGGAACCAGAAAGAAATTCCAGTGTTTAGAACACAGAAGGAGCCATTTTGCTTTCTTGAGATATCTTATGCAGAGGAGACTTGATAACTGTTAATCATCTTCCATGTAGCTATGCCACGCTCTCCTTTCTGTTACCCAGCTTAGATGCATTACGTACCCCATGTACAGAAATGTACTAAAGCTTGTGAGTTTTAATACCAGGGCTCTTGAGCCTTTGCCATGTATTTCAAGAGAGGGAGACGCTTCTTGGGTCCCCCCCTTTTTTTTTTAGTAAAAATTGAGCTAAGGCAAAATTCACAGTTTAGTGCACTTTGGGTTTTGCGTGTCCCCCCCCCCCCCCGGTATGAACCATCATTAACAAGCATTCTGTATCAGTATGATTGGAATAAGATTGTTCCATGTTTCTGTTTCTTGGAAGCTGGGATGAGGGCAGGCTACTACACCTGTGATTAATGTATTATTATAATATCACTTCTCTCCAGAAATAAAATGTGTATGGAGGTTGGGGGTCTTTACTGCATAATGTAATAAAGCTTAAAATTCAACTTGTATTCATAATGTCTGTGTGCAACATTCATTTCTTCCAACTGCAGAACTAAAGGCAGAATACTTTACCATTAGATCTCATGTGCAAGTGGGCAATTAAGGGCATAATAACAAAATAGGAGACACTAATTGGGGGCAGGGACCTGCTCCAGTAAAGAGTATCTATTTGTACTGCTGGTCCTTTGGATAAAAGGTGACAGGGAGTGTCTGTCCCAATGTGCAATTTTTAAAAAGAGGGAAAGCATGAAACCTGCCTTAGATTGAATCAGACCCTTGATTGAATCAGGTACACTACAGAATCACTACAGTAGCTCTCTAGGGTTTCTGGCAGTAGCCTTCCACAGCAACTACAACCTTAGTCTTTTCAACTGGAGGTGCAGAGGACTGAACCTGGACCTTCTGCATGCAGAACAGAACTTTTGTCATTTGGCAACTGTCCCTGCCCAATTGGCACAGCGATTAAACATTTTAAGGAGAGGATCATGCATGAAATAAATTTGAAGCAGCTAGTTCACATATTTTAATTAAATAACCACCCAGTAGGTATTAGTGTTTTCAGTGGTGTGATTGAATGAATTCTGTCTGCTACTCAAGCCAATGCAGGCCCCGTTCTGGCAGAGTAAATTGAGAGAATATGTAAAGAATAACATTTAGTAATGTGGAGTACCTTTCAGCAAGTGAACATTTGTACATGGCATTTTTATCCTCCCCCTTCCTTGCTGTGATTCTCCTTTCTGTGTTATCTTCACTGATAAACCCTGTTAGCTATGTTGTTAACCTGCAAGGCTGGCCCTAGGTTACCCACCAAGTTTCACTGCAGAATGGAAATTATAACCTAGTCTGATGCCACAACATTTCAGGACAGCATCCCAGTTTTCATTCATGAAATGCTGCAGGGCATGTTGTGAGGAAAGCTTCCTGTATGGAGCCGCAGCCCTAAGAGAGAGACACCTGTCAGCAAGGAAGGGGGCCAAGGATAACACTGGCTTTCTTCACAGGAAGCATAAAACAAATCCACGTTTTGAATATTGAAAGTCCTCTTGCAATGCAAAGTCCTAATGCAACCGAATGGTTGCAAGAAAGGGTCCATGCTAGGAGTGCCAGTGTCCAGGTGGGGGCTGGAGTTCTCTTGGCCTTACAATTTCTGGGGTCCACTCCCAAGGCATCGCATCCCTGTGGAGTTTCTCCCCCCATCCCTTCCCTGAACTGCATCCTCTCCAGCTTTTGCCTAGAAATCCCCTGGAATGTTTCAACCTGGAAGTAGGTCCCAGTTACTTATCTCCACTTTCATGGGGAGAGAACAAGATGGGTAGCCGTGTTAGTCCGTAGCGGCTTCCTGCTGTGAAGAACTTGGCCGCCAGTGTGGGACGTCGCCCATCTTGGATTTTATGTAAATTATCAAAGCACCAAATTTTTATGTTAAGATATAGTGTTTTTATTATGCTGTTGTTTGGTATGCATATTTTAACTTTGGCATGGCCCTTTGTTAGCCGCCCCGAGCTGTATATTGGATGGGGTGGGATATAAATTCCAAAAATAAATAAAATTAAAAGAGCAAGAGTCCAGGAGCACCTGAAAGACTAACCACATATGTGGCAGGGGAGGAGCTTTCCCGAGTCTGAAGAAGTGAGCAGAGACTCACGAAAGCTCTCGCCCTGCCACATACTTTGTTGGTCTTTCCGGTGCTCCTGGACTCTTGCTGTTATTTCCCCCCTTGGTCTTTCTTTCCAGCGGCAGCTCCTCTTCTCCTATCTCCTCCCTTTTATCCTTGCAGCGACCGGGGGAGGTGTGTGGAGCTGAGAGAGTGATGGGGCCCCTAATGTAGCCAATCCTCCAAGAGCTTACAGTAGCTCCTGTAAGAAAAGCTCTGTAAGCTCTTGGAGGATTGGCTACATTAGGGGTGTGTGGCCTAATATGCAAAGGAGTTCCTGCTACAAAAAGAGCCCAACTCCCCCTTTCCAGCGGCGGCTCCCGTTCGCCTATCTCCTCCCTTTTATCCTTGCAGCAACCGGGGGAGGTGTGTGGAGCTCAGAGAGTGATGGGGCCGAAGTCCACCCAGTGAGCGGCCACGTTAAGGAGGGATTCGAACTAATCATCGGGCAGAGCCTAGACAGACACCCGAACCACTGAACCCCCACCGCCCTCCGTGGCCCTGCGTTTTCTCCCCCACCCGGGGGAGGAGGAGGACCGTTTAACCGTTCCCGACCGTGACGGCGGCAACCGTCAAGAATCCTCCCTCATTGGTCAAGATTCAAACGAGAACGGTCCTGGTCGTCGTCGATTGGCGTTGAGGCGAAGCAGGTGGACGAGAGCGGGCCAATCGCGGACGGAGAGATGGGCGGAGACAGCGTGGACGGGAGGTTATAAAGGAGGGCCGAAGCGAATGGCTCGGGAGCGCAGGGGCCGCGGGGCGGTGCTTGGGTAGGCGGGGGAGTGCTGGCGGAGAGACGGAGGCGGACGAGCCTGCAGCCCGCAACAGCAGCAGCTGCCCACACAAAATGGCGGAGGGCAACAACAGGAGCACCAACCAGCTGGTGAGGGGGCAAAGGGCCGAGGGGGGGACCCGAAGGGGCAAAGGGGGGGGGCGGCTGTTGGTGCTGTTGTTGGTGCTGTTGTGAGGGTCGGCCCTTTGCATCGGGGGGAGAGGAGGGCTGCGTGCGGCTCTCCCTGGTCATTTCCGTGACCGGAGCGGGGAGGAGTAGCTGCGTGCCCTCCGGGCCTTTCTCACCGGAGGGTTTCCTTTCCCCGCCCCCCGTTTCGGGTTTGTGTTGAATTTTGCCCTCCCCCCCCCCGCCCCACACACACCGTAAAAGGAGCTATTCTTATTATTATTATAAATAATATTATAAATAAATAAATATTCGAGGGAGATGGGTGAGGTTTAGCTGCTTTGTGGGCTGCAGAGCCTAAAATATTGACAATCATCTGCTCTCGCTTGGTTTCTGGGGAGGTGCGGGATCGTTCTCTTCTAAACGAGGCTGGAAGGGGGGTCACACTGCGAGCAGATCAAAGGCCTCTTCCCTTCCCTTGGCTTTTTCCTGTCGCAAGTAATGCCCGCTGTGGTCGGTGGTGCTGGTTTCCAGGCAACGGCCTAAAAGGAGGCTTATTTATTATTTATGGAGTGCATTTTTGGGCTGTCTGTGCCCTCCAGAGAGCTCAGGGTCACCTCTTTGGTGCTCCCCCCCCCCCATTCTCTCCACAACCTTGTGAAATGCGTCAGGCTGAGAGTATGAGTGGCCTGAAGCTTACCCAGTAACTTTTGTCGTAAGTGGGTGTTGGAACATGTGTTGCCCTGGTCCAAACCTGACACTAACCACTACACCCTGGCTGTCTCAGGGACACTTAAAAAAAAAAGGCTGGCAGATTTACTGTGGCGTAAGCCTGCTGCAGTGGAGCTGCTTGGTGTCCAGATGATTCCAAGCCTCCTTTTTTGGATTCTGCTGTAACAGACTAATACTTCTGGGTATATGTACATTGAAAGGTTAGATCCAAAATCAAAGAGCAATCGCCTGTTATTCTATAGAAATCAGCAGGGTGGCTCCTTGCATTCTTTGATGAAGACCATCTGGCTCAGAGGTGGGGGGGGTGTAGAGTTTTTTCCTTCCAAGTGAATTTCTGCTTTATCTGCAAATCTGGATGCTGATCATGTGCACAGTGCATTTCTTCCTGCGTTTGTTGTAATAAGTGCATTGGGGCTCTTTTTCTGCTCCAACTAGTGCATCAGAGAACTTCTAGCCAAGCACCTTTAATGCCATTATCTTATTTGTCCAGTAGGACTCTGCATTATCATCAGCTGGCATTCTTTGATAAAGACCATCTGACTCAGAGGTGGGGAGGTGTAGAGTTTTTTCCTTCCAAGTGAATTTCTGCTTTATCTGCAAATCTGGATGCTGATCATGTGGTGCACAGTGCATTTCTTCCTGCGTTTGTTGTAATAAGTGCATTGGGGCCCTTTTTCTGCTCCAACTAGTGCATCTGAGAACTTCTAGCCAAGCACCTTTAATGCCATTATCTTATTTGTCCAGTAGGACTCTGCATTATCATCAGCTGCTGTGGTATTGAAGCCACCTTCCTTACCTGCTTGTGATGCTAATATGGGTTGGAATTAATGTGCTCTGTTCATGCTGTTAAGTGAGCTGCGAGTAATACTACTGCTTCACTGGTTGGTGGAAGAAGTTGGATGCACAGTGGAGCAGGGTGGTTTATGAACATATTTTTTAGTTAATTTGTGCTTGCTGTGAATTTTTTTCTTGACTTTGAAATATAAATGATCAGCCCACACACATTTGTGCCCGCCAAATTTGCCATTAGATTCTTTTTCTGTTTCATGTGAAGTTATAGTGCTTAAGTGGTCACTAAGGACATCAGATAATCCAGTTTCCTAAAAAATTGTCTTTTCTAAGCATTGCACAGTGTACCTGTGACAAGGGTGTATATAATGGAATATTTCTAGCTTTAAATTCCAGGAATAGAGGAGAACCTAGAGGCTTTGAGGCATTGGATAGAATTCCCATCTTTCTCATTTCAGGAAATAAATGAGACAAACTGAAGTTTAATAATTGGAATCTGAGACATGAGAAAGGTTCAGTGGGAGCTTTCCTTATGTTCCGGACCTTTGTGTTGATTCTTTATCTACATTTCTGATAATGAAATTTTTACCTCAAACTGTTTCATTATACATCTTTGGTTTATGAAAATCAGCTCAAAACGTTGGTTATGCAAAAAAAAAAAGCAAAACAATATTGAAGTTTAATAATTGGAATCTGAGACATGGATCAGTGGGAGCTTTCCTTATGTTCTGGACCTTTGTGTTGATTTTTTATCTACATTTCTGATAATGAAATTTTTACCTCAAACGGTTTCATTATACGTCTTTGGCTTATGGTTTTTGGTCTTGAAAATCAGCTCAAAACATTGGTTATGCGCAAAAAAAAAAGCAAAACAATGTACTGAAATGTTACAGCTACAAAATTTAGGCAATCTACTTTCTTGGAACAGTCTAGTATACTTGGAAGCTGCTACAGAACTGTAAAATGTTACCACAAAATCTGTATTTGGGGAGTCTCTCCAGTGGATTGTTCTCTCTGCCTTATTTGTGAGTGGCATGATTTTGCTCCTAGTCATCCATGTGAAGGCCAGGCAGGTGACCGTTATAGTTTATTTTTATGGAAAGGAAAGATCAAATAGGACCTGTTGTGAAGGTGTGGCTGTTAAGGAATTATCAGACTGAGATCTACTGTGATGTAAACCAACATAAAGAAAGCCAGTGTTGGTATTTGTAACTACATGTATAGACTAACAGATTGGATCCAGACTGGATTTTCCAATGCCAGGTGGAACTTTCCTGTCTTTCTTGTTCCTCTGCAGTCTACTGATTTCTTCAAAGTGGTGTTGCTAGGCGATAAGGGGACCCCAAGGAATGACATGGGGGGGTCTGCAGCAGGGATCAGGAAGTTGCCAGTTTAGTTTAGATCCAACCCAAGAATAGAGTTCCCATGAAGTACACATAGATTTTATTTACAGCAAATGTTACGATCTTTTTAAAAATTGCTTTTGTTCACAGGCTGCAGAGACAGCCAGTTTGGAAGAACAGTTGCAAGGATGGGGAGAAGTGATTCTGATGACCGACAAAATCCTTCGCTGGGAAAAACTTTGGTTTCCACCTGCTATAATTGGTGTTGTTTCCTTTGTTTTTCTGTAAGTTATCAATAGTGGTGGTTATGCTTGCACATATACCTTTTTTGTGAACTAAACCAGTAGCTAGCTTGCCTTGGATAAGATACATTGTAACAATGAATAAAGTATATGTTTTAAAGCTTTGCATAACAGGCCCCTGCCAGAATGCAGCATAGTTAAGTGCTGCTTTCACACCCTAAATGGCTGGGGATGATCTCTTCAAACTGCTGTATTTTCTAGATATGTGTGCTTGAGCTTGCTGCTTCCACATGACTCTCAATGAACAGAAAGGACAGAGCTCATACATGCCACCTGTCTGGTCTTCCCCCACTGCTTATGGGACCAGACTAGTTTTGGAAGCAGCTAAATGAAAGTAGCTGTTACATTGCTCAAGGACACAGCAGAAAGTTTTTTTCTGTTAATTTTTTTAAATGCAAATGTCAAAAGTTGAAGCATTAAACTTGGCTCTGTGTTTCTGTATAACGACTGTTTTTGTGTCCAAACAGGATGATCTACTACTTGGACCCCTCTGTTCTTTCAGGAGTTTCTTGTTTTGTTATGTTGCTTTGTTTGGCTGACTACCTTGTACCTGCTCTTGCTCCTAGAATTTTTGGCTCCAGTAAATGGTATGTTGCTTGAGAACTTAGAAAATAATTACCCTTCTTCCTCTTTTATTGTAGATTTTATAATTATACCATTAATAGGAGTGGGCACGCATCTTGTGTCCAGAACAAAAAACCTAGTGCTCTTTAATGAATGGAAGGAAACTGTACATGGGTAAAATTTTATCTATTAAGGACATATTATGGTACTCCCTTTCCTTTTGAAATCTAGATCAGCCAGTTTGGTGTAGTGGTTAAGTGTGCGGACTCTAATCTGGGAGAACTGGGTTTGATTCCCCACTCCTCCACTTGCACCTGCTGATGTGACCATGGGTCAGCCACAAGCTCTGGCACAGCTGTCCTTGAAAAAGAGCAGTTTGTGTCAGAGTTCTCTCAGCCCCACCCACCTCACAGGGTGTCTGTTGTGGGGAGGGGGAAGGGAAAGGAGTTTGTAAGGTAATCTGAGACTCCCAAGTGAAGGGTGGGGTATAAATCCAATCTCTTCTTCATCATCATCATAAGGTCTTGTGGCAAGGGCTAAAAGTTTCCTCTTTTTTGTTGCTCTTTAAAACCAATGTGTACTTATTCTTCAGTGTAAACAGTTGTGAAGAGTAAGAATTCATCTGTCTAATACTGAGGAGGCAGCTTCAGTGCTTAAGGTAGTGCTTCAGCATGCCTCCTGGCCTATCTGCTGGTAGGATAGACTTGGATTTACTTGTTGTTCAAAAAAATAGGCTGATCCAGAACATTTGTGAGCTTATACAACTGTCTTAATTGGTTGTTAAGCAGAACAATGCAGATTTTAAATAGCAGGAACTGGGGAAACAGTATTTATAAATGAAAAACTAATTTTGTTCCTAAATTTTTAACGTGGAAAAAGGTGGGACAATAAGTGAACACTTTGTTTGAAGGTAAGTCATAGTCCTGCTGTACACTGTATTAGTCAGGCCACACCTGGAGTATTGTGTGCAGTTCTGGAGGCCTCACTTCAAAAAGGACGTGGACAGGAGAGGATGCAGAGGAGGGTAACGAGGATGACAGGACATATTATGGTACTCCCTTTCCTTTTCCTCTTGTTTGCTATTATTGCTGGTTCTTCTTCCCTGTGCTGCCTTCCCTATTTTGAAATCTAGATCAGCCAGTTTGGTGTCGTGGTTAAGTGTGCGGACTCTAATCTGGGAGAACCGAGTTTGAGTCCCCACTCCTCCACTTGCAAGAGGATAGGACGTGCAATAATGGGTTTAAATTAAGGGCTGGATATGAAGAAAAACTTTTTTGCAGAGTTGTGCAACAGTGGAATCAGCTGCCTAGGGAGGTGGTGAGCTCCCCCTCCCTGGCAGTCTTTAAGCAGTGGCTGGATGAACACTTGTCAGGGATGCTCTAGGCTGATCCTGCACTGAGTAGGGGGTTAGACTAGATGGCCTGTATGGCTCCTTCCAACTCTGTGATTCTAAGTGTCCTCAAGATTAGATCTGCGTGAAAATATATTGTTTTACTGTGACAGCATCATTTAATATCAAGGCTTTTGCTGAACAATTTTTAATTTTTTTTAAGGACTACTGAACAACAGCAACGCTTCCATGAAATCTGTAGCAACCTGGTAAAAACACGGCGCAGGATTGTTGGTTGGTGGAAACGTCTTTTTGTGTTTAAGGAAGAAAAGCCTAAAATGGTAATTTGCATGCTTCTTGGAAGATGACACTCACAATTGGAATATTAGGATTGAGGGGTACAATTTATTTTAAAAGGATATACAAATAAGGGAAGGGTGGAGGAGTAGCATTATATGTAAAGGAGGTATATACTTTTGAGGAAATACATGAAACTTGAGCATGGAAGTACAGTTGCGAGTCTCTGGATAAAAACAAAAAGAGTAAGAAATAATAGTGGTATTGTGGTGGGGGGCTGCTATAGACCACCAAGCCAGGCAGAGGACTTAGATGAGACGCTCCTATAACAGATTACAAAGTTCTCAAAGAGATGAGACACAGTAGTCATGGATAGCTGTTGGAAGTCCATCTCTGGTAAAAACGGAAGGTTAAATTCCTGTCTTATCTTGCTGACAACTTCATTTGCCAGAAAGTGGAGAGGGAAACAAGGAGATTCCTATCTTAGACTTGATTCTCACCTACAGGGAAGAACTGGTTGACGAGTTGAAAGGGTTGGGGATCCTTGCTCTAGAGTCTCAGGCAGAGCCACCTGCTTACCCAGTGCTTTAAACTGGACATGGCAGGGACTGAATCTGGGACCTTCCGCATCCAAAGGAGACGAACCAGGACCTCTCCCCTAAAATTGTAAAGATAACATGTGGTAAAATGAGTTTACCTTTTAAAAAAGTAATGGCTAGTCATGACAACTTTTAATGATGTTAGGTAAGCAAGCCACTACTATTCCAAGCAGTAGAATTGTGCCACTAAAGTGAGTGGCTACATTGTCAAACATGATCAGAACATTCATCAGCCATGTCCCTTGTAATAGCAATGAGAACAATGGAGTAAGTCTTTGGGACATTTTAAAGGGTTTTATTAACTGTCATCTCTCTCTCCTAGTATTTCACAACAATGCTGTGCTCATTAGCTGTGATTGCTTGGATAGGACAGCAAGTTCACAACCTTTTCCTCACCTATCTTATTGGTAAGCATTCTGCAGGGCGATCAGCCACTGAGGATATATTGCATTTTTTTCTCCAATAGAGAAACAAAAAGCCTGTCATGCTCTGTTGTTCATTAGAACATGAGCAAATATGGGAGTATGGGTTTGGCCATGTAAAGGGTTTTATAAGATCATAGGTCATACTTTATCTTTTTCTTTCAGTGATCTCCTTCCTATTGTTTCCTGGATTAAATAAACATGGGATTATTTCAAAATATGCTGGAATGGCAAAAAGGGAGGTCAACAAACTCCTGAAGCAAAAGGAGAAGAAAAATGAATGAAGCTCTGCTTGCTACTGCACTCCGCAGTGTATTGTGTTCTGGGAACAATTCATTAGAATTATTGTGTGTTTAGTAGAATAGCAGTGCTTATTTCAGTCATAGCCTTTTAACTTTAAAATGGGGTTCCCTCTTTTTAAATAGGATCTGTGTAGTTTATTTGACCACACAGTAAATACAGTCTGCTAACACAGGCAAGTCATTCCAATAATAAATGCAACTAGCAGCCTCATAGGGTGGGAAGGTTGTTAATCAGTGTGGTGGCATAAGCATTTTGATTGTATTGGTGTGGATGACATCCTTTGCTATTTATTTCTAGTGGAAAGACACTGGTTAGCATTCTCCATTCTTGTTAAACATTTTAAGGGATCTCTGCTGGCTCTCTAGATTTATTTACCTGACACCCCTGCAGATGAAGTTAACAAGCTTCTTTCCAAAGTTGTGAGCCACAGATGATAAGGATAAACAGGGCCTCTACATACCTGGGTCTGAGGTGTCATGACTTCTGTAGTATGAGTTGCTGCAGTTGAAAGTATGTGAAAAGCTGAAGCTAGGGATTCACAGAGTCAATTTTCTTCTAATTGAATTGCTGTAGTTTTGGAGTCGTGCAACGTCTTTAGTTTTTTTAATATGGTCTGTATGCAAAATCATGTTAAATACTTGATGCACAAGGCTCACAAGTCAGTCTGTCTTTGGTATTTGTGTTTTCTTAATGCTGTTTTATTACTGTGTTTAAGTAAAAAAAATCTGTAATGTATTAAAATGATAGGCCTCTTAAATTTGTTGCAAAACAAAACTTCTGTCTTAATTGTAAACAGATGAACAGTGTTATCCTTGTCAGTTTGAAAATGGATTTCAGAAATGCTGAAATTTGCTTATTACCCTGTAGGCAATACAAGGGTGCAACAAAGACGTGGGTGCTTGTTACTGCCTTATAGGTGATAGCCCTGCCTAGCATGCTACATTATTCTGCCAAATACTGCTGTTCAGTAAACATTTGGGAAGCAAGTATTCTTAAGCTGGCACAGTTAGCAACTTCACCTACTCTTACATACAAGCAAAAATGCCATAATTGTCTGATAACAAAAGTTCTAGCTGATTCTTCCTAGAACTAACATGAATGTAATAGTGCTTTTTATCAGCACTCAAACTGCTTGATTGGCCACGCCAGTGTACCAGAACCTTACATACATTTAAACAGAATTCTGGTCCCAGTAAATGTGGCAAATTCTTCGTTTAACTATATTGGGGAGTCTTGAATGAGGAAAAGTGTAAGGAAAGAATCTTTAAATATGCAGTGTAGTTAGATTACCTTAACACATGGGATTCAAAGTTGGTCTGCTCAGTTTTTTTGAAATCAACAGAGAACCTTTCAGCTTGCTTGATGTCTAATCAAGCAGCAGCTACGCCCCAGAGACTGTGGGTCAAAGGCATCCCTGATGCATGCTGCTACCCTATAGGGAGTATTCCTAAGGCACATCTGGGTGTCCTCAATCATTTTTCCTTTTGGGGCTGATGTTGTCAGAATGCTAATGTGGTTATCAGTGCACTGAGTATTTCCCTCTCCATGCAATCACCATCTTTGCACACTGTTTCTTCAGTTTTAGCTTTAGATGTATCCCAGGAAGGGAGGAGTTCGTTTGGAGGAAAGTATATTGCTCTTCTTTCACTGTCACCAGTAAGGGCTACCACAGTTATGTGCACTGGCAACAGAAGCTTGTAGTACGAAAATAAAACTTTGAGAGATGTCAACCATATTTGGAACACTGGTGACATCTGAATTATTTATTGAAGGAACTGCTTCTGGAAAAAATAGTTGCATTCCTCCCTATGTTTCTTCCCATCCCCTTTGCACTTATTTTGTATATTTGTTGTTTTAGAGGCTGTCTGAACCCATACCGCTAACTTGGGCACACAGCAGTGGCAGATATTATATGTAATTGGGGGAGGAATGAAAACAAAGAGGTTGAAAGAGCTGGTAGGGTGGAAGAGTGAAGGGAAACTTGGGTGGGGATAAGGTTGTGTAATTGCTGTTTTTGTTGATGTTGCTGCTTTCTTTTGATTGCATTGATATGTAACATGGATGGTAAATGTTTAGCTAGGAAGCTAAAACTGAATAAAAATGTTAATATGAAAAAGATGCCTCAAGTACTATTTTATCAAATGTTGTCAGTCTACCAGAGGGGCCCTTGCCAAAACAAGATGCCTGCCGGGGATGGTCTTTATGTTGCACTTTGCCTGTTTAGCTTCTCATCAGCTGCTTCAGACTTCCCCCGGTTTCTCTGGGTTTTTGCTCTCTGAAACACTTTAAAACACAAGCCTAGCAAAACCAGCCCACCCACAAAGTTTCTTGGGCATCATGCTCATGGGACTTGGCAGCAATGCTCCCTCTAAGCTGTGGAGTTTTGTGAGCAAAAATTCTACTTTGTGAGTTGCTGACATTAAAGTTGTGAGTGAGTGATTTGGCTGCTGCATAAATTAGTTTGCTCTGCAGCCATCCTTCCTGAGCTAAGACCAAAATCTGTGAGCTGGAGGCTAACAAACTGAACTAGCTCACACGAAGTCTGCTTGGCAGGTATGCACAGCAATCGAACTTTAAATTAATAAAAAGCCCCCCATCCCAATCTGACTAAATATGCTCCTGCCTGCAGAATATGATGAAAATGAAAGGGGGGAGGGGGGAAATTAGCCTAATCAAACCCCTGAAAGCTTGCACCAATCTACCCTCTTGAGGCAGCTAGATAAGTGTATCACCTTCAAGGCATCTTTTTGTATATTCTGCAACAGACTACTAAGGCTACTCAATGGAACTGGCCTTCTAAACATCTTTTCTAATGTTGGGAGTGTGAAGGGGTAGGTAGGCTGCCTCTAGTATTATTTGATGGATTCTGCTTATCAGAATTGAAAACATGCAACATTAAAAGTTGTGTATCAATATATTTAATTTTCAACATGGCTTCATCTGTAGATACTTAAATCCAAGACTGAGATGTGCAAAGTTGGTAGAAAAATCTTGCCAATTTGCTGCGTTGCAACTTTCATGTCTCAAGGAAGGCTTTTTGCGACTGTTCAGCAAGCCCCCCCCCCCCATGATAGCCAGTGTGGTGCACTGGTTAGTTTCAGTTTAGGATCTGGGAGACCCAGGTTTGAATCCCCATTGCAGTTGAAGCTCACTGGGTGACTGAGCAAGTCAGTATATCAGCCTGAACTGAAGAGCAGAATTATGTAAACTGCTTTGAATTACTCTTGTGGAGAAAGGTGGGGTGTAAGTGAAATAAAAATGAAGACTTTTTTTTTTGGGGGGGGGGTAGGTAAAAGCAAGATTGTTGAGTGGGAAGAAGGGAAAGGGGAGAACATATTGGGGCTGCCAGGTACAATGAAGTGATCCCCGCACAAGTTCTTGCGGGTTCCCCATTGTGCAAGTGGCCCTCGTCTTCCAACCAGCACTGCGCAATTGGGCCATAAGTTTCCCGAGTAGAGGTTGCCGGAGGAGATAATGGTAGGTGGGAAGGAGAGAAGTACGCAGAAAAGCAGCATTGGAGGAGAATTGATGCCCCCTCCCCCCCGAAAAATCCTTGCGGGTCCCCGGTGCCTCTGTAAATACATAATATAAAGGTAAAGGTTCCCTTGCTCGAAAGCCAGTCGAGTCCGACTCTAGGGTTGCGGTGCTCATCTCCGTTTCAAAGCCGAAGAGCCAGCGCTGTCCGAAGACGTTTCCGTGGTCATGTGGCCGGCATGACAAGACGCCAAGGCGCACGGAACGCTGTTACATAATATACAATGTGTCAAAAAAGTGTCCGTCCTTCCTGGAACTGTTGCGGTCGCTCCTGCATACCAGATCCTTCGTAGACCTTCGTTTAAAGCCACAGAGAGAAAATAAGCCGGAAGTCAACCCAGAGTCGCAGCGCGTATACGCGCTTCCGGCTTCACCCAGACCCGCTCTTCTATTATCATGTAAAGAGTGAGAGCGCTTCCGCCACAGAGCTCTTCGCCGCGCTCTCTATGGTGTACGCCAACGAGAGCCAGCCGGCTGGCCGGAAGCGCGGTCTCTTTTCCGCTTGAGAGCTTCGCGTTTCCCATAATCCTTCGCGCGCGGGCGCTCTCTTTCCTTTTTCCGCCATCTTGCTGTACGGGTGAGTAGTGCGCTACGATGGTCCCGCCTAGGATCCGCCTCGTATCGGATCCATCCTGTCTCTCAGAGCGGCGGTTCCGCGGTTGATCGGGAGGCGAGACTCCGCTGGACCGGCGCCGCCTGTTTGGGGACGGATACGCCCGGCCTGGCCTTCGCGGCGGCGCCCTGAAAGAAGCCCCGGGGGGTGGAGAAACGGGGAATGCCGGAGCGGAGGGCTCTCAGCGCGGGCCAGGCGCGTCGGGGGCGGGCCGGGCCTGGCAAGACGCAGAACGCCTCAGCCGGTGCAGTCTCGGGGCCGCACTCGCGGACTTTCCTCCCTTGCGATTGCTGGCGGGGGCTGCTGCGAGACCACCCCGCTCCTGGGCATGTGCAAAGTCTTGTTTTCTCCCACCCTTTAATGCTAAAATAAAGCGGCAAGCCTACCCATGCTGGCCTCTGCCCCTTCCTCTCGAGGTGTGTTTATTGGCTAGTAAGAATGCGAGTAAGCTTCGCCACCTGTTCCTGGGCGTGTGCGGTGTACCCCCTTCTTCTGGCCTTGTTATGCTTACCAAGAAGTAAAGCCGCAAGCCAAGATGCACGTCCTGGGGTGTGTGCATAGTGTTTTCTTGTTATGCTTACTCTAGAGTAAAGATGCATGGCTAGTCTTGCCGCCCCAGGGCATGTGCAAAGTGCTGCCTCTTCCCTTTTGTGTGTATACATCTCTGTGTACGTGGAGAGTATTCCCTTTAGCTTTTGCTGTGTTTACAATGGATTAAAAGCTACAAGTTTGTCCACACATCTTAGTGTGTGCAGAGTTTCCCCCACCAACACATAAAGTTGCCATGTACTAGCCCTTTGCACAAGACAAGCGTTGCGTTGACACAGAAAGAGGGCAAGTGTGGGTGAGAAGGCTGGACCAGCAGCTGTGCGATCGCCTGCTTGCAAAAGAAGTTGTGCACACTTATGCTCCACTCCAGTGATCGGGGTGAAGCTTTCTAAATATTGATGATCACAGGGAGGAAGTGTGCATACAGGCACTTCCTGTGCGCATAGGTGCTGTGCTCATAACTAGGAGATTGTGTGGTGTCCAGGGCAGGGCCCCGACTCCCTTTCTCTGCACATTGACTTCAATGTGTAGAAGGGTCATGTTAGACCCTTCATCTACCGAGATCTGTATGGTTTGCCCTGACCAGCAGTTACTTCAGTCTTTAAAATGGAGCTGGCCAGGGAGTGAACTGGGGACCATCTATGTGCAAAGCAGATGCTTTGCTGCTGAACAGTCAGCACTTCCCGTGCTTACTTGAGAGTAAGGCAGAGAGTCCGTACTCACTTTCTCCTTTGGCAGAGTGAGACTGACTTCTGAGTCAATTTCGGGGCCCTGATGGTCAGTGATGGCATGTGGCCAAGGAGTTTTGACGAGAGTTGGGCTTTGGGAGTTGATGTAGAGAGGGTGGGAGGGGCAGCAGCATTCCTTTTTTTAGTTCCCATTTAAAGTACCGGGGACTGGATGATGCTAGGATAGAGAGAAGTCCAGGGGTGTGCATTGCATGTCTAGTTTCCAGCGCTACTAGTTTGTTGCGAGGAGGCAGGAAGAACAGTGGTAAGTTGCTTTGGAACCCCATGGAAAGTGGGGTCTGACTACAAAAATTAAAAATAAACGACTGTTAGTTTGAGTCTCTCTCGCAGCCTGGCTCTGTATACTTGAGCAAATGTAAATTCTGACTGTAGGGACAACTGGATTAGGGTGCTGCAGTTCCCTGCTGTAAGTACTTGGTTTAGATTCACTCCCACATCCCTTGTGAGCTCAAAATGCCCATGTGAAACAAAGACTGGAGTCTTGAAATGAAATAGCGGGAGACAGTGTCTCCCAAGGGGGTGACTTCAGGCATTCCTGAGTGTTTGATAAACCTTTGCCAGAAGCCATCTAGGACTCACAATCCCACAAGCCAGTGACAGCTGGTTGTGGTGGCAGGTAAATTATTTGCAGTCAGCCAACAAGAGAAGCGTTTTGTAAATTGGAAGAAGTGATTCTGGTTTGGGGCTCAAACATCCAGTGGCCGTGCCTCGTAAAAATGTAGGTAGTTTGTTGTATACAACAAAGATTAGCCACTGTTTTCTGTGGTTGGCAGTGACTTAAGGCTATTATGGCTGTGGTCACACGGAGCATTAGCCACGCTACAGAGACAGAAGATAGGCGGATTTTCCGGCGCGATCACAGCGCCACATCTGGGAAGCGTAGAGCTCCCGTGGCGAACCCAAGGCTTCCCGCCGAAGATGTGGGGTAAAAAACTAGTACCTCCGAGGTATTAGTTTCTGGAAACCGTGGGGCAAGGGCGGGCGCCTGATCGCGTTTATTTATTTATTTTTCGTACTTATACCCCGCCCTCCCCCGTGGGCTCAGGGCGGCGTTTCCGGTGGTAGGTCGTGGCATCCGGCGCCCGCCCATGTCCCGTCGCTAAAAGGTTTTTTTCCCCAAGTCTCCACGGGGTGCGCACAAGCACCCAACGGCGCATGCGCACACTTCGTTTAAAAACAAACAACACAGCCCCCTCCTCTTTTCTGTACCCCCCCACACTCCTGCCTCGGCCTCCTCGAGAGGAACTCTATGTACCAGGCGGCAGAGGGGGAGGTGCAGGGGGGGCATGGCGAGAGGGCAGCCCGGCTGAAACTCCTCCTGGAGGGGACTGGACGGAGGACACAGTTTGCATTCTTCTGCAGCCCTGGAAGGGGTTAAACCGGCGGAGCCTTTTGCTAGAGGCTGCTTCTTTGCCGCGCTGCAGGATTTTCCTGTGATCGGCACCTCCCCCCTAACCGCGCATTATTTTGCTCCGGGACAAACAGCCACGCTCCCCCCCCCCGGTATTTTCCTGCCCGTGTGACCGGGTCCTATGTCATATTTTTGCTTTTCTAAAACTTCTTGTACAGTGTGAGAGCTTCCAGACATGAGTAGAGTGAGCAGATGAAAAGATACTGTCCAATTTTTTCTTTAGGCAAGGTAGGGGGAAGAGACTGTTCCATGCAGGCCAAAGCTCCCAACTTCAATGGTATGACCCCCCCCCCCTAAAGCAGGGATCTTCAGCTGCTCTAGGCCCAGAACCTGAGTACTGTCAAGAGTCATGTGACATTTAGTCACTTGACAGGAGGAGGGTGATTCAAAGTTGCTTTCAGACTGTGGACAAGAGCTGAGGGGAGGAGAAACAAGCCGAGCATCCGGAGGAGTGTATGTGGGGTGTCCTTGTAAGGAATAAGCCGGAGGAATCCTCTCCACCATTGAGTAATCTCACTGTTGCTCTCCGTCCACATGCAAAGTCAGGCAGGAGTCGTCCCCTTGCTCTCTACCCGTGATGATAATTCCACAGGGATAGTCTTGTCACAGCAGTGCTAAGCAGAAGTTCAGACTTAATAATGTACTCCAGCATCAGCATTTGTGACTCAGAATTATTTGTTACTCAGGTGCATTGAAGAGTATATCCATTAGGATTTATTTACCTCATCTATATTCCTCTTTTTCCTCAACGTGGGGCCCAAAGTGGCTTCTCACAATCTTCCCTTTTCCATTTTATCCTCACAGTAACCCCGTGAAGTAGGTTAGGATGCGTGCATGGCTGGTCCAAGGTCACACCACAAGCTTCCATGGGAGAGTGGTGATTCAAACTGAGTATTTTGCTGTTAACATAAAAGTTGCTAGGACTTTTTTTAAAAAGTTTGTTTGTAAGGACTCATAACCCAGGAGGTGAAGCTGTGCAACCCCACGAGGGTCTGACCTGTGAACTGTGTGTAGGTCTCTGGATTAAAGGGTGGGAACATAGAATCGTAGAGTTGGAAAGGGGCCGTACAGACCATCTTGTCCAACCCCCTGCCCAATGCAGGACCAGCCTAAAGCATCTCTGAGAAATATTGGTCCAGCCTCGCCTTGAAAGTTGCCAGTGAAGGGGAGCCCTGAGCCCACCTGGGGAGGGCGGGATATAAATATGAAAAATAAATAAATAAATAAGCTCACCACCTCTCTAGGCAGCTGATTCCACCTGTGAACAACTCTGACCATGAAAATTTTTTTCCTAATATCCAGCCGATACCTTTCTGCATGTAATTTAAACCCATTGCTTCGGGTCCTATCCCAGTGGAACAGCTCCTTAAAGGTAAATGTAAAGGTTCCCTTGCTCGAAAGCCAGTTGAATCCGACTCTAGGGTTGCGGTGCTCATCTCCGTTTCAAAGCCGAAGAGCCAGCACTGTCCGAAGACATTTCCGTGGTCATGTGGCCGGCATGACTAGATGCCGAGGTGCACGGAACGCTGTTACCTTCCCGCTGAAGTGATACCTATTTATCTACTTGCAATTTCTTGCTTTCAAACTGCTAGGCAGGCAGGAGCTGGAACTAGAGACGGGAGCTCATTCCGTCATGCTGCACACTCGGGTCTCGAACTGCTGAACTACCGACCTTCCACAGCCTGCAGTTCAGTGTCTTAACTACCTGAGCTACCGCCCTCCTCCAAATGACATCCTTTCAAATATTTAAAGAGAACAATCATGTCCTCCCTCAATCTCCTCTTCTCCAAACTAAACATTCCCAAGGCCCTTAGCCTTTCCTCGTAGGGCTCAGTCTCCAGACCCCTGATCATCCTCGTCTTTCTTCTGCACCCTCTCGATTTTGTCCACATCCTTTTTGAAGTGAGGCCTCCAGAACTGCACACAGTACTCAAGATGCGGCCTGACCAAAGCAGTATACAGAGGAGCTATGACCTGCGATTTCGATGCTATGGCCCTTTTAATACCACCCAAGACTGAATTTGCCTTTTTTGCCACTGCATCACACTGAGTGCTCATATTTAGTTTACAGTCCACTCTTACCCCAAGATCTCTTTCGCATACACTACTCCCCAGAAACGTACCCCCCATCCAGTATTTGTGCTTGACATTTTTGTGGCCCAGATGTAATACTGGGCATTTATCTTTGTTGAATTGCATCCTGTTTGCAACTGCCCACTTCTCCAGAGTATTCAGGTCTTGTTGAATTTTAACTCTTATCTTCTTGGGTGTTTGCTACTCCTCCCAATTGGGTATCATCAGCAAATTTAATGAGTAGCCCTGCTGGCTCAGCCCAGTGCTCCATCTAGTCCAGAATTCTGTCTCACACAGCAGCCAGCTGGTTGCCCCGGAGGACAATAAGCAGCGTTTAGAGGGCAAGTCCCTTCCCTGATGCTGCCTCCTGGCTCTGGTACTGAGAGGTTTGCTGCCTCTGTAGAGGGATACTCTCTTCTGTCGTCGCAAACCTCTTCTCCATGAACCTAACTCCTTTTAAAGCTATTCGATCTCTTGGCCATCACTACCTCCTATTGCAGTGAAATCCACATTTTAAATATTTGTGAGTAAAGAAATATTTCTTTTTGTCTGTGCTGAGCCTGTTTCCCAGCAACTTCATTGGGTGCCCCTGAGTGTTATGGGAGAGAGAGAAAATGCTCCCTCTTCAGTTCCTCCACCCTATGCATAAGTTTATAAACCTCTATCATAAACCCCTTAGTTGTCTCCAACCCCTTGGTTCCCCTTTTCTGTGCTTTCTGCGGGATCGTAGAAAGGAGGGCTGGGAAAACCCTTCCTGTGCCAGAGAAGCTGGAGAGCCACTGCCCATCAGAGGAGACGGCTCTGGCTTAGAATTAGACAATTCCTATATGTTCAGAGAGGAGCTGCGGTGGCTCAAGTGGTTAAGACGCTGAACTACAGGCTGTGGAAGTAGTTCAGCAGTTCGAGACCCGGGTGCCGCATGACGGAATGAGCTCCCATCTCTAGTTCCAGCTCCTGCCAACCTAGCAGTTCGAAAGCAAGAAATTGCAAGTACCGTAGATAAATAGGTACCACTTCGGTGGGAAGGTAACAGCGTTCCGTGCACCTTGGTGTTTAGTCATGCCGGCCACATGACCACGGAAATGTCTTCGGACAGCGTTGGCTCTTCGGCTTTGAAACGGAGATGACCACCGCAACCCTAGAGTCGGATTCGACTGGCTTTCGAGCAAGGGAACCTTTACCTGTATGTTCAGATAGAATTCTCTGGTGAGGGGAGCAGCAGCAGCAACAGGTGGTATATTAAACTTGGGGCGCACAACTTGGTTTCCAAACATCTTTAAAAGCATGACAGGGAAGAAGTGGCTTTGTAAAATGTCTGGAGATGTTTTTAATGCCCTGAATAGAACCTGGTTTGGTTTAGTGTGTTTGTTTTGATTATATTTAGTACCCAAAATGTAAAGCCTGGCCATGTTATTGTTATGTCTAGGTAGCAACAAATACTTGAAGTGAAATACTTGAGTTTGGGGGGGGGGAATAAACTGTCGTGTAAATGTTCTGTGTAAGCAGATACAAAGCTTTATGTCGAAATTATTTGTATTGAAGCGTAAGGATAATATTGCATGTGCTTTGCTTATAGTGCTTAAATTTAAGGTGGGAAAAAACCCACAGAGGGCTGAGAACGGCACTAGTTTCTTCCACCCAAACAACTGTGTGAATTTGCTGTGGATTTCTCTATTTCTGTCTTCCGTGGAGGTCACTGGAGGGCCTCAATTGCACTGAAAACTCTGCAGCATCACTTGTGTTTAAAAATGGAATAGTCCAGGGGGGAAAAAACTCTGGAACTTGATGGGGGGGAACACCTCCACAGATATCTTGCAGTACAGGAAGCTCCATTAAACTGAACCAGCCTCCCCCCCCCCCAAAAAAAAAGAGGGGGAGGGACTAAACTTCCTTAGGAGGTTTATATTGAACCAGACTATTGGTCCGTCAAGGTCAGGACTGGCAGCAGCTCTCCTGGGTCTCAGGCTGAGGTCCTTCACACCCCCTGTTGCCTAAACTTTTTAACTGGAGATGCCAGGGGTTTGAGCCGGGGGCCTTCTCTGTGCCAAGCCAATGAAGGCTCTTCCACTAGGGTTACCATTCCCCAGTTTGGGGCAGGGGATTCCCTGCTTTTCCGGGCTCCTGCGCCCCCCGACAGCCCGCCGTCCCCCCCCCCCCCCCGAATGTTGGGTGTCATGCAGATGTTACCCAGAAGTGACACTCTGGTTTTTTGGCAGGGCTCTATGGTTTGAGGGTGATTTTACCATAGAGTTTTGCCCAAAAACCAGAGTGCCATCCCCAGTGTGCCTATGTCACTTCTGGGTGACGCACAACATCACTTCCGGTTAAGGGGGGGACATGCTTCTGGCTCCTGGAGCGTCCCCCCATCCCCCTGCCGGTGTTAATTTTTCCCAGTGAAAGTATTGGCAGCCTTCGGGATCACAGTGTGGACTTGGCCTTGAACTGTGTGTGCATTTTCTTTTTGCAGGCACCATGGTGCGCATGAATGTTCTAGCAGATGCTCTCAAAAGCATCAACAATGCAGAGAAACGTGGGAAGCGTCAAGTTCTCATCAGGCCGTGCTCCAAAGTGATCGTCCGGTTCTTAACTGTGATGATGAAGCACGGTAGGTCCATAACAATGTCTGTGCCTCCTGCATACGATAGGCAGGGAAACATACAAGGTCTTGGCCACGTAGGCATAATCACTGTCTCGGTCGGTGGAGCACTGGACGTGGATCATTCAAAACCAACGACCATGTAATACGATTCGGAAGGACGCAAGCCAGTGGGGAAACTTTCAGGTTCTCCAGGACTCTCAGTCAGGCTGGAAGGTAAAAAGGGGGGACAGATTTCAGACCCCGCTGCAGAGGCCTCTTCGTCCGTGCACCCTCTAGGGCTCAAATGGGCACAGATAGCAGACTCTGCCCCTGCCCTTCTGGGAGGAAGAAACAAACATGGGAAGCATCCTGTTGAAAATACAGAACCAGGAGCTGGGCAGTGTGCAGTGGCTCCACTTGAGGAGGCCGGACTCTGGGTTTTTTCCTCCTGTGTTTCGGTCAGAACTTGGGGGGATTTGAAAACCTGCTGGTTTATTTTTTGACTTCTAAATTGGTCCTAATGAAAGAAGAAGAAGAAGAGATTGGATTTATACCCCGCCCTTCACTGCCCAAAGGTGTCTCAGAGCGGCTTACAAACTCCTCTCCCTTCCCCTCCCCACAACAGACACCTTGTGAGGTGGGTGGGGCTGAGAGAGCTCTGACACAAAGGGCTCTTTTTCAAGGACAGCTGTGCCAGAGCTTGTGACTGACCCAAGGTCACATCAGCAGGTGCAAGCGGAGGAGTGGGGAATCAAACCCGGTTCTCCCAGATTAGAGTCCGTACACTTAACCACTACACCAAAGAGTACTGCAGTGGCCCTGGGGCAAGAAGCGTTCAGAGGTGGATTGCCATTGCCTGCATCGCGAGTCTGGGCTTCTTTGGCCTCCCATCCGAGGACTGACTGGGGCTGACCTGGCTTAGCTTGTGAGATCGGATGAGATCAGGCTGGCCTGGGGCCCCCAGGTCAGGGCTTCTAGGTGCGATTTTATTCTGAGCATGCCTGGTTTGCATGGTCTCATGATAGGGTTCTCCTTCAGTAGAATCATTTATTCCCCCTTCAACAAAGCCGTCAAGAAGTTGAGTAGAGACTCGTGTGCTTGCCCAAGTGCAGGAACTGTGTCTTCCTTAGCACATGCATGTGGCCCTAGATAGGAATGTAATTCCTGGCTCACAACTTTAATGCCAGTAGCTCACAAAGTAGAATTTTTGCTCACACGACTCCACAGCTTAGAGGGAGCATTGTTGAGCGGTATAGAAATTGAAAATTAAATTAAATGCCCCTTGTGCTGTGTCAGCGGTGGGAACTGTGCCGCTCGAGGCACATCTTGCCAGAAAGCTCAGTTTTGATACTGTGGTGGACACCCAGTGTGGGGAAGTGGTTAGAACTTTGGAGGAGGATCTGTGTTCAAATCCCTCCAATCATCCGTAAGGTTCACTGGTGATCTTTAGCCAGTCAATCTCTAAAGAGCCAGCATATTGGAGTGGTCAGGGTGTCAGGCTAGGATCTGGGAGACCCAGGTTTGAATTCACATTTTGCCATGGAAACTTTTTGGGCGATCTTGGGGCTAGTCACCCTCTCTTGACCTAGCCTATCGCATGGGGTGGTTGTGTAGGGGAGAAAGTTGTCAGTCACGCTGGGTCCCCATTTGGGGAGAAAAGTGAGGTATAAATGAAATAAATGGCCGAGTCCACATATCCACATGAAGTTCACTGATCAGACATAGTCAGAGGAGATCCATGGGCAGAATTGTAATTTCCAGGCATGAGAATGGGGCAAAGCGCAGCTCCCCAGGCCTGTTTCAGGTGATCTTCTGCCAAGGACATGTGTGTGTGTTTATAAATCTTCCTGTGCTGAATAGAAATTTTTTAGTGCAGCATTAACTGAAGTCCCCAAGAAATTTCTAGATTTGAGTCCAGTAGTACCTTACAGAGCAACAAGATTTTTGGCGTGCATACCCTGAAAGTCCTGTTGGTCTCCGGTGCTGCTGGACTTGAATCTGGCTCTTCTTCTGTAGACCCGCTTGCAAATTGTCCAGTGTTATCGCTTAAAGGTAAAGGTTTCCCTTGCTCGAAAGCCAGTCGAGTCCGACTCTAGGGTTGCGGTGCTCATCTCCGTTTCAAAGCCGAAGAGCCAGCGCTGTCCGAAGACATTTCCGTGGTCATGTGGCCGGCATGACTAAACACCAAGGCGCACGGAACGCTGTTACCTTCCCACCGAAGTGGTACCTATTTATCTACTTGCAATTTCTTGCTTTCGAACTGCTAGGTTGGCAGGAGCTGGAACTAGAGACGGGAGCTCATTCCGCACACTCGGGTCTCGAACTGCTGAACTACCGACCTTCCACAGCCTGCAGTTCAGCGTCTTAACCACTTGAGCCACCGCAGCTTATGCGCTTACAGCAAGATAAATCTTCACAGTTCAATTATTATAAAAATGACGTTCTTAACATCATTGACTTAAAGGAGCTGGGTCTGTGTGGTCGCTCTGAGGTTGTGATTTGGCCCAAGGCTGAGCCAGCATTGAACCCAGGTCTCCCTAGTGCTTCTTCACAGTGCCATGGACCTGCTGTTGTGCTTTAGCCAATTACAAGGCATAATGTGAAATAGAGTGAAGGGCTTTGGGACCAGAAAAGAGACTCCAGTTCCAATATGGGACATGATGGAGAAGATTCTGCCCTCTTTTCTTCTCCATTCTGCTTGGACCAGTCACATTTGAAATGCTGAAAGGGATGTTGGAGTGGGCAAAAAGCCTGAGGCAATTTAACATTCAGCAACCTTTGGACAAACAGGGCAGGTGGGGGGTTTGGTGGGGGGAGCGACAGGAGGTATCCTGCGGTGGGCAATAGGTTTGGGCGCTGTTCTTATTTAAAAACAGTGAAGTGTTAAGACTGGTTGGGTTATTTTTTTTCTGAACCTCTTTGAAAACATACTGTATGTGTAGAGTATCTTTCAGCTCTGGTAGTCTGTGCTGTTTATCATACGAGAATGGGAAGGTGTTAAATGTCTCACACTTACAAATTTAATGCATTTAAGTGTGCTTATTATCCATGTCTGCTGTGTTCTCATCAAGCCCCCACAGCAATCTGTAGCATCCAGGGAAAAGAGGTCTTGATGGGTAACTCCTGTGCTCTCTGCTTCATGGATAAAGACAGGTATATATCTTGCATGAAAAAGAAAAGAAACCCATTTTGCCTCACACCCCTAAAGCTGAAGGTGGACCTTTTAGTAGAAAAAGAGGGTGTGGGGTAGTGAGTTGGTTCCCAGCCCTCCAGTCTAAGGGACTTGTTTTAGGGTGGTGAAGCAAATAATAGCAGTGAAAGGACTTGATTTGGGGTCGTGACACTGTCTGCTGTCTGAGGTTTGCTTAGATTTTCAGCAATGACGAGGTGTGAATATACTGAGTGCTGCTCTATCCTTTCAGGTTACATAGGTGAATTTGAGATCATTGATGATCACAGAGCGGGGAAAATTGTTGTGAACCTCACAGGCAGACTCAACAAGGTAGGATCTGACTTCTGACTAAGCTGCCAAACTTAAAATGGAATGTTGAGTTAGACGATGTGCGTGCATTTAGTTTTCCTCTCACTTGGGTGAAATTCTCCTGGCTTTAGGGACTCATAATGGTTTGACTGTCCTGGGTGTAAGCAGAAATACAAAAGTGCTTTCCTGAATGTTGACAGATCAGGTTGCACACAAACACTCATTTGTTATTTCTCTTTGCATTCTTTTCTTGGTGAATAAACCTCAGTTAAATGGGAACAGTTGCACTAGTTCTTTGTTGGGGCTGTTTTGAAAAGAGGCACAAGTTAGACATGAGCTCCTGAAACTGCCTCTTAAACCTGGCCCAGTAGCACATACTCTGTCCCACTTGCCTTAATACAAATTTACTGCTCGTGGCAGAGAGCAGTGTGACCTTAGACCAGGGGTGTCAAACTCATTTGTTATAAGGGCCGGATCTGACATAAATGTCACCTTTTGTAATGGTGATTTTAAGATGCCGAATGGCAATAGCAGGCTCGATTGGATTAGGTGTGATATGCAGATATCGGCATTGGTAATGAGACAGGAAACCTTGGTCTCAGTTCAGTCCAGGAGGATGCAAACAATAAATATATAAAAAATATAAAGAATAAATTACATTAGAAACCACAACATTCAAAAACCAGTGGGGGAACATTTTAACCTTTCAGGACATTCAGTTGCTGACATAAAAGTCGCAGTTCTCTTGCAAAGGAATTTCAAAGGGAGATTAGAAAGAGATACTACTGAATTGCAGCCTCAAGACAATGCATCCTCTAGGACTGAATTGAGATCTAGGTTTCTTCTCTCATTAACAGCACCTGCTATTGTAAGGACTGATGGGCTCACATTCTAGCTGTATCTGAAGAAGTGAGCAGTGACTCGTGAAAGCTCCTGCCCTGCCACAAATTCTGTTAGTTGTTAAGGTCCTACTGGACTGTGATATCAAGTAAACAGCAGAGCAGGGCGATCTCAATGTAAATTTGCTTGTCGGAAGAATCCCCCATCCCTCTCTCTGAATCAGTGGCGGGTACATGAAAGCTTATATCTAGAATAAACTTTGTTGATCTTAAAGGTGTGACTTTGTTCTCTTGCTCCATGGACTTCTTTCCCTCCCTTTCTCCTTTAGCTAATGGAGTGAAGGGAAGGGCTTTTCATCTCTACCTGCAAGATTGAGGGGAAAATGCAGCTGCAGCAGCCCAGGAAGGAAGCAGGAGAGAGCCAGTTGCTTGCGGGCCGTTTGGTTGACATCCCTGCATTAGACTGTTGTGGTTTTTCTTTTCATGAGGGAACAGCCCTCATGGTACACGCGATTCCTGTCCCTGGTGCTTCACTGCTAGATAGAATCATAGAATCACATGGTTGGAAGGGGCCCTACAGGCCATCTAGTCCAACCCCCTGCTCAATGCAGGATCAGCCTAGAGCATCCCTGACAAGTGCTTGTCCAGCCGCTGCTTAAAGACTGCCAGGGAGGGGGAGCTCACCACCTTCCGAGGCAGCTGATTCCGCTGTTGCACAACTCTGTCAAAAGGTTTTTCCTAAGATCCGGCTGGTGCCTTCCTGCCCTTAATTTAAACCCATTATTGCGAGTCCTATCTTTTGCTGCCAACAGGAATAGCTCCCTGCCCTTCAAATACTTCAAGGGAGCCATCATGTCCTCCTCAACCTCCTCTTGTCCAGACTCAACATTCCCAAATCCCCTCAGCCTTCCTCAGAGGGCTTGGTCTCCAGGTCAATCTACCCCAATCTCTTTTGCCCACCTTTTCTCCCATCAGTCTACCCAATCCTTCCTATCACCGACCCCTGGCACTTCACTCACCCCGCCTTTGCAGCTTTCCCCCCCACACTTGACATTCAGTTCTCACCAGCATAAATACTAGCAGTCTAATCCTAGGCAGGAATAATCAGCAGTAGGTAATGCCAGCAGTCTCGTAGATAGAAGGAAGAAGAAGCAGCTAGCACCAGCTTGCTAACCGTAGGCTGGTAGGGGCATCAGTTGGTCATGCCAAGAGGCAGCACAGAATAACACCTGTGAGGAGTGGGCAGTTGTAGCTAAAGCGCCTGCCTTCCAGTGGTTGGTATTCCGTCATTCTCCCTGATGGTGGAGGAGGGATAGCATTGCAGTGGTTCTGTGGTTCAGTATGAGGGCCATGCACCTTCTCCTGATAATGATTAGTTTCTAGGGATGAATCGATCTCACAGGAAGTCATGTTCTGCTCCTCTTGGCCACCTGCATTGCAGTATTTTGTCTTATTAGTCACTGGTGCCTGAGCATGAGTGTCTCCCCCTCTCCCTTAGCGCAGTCGTGAGTGAAGCCGTCATGGTTAAGAAATGGTAAAAGTTGCTCTTCTGCCTCCTTTGACAGTGTGGTGTGATCAGTCCAAGATTTGATGTCCAGCTGAAGGATTTGGAAAAGTGGCAGAACAATCTGCTTCCTTCACGCCAGTTTGGGTAAGTGTTCGTTGTGCCGAGAATGGGATGGTTAAACTTCTGTAACGAGGGCTGCTGCTGAACACTTTGCCCGGCTCCGATTTTCCCCTTGCTGGCCTTGCAAGCACTCGGATGCTCCATATTAAAGTGCAGCCAGGTGCACTCTGCAGTAAGGAGAGGGATGGGGGAGGGAGTCATTCTCAGCGCAGCGTCAGTCCTGCAAGCCCTTCTCTTTTAATTATTCCAGACAGGTAGCCTTGAGGTGGGTTTGCATGTGGCTGAGCAACTTCAGGTCATCCTGGATCCATTCCAGTTCAGCTTTGCCCTGGTCATGGGACAGAGACGGCGTTGGTCGTCCTCACGGATGACGTTTGGAGACAGCTGGATCGGGGCGGGTTGGCGCTGCCGCCGCTTTTAAATCTGACAGCAGCGTTCGACACGGTCGATTCTGAGCTATTGCCCCACCATCTTGCCAACAAAGGAGTGAGGGGGACTGCCTTGCAGTGGTTTTCTCCTTTCTTTGTGATTGAGGACAGAGGGTGGCACTTGGTGAGATGGTCTCCCAGGGGTACCCACTGGAATGTGGTATGCCGCAAGGGACGATCCTCTCACTGATGCTATTCAACATCTGTATGCACCCCCTTCCCCGGCTAATATGGAGGTATGGGCGAGGTCGTATGGACTCCCCCAGAAAATCTGGGCAGGGCGTTAGATGCCGTGGCTGGGTGGTTGCAACAGAGTCGGATGAAATTGAATCCGTTGAAGACGGAGTTCCTGTGGCTGAGCTGGTGCGGTGTAGGTTTGGGCATTAGGCTCCCAGCCCTTGATGGGGTGCTGCTGGTGCCTGTGCCAAGGGTTAGGTGCCTGGGCGTGATCCTGGATGCCTCACTTTCTATTGCAGTATTTTGTCTTATTAGTCACTGATGCCTGAGCATGAGCGTCTCCCGTCATACCTTCAAATACTTCAAGGGAGCCATCATGTCCCCCTCAACCTCCTCTTGTCCAGACTCGACATTCCCAAATCCCCTCAGCCTTCCTCAGAGGGCTTGGTCTCCAAGTCAATCGACCCCAGTCTCTTTTGCCCACCTTTTCTCCCGTCAGTCTACCCAATCCTTCCTATCACCGACCCCTGGCACTTCACTCACCCCGCCTTTGCAGCTTTCCCCCCCACACTTGACATTCAGTTCTCACCAGCATAAATACTAGCAGTCTAATCCTAGGCAGGAATAATCAGCAGTAGGTAATGCCAGCAGTCTCGTAGATAGAAGGAAGAAGAAGCAGCTAGCACCAGCTTGCTAACCGTAGGCTGGTAGGGGCATCAGTTGGTCATGCCAAGAGGCAGCAAGGAATAACACCTGTGAGGAGTGGGCAGTTATAGCTAAAGCGCCTGCCTTCCAGTGGTTAGTATTCCGTCATTCTCCCCGATGGTGGAGGAGGGATGGCATTGCAGTGGTTCTGTGGTTCAGTGTGAGGGCCATGCACCTTCTCTTGATATCACTCGTTTCTAGGGATGAATCGATCTCACAAGAAGTCATGTTCTGCTCCTCTTGGCCACCTGCATTGCAGTATTTTGTCTTATTAGTCACTGGTGCCTGAGCATGAGTGTCTCCCCCTCTCCCTTAGCGCAGTCGTGAGTGAAGCCGTCATGGTTAAGAAATGGTAAAAGTTGCTCTTCTGCCTCCTTTGACAGTGTGGTGTGATCAGTCCAAGATTTGATGTCCAGCTGAAGGATTTGGAAAAGTGGCAGAACAATCTGCTTCCTTCACGCCAGTTTGGGTAAGTGTTCGTTGTGCCGAGAATGGGATGGTTAAACTTCTGTAACGAGGGCTGCTGCTGAACACTTTGCCCGGCTCCGATTTTCCCCTTGCTGGCCTTGCAAGCACTCGGATGCTCCATATTAAAGTGCAGCCAGGTGCACTCTGCAGTAAGGAGAGGGATGGGGGAGGGAGTCATTCTCAGCGCAGCGTCAGTCCTGCAAGCCCTTCTCTTTTAATTATTCCAGACAGGTAGCCTTGAGGTGGGTTTGCATGTGGCTGAGCAACTTCAGGTCTTCCTGGATGAAGCATCCATCCTGGATCCATTCCAGTTCGGCTTTTGCCCTGGTCATGGGACAGAGACGGCATTGGTCGCCCTCACGTTTGGAGACAGCTGGATCGGGGCGGGTTGGTGCTGCCGCCGCTTTTAAATCTGACAGCAGCGTTCGACACAGTCGATTATGAGCTGTTGCCCCACCACCTCGCCAACAAAGTGAGGGGGACTGCCTTGCAGTGGTTTTCCTCCTTTCTTTGTGATTGGGGACAGAGGGTGGCACTTGGTGAGATGGTCTCCCAGGGGTACCCACTGGAATGTGGTATGCCGCAAGGGACGATCCTCTCACTGATGCTATTCAACATCTGTATGCACCCCCTTCCCCGGCTAATATGGAGGTATGGGCGAGGTCGTATGGACTCCCCCAGAAAATCTGGGCAGGGCGTTAGATGCCGTGGCTGGGTGGTTGCAACAGAGTCGGATGAAATTGAATCCGTTGAAGACGGAGTTCCTGTGGCTGAGCTGGTGCGGTGTAGGTTTGGGCATTAGGCTCCCAGCCCTTGATGAGGTGCAGCTGGTGTCTGTGCCGAGGGTTAGGCGACTGGGCATGATCCTGGATGCCTCGCTTTCTATGGAGGCCCCGGTCACTGCCGTTGCCAGGTCTGCCTTTTATTACCTTTGGCAGGTCAGGCAATTGGCCCCTTATTTCTCTGCCCAGGACCTGGCTACAGTGACCTCTGCAATGGTCACATCCAGTGTTCCCCCTAATTCCACCCCACCCCGAGTGGAGCAGTTCACATCCTGAGCAGCATAGAACTGCTGTAATCTGAAAACGGGCAATGGGCAGTGCAAGACCCTGTGCGGCTCCAGACTGCTGCTTAGCGGGGTTTCCGGTGTCGATGAGTGGCTGCTCAATCGCACAGCTTAGGGGGAACACTGGTCACATCCAGGCTAGATTACCGTAACTTGCTGTACACGGGCTTACCCTTGAACCTGACCCGGAAACTCCAGCTGGTACAAAATGTGGCTGCTCGCCTGCTGACTGTAATGCCTGTGTGGGCACGTATTCAGCCGGTGCTCCACCATTGCATTGGCTACCAATTGAGTACTGGATCTGTTTCAAGGTGTTGGTAAAAGTAAAGGTAAAGGTTTCCCTTGCTCGAAAGCTAGTTGAATCCAACTCTAGAGGGCCATGTTCATCTCCGTTTCCAAGCCGAAGAGCCAGCACTGTCCGAAGACGTTTCCGTGGTCATGTGACCGGCATGACTAAACGCCAAGGCGCACGGAACACTGTTAACTTCCCACCGAAGTGGTACCTATTTATCTACTTGCAACGTCTTGCTTTCAAACTGCTAGGTTGGCAGGAGCTGGGGCCAGAGACGGGAGCTCACTCCCATCACACAGCACTAGGGACTCGAACTGCTGAACTACAGACCTTCCAGCCTGCAGATCAGCATCTTAACCTCTGAGCCACCGCAGGCCCCCCCCAAAAAAGCTTTTGATATTAACCTTTAAAGTCCTGAGCCGCCTGGGACCTGCATACCTTTCCTTATACACCCCCTGGAGAGCCTTCCGCTCTACTGATCAACATCTATTGGTTATCCCTGGCCCAAAGGATGTCCACGTAACCTCAGCTAGGGCCAGGGCTTTTTCTGTCCTGGCCCCTACCTGATGGAACATGCTCCCACTTGAGATCAGGGCCTCGCAGGACCTATTACAGTTCCGCAGGGCCTGTAAATAGAGCTGTTCTGGCAGGCTTTCATTTGAGTTGGTGGGCACCCAATTAGTTGGCCTCCCTGCCCTGACTATTTGCTCTATGCGAAGTCCTGGTATTATAGGAGCTTGGTGTGACTCCAGTTACCATCAGTCTGTCTTACAGATGGTCTGAACTGTTATATTTAATTTGCCATATTTTAATTGTTTTAAGGGTTGTAGCTGTTTTAAGAATTAATTATATTACCTGGTTCTAATTGTTCATGCACTTTATTGTTACCTGCCCTTAGCCCATCCTGGGAAGGGTGGGATATAAATTTTACTGATAAATAAATATGTTTGTAGCAGCCAAATAAAATGGGAGACTTTAGAACCTAACAATTTATTCCCACATAAGCTTTTCTGAGTCAGAGTTCACTTCACCAGATGGAGTAGAGTCACAGTTCCCCCTAAGCTGCGCTAGGGGGCGCTGGCGCACAACATTTCCAAGGCCAGCTCAGAGGATTTCTGCTTCTGCTCACCACAAGTGGAGGATGGGGGCCTGTAGAAGTGGACCCCCTGGTCCAATCTTTTTGAAACTTTTTTTTGGGGGGGTTGAGGAGAGGCACCAGCAGATAAGCTGCAAATTTGGTGCCTCTATCTCAAAAAGCCCCCCAGAGACCCCTGGATCAATCCTTCATTATAGCCTACGAGGCCCATTGACCGTTGCGCCAGAAACAAAAATGATTTCTTTTTTTTTTGCACACCCCTATTATGCTTGTCAATATGATTTGTAGGCTGCCTTGAGTCACAGGGAAAAGTGGGTATAAATATTTGAATAAATAAGTAGTTTTGGCAGGTTGATAATATGTAAGCAATCTCCTGTTTGTTAGGTTAGGCAGCGTTCTGACAGTGATTGTTCCACCTCTTTTATACTGGACCTGTAATGCTGGTTGTCATCGTTCACTAAAAAAAACAAAAAAACCCCCAAAGTAGAAGGCAAGAGCTCCCCCCCCCCTTAAGTGCTGATACTTAAGTGCTGGTTTACCCTTCTAGAGGACATTTTGTGTAATGAAATTTGACTTGGTTCTGTTTTCTCTTATAACATTTAAATTATTCTTTAAATATTCAGAATTCATTCTGAGATTTTTACAAGGTTATGGGAATAATCTTAAAAATAATTTACACAATAGTCAAATGCAGACTTGCTCACAACTTTAATGCTACTAGGTTTTTTTGCTCACAAGGTAGAATTTCTGCTCAGAACACTGTGGAGCTTAGAGGGAACATTGATTGGAGTATATACGCATGTTCATTTATATTCACAATAGAAAACTGTTGAAAGGAGAGATGGGCTGATAGATTGGGCTGGCTCTTGTTCGAAACCAGCCTCTCTTTGTAATTATTTACAATAGCCCATTCCACGTAGTTGAGAGCCTCCCTCAGTTATTTTTTATTTATTTATTTATTTTATTTAACTTTCAATTTATAGACTGCTCACCCCTAAGGGCTCTGAGCGGTTTACATTATACAATTATTAATTTCATTACCTTTTTACTAGGGCCACGTGGACAATGAGGGGAAGGGACTACCTATTGTTGGACAGACACAGTAGGGTGAACTTTGAATCTAGTGCAGGATGAAGCCAGATGAGCAGATAGAAGAATACAGAGATATAGCTAAAGTACTTACTATCCATAAGGGGTGGGGCACACCATTGCACAGATCAAAGCGCTGCACAAGTCCACTCTTCAAATAGTTTGTGATGCAAAACTCAAGAGGTGCATTAAAAATAGCTGTTAAGGTTGGGAGCAGGTAATTGTCCTGTATATATTGCTTGTTCAAAAAGCAGGGTTAGTTTCCTTGTTCCGGATCTGTTACGTGGGAGAGAACTCTTGTCCTGGACCCTCATAAGTTGTTTCTTCACTGTCGTCCCTAGGTACATTGTGCTGACCACTTCCGCTGGCATCATGGACCACGAGGAAGCAAGGCGAAAACATACAGGAGGGAAAATCCTGGGCTTCTTTTTCTAAACTTGTAAAAAAAAATAAAAGGCAGATTAATAAATGGTTCAAATGGACTGTTCACAGCTAGTTTGTTAAAGGAGTTGGTCCCTGTTCTGTGAGCGTTGATGCAAGGGGCATCAGTGCTGCTGCTGTGAAGTACAGAACAGTGCCTCTTCTATTGCTGCTTCTGGAACGGCACCCGAACATCCTTGGTTCTGCAGCTGCATCCTGGGGCCAGCCTCTCTTTGGATCCGTGCATTACTGTGCCTCTTTTAAAGAATGGCTCCGAGGTCTTTGGCTCCTACACCCTATATAATCTCATGTGCATGTTCACCGTACAATTAGAGAACGGCGGTATTTATTTTATGTCTTGTAACTGTGCCTTTCTGCCTCAATAGCCTCTCCTCCCAACTAAAACTCTTCTACTAATTAACCAAAGGCCCAAACAAAATAAGTTGCCACGGAGGAGATGGTGTCCCCTCTGTGTGTCCCTTGGGGAAAATAGTCCAGTAGTGAGACAACATCGATGTAACTTCTGGAGCCTGGGCATCGAAAGCCAGGACTGTTACACCACGATGTCTTAGAGTTAGCTAGGCAATACATCTCATGCTTGCCCAGCAACAATAAAACAGAAGGCTACTCCACTGCTATAATTTCCTCTTCTCATGCTTGCCCAGCAACAATAAAACAGGAGAAGGCTACTCCATGGCTATAATTTCCTCCGTTGCTGGCAGTGCTGAAACAGAGAAAGCAAGACTGGGCCACATGAGTCAGAATTGCTTGGCTTCCGATATATGCAGTAGGCCAACCTTATCACTTGTGTTCACACTGGCCCCAGGCCAAGAGTGGGGTACAAAGCATGGGGCAAAAGGGTGCAGAACTATGTGGAGGGATGGCCTTCAGTCGGGGCCCGGACTTCCTGGCTATCAGCTGCTCCGAGCACTTGCATCCAGCCTTGCTAGCCATAACCAGCCGGCTAGAACAGCTGTAGATTGAGGGGGCAGCTTGGTAAAAAAAAATCCCTCAACGTTGGGAGTTGGCTCAGTCCATTCCTGATGTTGTGTTAAGCCCCACTCGATCCTGTTCACAGAGATTTATAAACCTTCACTTACGACCCCCATCGATAGAAGCTGCTGTAGGCTAACTGCTGTGTGCCAGCATCTATCTAAAACTGAAACACAGTTCAAATCTGTCTCCCAAGCACCCTTGCCAGGATCCAGGAGAGGAAATTACCATCTCAGCCTTTTGTTTTTTGTTGCGCTGTTAATACTTGAATCTTTAAAATGTATCACGTTAACAATCTCGCAAATGTGTTATAAAAGAACAAGACTGTGAATACAGGGCTGATATATTCAAACTACAGACCACCTTCTGTGTCAAAGAACAAACTGGAAACAGTAAAGTTAGCATCCTTTGTTAGAACTGGGGAACTGCAGGTATTATTTTAAAAGTCACACATTCCAACTGTGCCACAGAACAAGGCTGGAGGAATGGCAAAAAGGGGGCACCAAATTTGATCCTGGCAGATCTTGATTTTTTACTTACAAAAAATGCAGTTGTTTTTACACCACCTCAAAACTCTGGAGCGCACTGCTGGAATGAACCCGCGGTTTCTAAGCCTCCCTCTTGGGAATCCCCTCTCTCCATCCTGTAACCCCTCTGTTGTTGTGCAGTGAATTCTGGAGTGCAACCTCCCATGGCACAAATTTGGTTCATGCAGAGCTCTGCCCTGTTCTCTTGGACCTCACCACCATTCTGTGTGAACGGAGATTTTCAAAGCACCCAGTTATGTGTTTGTGACTGCATGTGGCAGGGAGTAATTGGGAATGGTGGACCACCTTTCAAGGAAGCATGGCTGCTGTTACAGAGCTTTTAATTGAGGAATGCCAATGGTTACAGTCAGTGTTCCCTCTAAGCTGAGTTAGTGTGAGCAAGCTCACTGTTTTTTAGCCTCCAGCTCACATGTTTTTGTCTTCGCTCTGGAAGGATGGCTCCAGAGCAAACTATGCAGTAGCCAAATCGCTCACTCACAACTTTAATGCCGGTAGCTCACAAAGTGGAATTTTTGCTCACAAGACTCCACAGCTTAGGGGGAGCATTGGTTACAGCCCAGTTTGAAAACCACTGGAATAAATGACAGCCACTGAAAGCAAAAAGCCCAGTTGGGATGCAGGGAAGGGGGTGAACAAGCTGAAGAGTTTTAAGATACACTTCAGCAGCTCTTGAATCGCAGGACCTTATCCAGCTAGAAGCAAGTCAGTTCTACATCCCACCTTGCAACCCATAAAAGGAGCTAGTCACATCTAAAGCCACATTGCACTGAAAGCAAAGGTCTTGATAGGTGCAGCTGACTTGCGTTGAATGTTAGCTTACCTGAGCTTGGCTGGGGTCCCCAGCAGGTCAAGAATGAGGAGACAAATTGGCCAGGTGTCCATCTGGAATGGAGAAGGTCATCCCTTTTGGCCAGACCTTCTCCAAGCTGCTCCGGGCCTGAACTTTATTTTTAGCTTGTGGCACTTTTCACCAGCCTGTCTCCCACCTCTTCACCTGTTCCAGCTGGGAACCCAGTATTTCATCTGACTATACTGAAAGGAAGAAGGATAACGCAGATCCGGCACACCTGATGTTTTCAGTGATCTGGGTTAAAATCTGCAGTGAGGGGGAAAGAAACCTGATAAGTATGTGAATCAAGGAACACCAAGGGTCTCCAGTACCTCGGATAAGGGCCAAAAAAAGGTCACCCAAGCAACGGAGAAGGCGTAGACTAGGCTGGCCTTGGCCATGGAAGGTGTGGGTGGTTTTATTCTTCTGCGTTGTGCCAAGCACTATGTTCTCTTTCCAGGAAGTCTGCGTCTTAGAGGCTAACCAGACCACACCCTTCCCACTGTTGCCCAAAAGTAATGGCAAGGATGTCCCCATTGCAACTTGGTGGCTCCACCCACACTCTGCCACTCCCGGTGGTCTTCATGGGGAAGCCCATCCCTCCTCCTCAGGAGACAGACAGAGTTTCAGTCTTGCTATCAAATCAAATCAGTCTGAGATGGATCCTAGATAAGATTAGTGTTTTCTGTAAGATGGAGCATCTTAGCGTTAATTACTCTAAAACAAAGGCAGTGTTTTTAGCAAGAGAAGTAAGAAATACAAGTGGGCCATAGAATGGCTATCTTCTAGAAGTGTGTAAATCTTTTTTTTCAATTGATTTTTTTATATATTGTTGCCAGCTGAATTCCCCCCCCCTCCATCTGAGTCCCTCTCCACAGCTGGCTGCCAACTTCAGAAGCAACTAGGCCATACAACCCGCTTTAACAGCCGTTAGGGTTTCCATTGGCTTGCCTGACTTTTTTGCATGCTTGGTAACTTTGAGAGATATGTCCTTTCATTAACCAGGTGAAAGCAAACAACTGTTACCTACAAGACATTTTAATCCTTTTTATGGTAATTCTGTGAGTACGTCCACTGAAGTATTCTTGTGGATTAACTATGCCAAGGTTTTTGGAAATTAGTTTGTAAAAGGAATACTGGATTCAATAGGACAAACGTTATCAGCATTTTTGAAGTTTTATTTTGTGGGTATTATATAAAAGATTTATCGAGGCGATGATTTGTCTGGTTTTTCTCCTTCACATTTTCTGATGTAGGTGACACAGGGACATATTGTATTGTTATTTTGAGATAATGTAGACATTATTGATCTTCCGACATTATTGGTCCTATGAAGTATGGAGTGTTTTATAAGTCGTCTACCTTGTGACACTGCTGTTTGTTTATTAAAAACCCTATCTTTATTGCTTTTTCTAAAGCCTAGATTTACTTGGTTTATTAAAAAAACCCTATCTTATTGCTTTTTTAAAAAGTCTAGCTTTACTTATTCCCCCCCCCCCAAATTTCATTTCCTTTCACATATCACTGGGATAAAGTGGGGGGGGGGGCAGGCAGGGCGGATCCTTCACAAAAGGCCTGTTCTGCTGCCCCGCATTCGATGGAGAAAGTCCCATTCCCCGCTTGCCTCCCAAGTCAACTTCAGATAAAATGCACTGTAGTGTATCAGGCCCTTACAGGGCTGGGCAGGCCTGGGCTTGTCCAGGCAGCAAACACAGCTAGCTTCAGACCAAAAGGACAATGGGCAGTAGGATCCTAGCCAGGCCCAATGAAAGGGCTAGGTCCCAGGCCAAGAGGCCAATAGGTCTCTTGGTTACTGTAAATAGCCTATCGGGAGTGGGGTGTGCGTTTGGTGGTGGGTTTCTCTGAGGGAATATAAGCCAGCCTGTGAGCCGGGTGTCTTGTCTTGTTCCTGACTAAATAAAGGTATGCTTAGCTGAAATCATGGAGCTGCAGTGGCTCAAGTGGTTAAGACGCTGAACTGCAGGCTGTGGAAGGTCAGTAGTTCAGCAGTTTGAGACCCGGGTGCGGAGTGCGCACGAGTTCTTGTATTGTGAGAAAGTGAGAAAAGTACCTCTTTCTCTACCTGCTCTTTCCCATGCATAATCTTATAAATGCACTCTGCTTGAGCTCAGAGGCACTCCTCCCCCTTAGAAGGGCCCAATTCCCAGTTTGAAGAGAGCCAGTTTGGTGTAGTGGTTAAGTGTGCGGACTCTAATCTGATGTGACTTTGGGTCAGTCACAAGCTCTGGCACAGCTGTCCTTGAAAAAGAGCTCTCTCAGCCCCACCCACCTCACAGGGTGTCTGTTGTGGGGAGGGGAAGGGAAAGGAGTTTGTAAGCCGCTCTGAGACGCTAAGTGAAGGGCGGGGCAT